TTGTGTTTGCCCTATTGGCTGAAGTTTGCCCGACTTACCGACTTATACAAATAGAGCTTTATGTAGTCTAAAATCAGGTACGTACTCTTTATTAGAAAAAGAAAAAAAAAACCTAAGCTAATATCACTACCTATTCGTTATGCTACAAGGTGTTTTTTTGCAACAAATTTCTATAAAGTTATTAAAAAGTGTAGTTACATCATTATGTCTTTTAACCTTAGCCACGCCGCGATTAAAGGGCGCCACAACTCGATACTGAGACAGCGCCAAAGCGCTAGGTAATAATCCAGCAATTCCGCTACAGTTTTACCTAATCGTACTCTCTATAACCGAAAAAGCCGTCTTACATAATATTGAATAGTACCTTTGGTAGGTAGCTATCGCATCCACATTTCTTATTCTTACCATCATCAAGTCCATATGTGGTTCCTATGATTCATTCCCCATTACAAAAAAGTAGCATCGGGCCGGATGCGAAATGGACAGCGATCATGGTCTCATATACCGTTCCAAACACCATCATATCGGTGTGGACGTCGGAACAGGTTCCGCCCGCGCCTTAATCATTGATGAGGACGGGAGGTCAGTTGCTTCAGCATTCAAAGCTATAGACGAGTGGCAGCCACAACCAGACATACACGTGGGTCGTCTGCACTCTGATCGATGATTATTCTAAAGCGATTCGTTCTAGGAACAATCCGTTAGCAACATATGGGATAGTGTGTGCTATGCTGTAAATAAGGCTCTGTCGCAGAGTGGGATTCAACCCGAATCGGTACGCAGCATAGCATTCGTCGCAACTTGCTCGCTTGCTATTTTCACCCACGACACTAATGAGCCAGTAGCTGCTGGTGGAAGAGAGAGTATCGACAAGGACCACAATGTCATCCTGTGGATGGACCAAAGAGCTAAGGTAGAGGCTGAGGCTATCAACAAGACGCAGCACGAGCTCTTGAAATATTTTGGCGGCTCGGTGTCAGTTCTTATGGAGTTACCTAAGATATTGTGGTTGAAGCACCACATGTCTGAAGCCGACTTCGAAAGGTGCAAGTTCTACGACCTCAATGATGCGCTAACGTATATCGCCACGGGAAACCAACTATTTTCTTGCACTGAAATTTGTACCCGAGACGCATTGCATATTGGTGTGGATGGCACGGCAAAAGGATGGAGCCGAGAATTTTTGGAGGCCGTGCAACTCGAAATCCTAGCTGCAGACGATTTCAAAAGAGTCGGAGGAGTGTGTCGAGTAAGTTGAAATGCGGACGCTCTTTCTTACGTCCCTAACTCTCTAATAGCATGGAAGAGTACCTCCAGCTGGTACCTCGGCGGGCCATCTTTGTGAAGAATCTGCTCGTGATCTTGGTCTTAAGCCAGACGTTAAAGTTGGAGTCGGGACGATTGATTCATACTCGGGATGGGTAGGAACAGCAGGGTTAAGTTTTGACGGCCAGCAAAATTTCCCTCTGCATTCGAGGATGGCCGTAGTCGCTGGTACATCCGCATGCTACATAGTCGCATCGCGAAAATCTGTGTTTGCGGAGGGTATATGGGGCCCTTACCAAGATTGGATCTTACCGGGGTACTGGATGTCTGAAGGTGGCCAGGTGGCTACAGGTATGTGTTCCTATGGTGTTGCGACTTATAGAACTCGTTCGAGGCCCTCTGCGGTGAAGAGACTAATATAAGACGGTGTTCTAGGAATGCTACTTCAGCATGTCATTGAGGTACATCCAGCATATGATGCTGCCTTGACATTGGCCAACAACTCGGATTTGAGCATTTACAACTTCCTTGATAGACACCTTGAACACATGCGATCCAAAAGCGAGGCACCAGACATATCCTACCTCGGACGAAACTACTTCTATTATGGCGACTTGTATGGAAACCGGTCGCCAATAGCCGATCCATCCATGTCTGGATCCGTGGTGGGACTGACGGGAGACAAAAGCATCGACAACCTTGCTATTCAGTATTACGGCGTCCTGGAGTTTATTGCCCTTCAAATGCGTCATGTAATATCAATAATGAACGAAGCCGGGACTGAAATCAATTCACTCTTTATCTCTGGGTCCGTCGCTAATAATGCTAACCTGATCAGGCTAATTGCAACATCCTGTGACATGCCAGTCATAATCCCCAGACAAGCAGGCGCTGCAGTTTGCTTTGGAGCCGCTATATTGGGGGCCACGGCCACCATGAAGACTCCCACCGGCGGCACAGGTAGCTTATGGTCAGTCATGCAAACCCTTAGTCAACAAGGGGAGATTCAGGAGCCAGAAAAGAACACCTTATTGAAAGACATACTTGATGTCAAATATATTATCTATCTAGAGCAATGTGAAAGACAAAGGGTCTTTAGAGACATGGTTGAAAAAGCGATTTCAAGTCATCTAGAGCGCCCTGCTTGATAGCTTGTAAGAGGCATATAGTCGATATCGTTATCTTGAACTGCCGAGATTAGGTATTTCTCCTCATTGAGCTCCGGCTGGAAAAGCCAGGAGTTTAATCTGGACTGGCTTGCTTGTTCATTTATACTTAAATCAAGGTCCGGATCAACTAAATACACTCACAAGAAGATGTCACACAACTGATACGTACTATTAGGACGTTGGTATATATTGGTCCTGAAATAAGTACGACTTTATTTCTGATCAGGTAACTGGGTAGTATTCGAGAGAGTTTTCCTTGTTTCTCTTCACTCTCACTGGCCAATCTTTAGTGACTTCATCAATACACTTCCCCATTTTCATATTGCCATGGAATTCTTGATTGAATGCAACCCCTGGCATCACCATAGATAGCAAGGAGTAGAGGTATTAGTGATTTTTAGGAATGAATAAGTGCTCTGTAATCGGAGAAATTAGGTAGTCTGCACTTGACTAGTAGACATTTAAATCAGATTGCAAGCTTGAACATACCTTGCCGCAATATCCTTCCGATAATGCATACCACGAAATGAAACCGATGCTACGCCCTCATATGCCGCATCTAATGCCTCTCGAAGAGTATCGCGAATCACAGCACATGTGAGAGGTTTTCCGCCTCCAGTAGTGAGCTTTCCATCCTCCATTCTAGTCTGGCCATGAAAGAAAACGGCATCTAAAATTGCAATCAGTATGGCTATCCAAAGATTATTCCGAGGTTTCTCACCAGAACCTGTATCTCTCATCTCAATCACTTCTCCGCCATGATCAAGGTCGGGGTCAGGATAGCCCTCCCCCGTCATGACTACATTGCAGGCAAATCCAGGAACCGTATCAATGTGTACCTGGTCCAGCGTTCCATTGATGCACGCGAGCAGAACCTCTGCAAAATCAGTTTCATCGTCAAGAAGTAGTACCATGGACTGCATCTCTGGTTCGCCGAAGCGGACGTTGAACTCTAAGACTCTCGGTCCCGACGATGTGAGCATGAGTCCGGTGTACAAACACCCAACAAACTTGAGACCTATTCTTCAATGAGCCCGAAAGTAGTTGACGCTAGAACAGGATGTTCATACCTTCGAAAAGGAGTCCTTCTAGGGCAGGCTGCACTATGGACTTCTCGATTTCCTTCATAAGAGTCGGCGTGACAAACGGAGTTGGACCATAAGCACCCAAACCTCCGGTGTTGGGACCTATATCACCATCGTACATGCGTTTATGATCCTGCAGAGTAGGGAAAGTCCACGTGTGTCCATTGCAATCGCTGAGAGTAAGAATGCTAACTTCCGTTCCTTCAAGGTACTCCTCGACGACTAGAGAGCTTCCAGCCTCGCGTCCGAACTTTTGGTGCACTAGAATATCGTCGACTGCTTGAAGTGCCTCTTCCTTTGACGATGGAATGATCGAGCCTCGACCTCCAGCGAGACCCGCAGCCTTGACCACGACTGGGTATGGCACTTGCAGTATGTAGTCCTTCGCAGCTTCGACTCCTGCAGCCGTGAAGCTCTGGTATCGGGCGGTAGGAATATCGTGTCTAATCATGAAATCTTTGGCAAATGGCTTGGAGACTTCGAGCTGGGCTACTTCTTTGGTACAAGCAAAACAAGCGATACCGGCTAAGGCAGAAAGGTAATGTTAGCCATCTGCGCGAAAAGTGAAGTAGGTAATAACGGAATTTAAACGGCTTACTGCCTCGAAAGTAGCCCTCGATATCGTCTACAAAGTACTGTACAGCACCGGGAACCACCAAACCTATCCCCAGCTCTTTGGCTAGAAGAACCACACGGGCAAAATCAGATACTGTTACATTAGTGATGTTCGTTGCTTTGCCAAGCATAGCGGTGCCGGCATTTCCAGGAACGACATAAACGTGCTCTACGGTTTTAGATTGACATAACTTCCAGGCTATTGCGTGTTCTCGAGGACCGGAACCCATGATAAGAACTCGCAGAAGGGATTTTGGTGGCATGATTGATATTGCGTGAAGAGAAATAATACAAGAATATTCCGACGTCCTTGGGGATCACTAGTCAACGTAACCACCTTGTTTTTTATATCGGTAAAGATTATTTTATATCACTTGATTGTAAACGAAGTAACCCGGTCTATACATTCAAGAATTATATAAAACGGATCACTAATACATATCAAATATTAATTCAGTAATGAAATATTTTAGTATATTATTATTTTGTAAAAAGAAAAGGGGTATTAAGGCTATAATTTCCCTCCGTATTTCAAACTGCAATCCCGAGATTCACCGAAACACGGGGTTTGAATTTATTAAGATAATGATAAATGTGTGTCTGTTGTACGACATATAATCTTACGGGCCACGCATTACGTGGCGTGAGTAGCACCATGAAGCCCGTATATTTAATATATTGAAGTCTCAGTTCAGCTGAGACGACGCCTGCATACATTTATTGATGTTACTGTTAACTGTGCCCATTAAATACGTCAAGGTCGTAGTATTAAACGCTTAAGCCGCAACGTAAAGGTATAGACAGAGCCACGTTGCTTCCACCACAAAGCTTTCATCCTTTACACGTTAACTTTCCATAGCCCGTCATGTCCACCGCTCTCTCTACAGTAACCATGAGTACTGGAGTACAAGTCCCAGTTGCTTTACTAGACACTCTCGATCTCAACCAGCTCGAGATTGGGAATGTAGGCGAGATCAAAAGACTACTACGAGCTGCACAAGGCCATGGCTTGTTCTACCTCGACCTGGGCAATTCTGAACAGGGACGAAAGGGACTTCGCAATCTGCAGGACGTCTACTCGACTACCCAGCAATACTTCGACCAACCTCATGACCTGAAAGTCAAGGACATGAGGTTGGATCAGCGCCCAGATCAGGATCGAGGTTGAGTATTGGAAACCCCTTTGTTTGAGATCTCCGCGCTGATAACCTACTAGGTATAAGGATGGCGGCTGCGATGAGACCTTTGAAGTATTTGCTCTCGTCCCTTCTTCTATCTATTATTTAAAAGCCCACTGACAATTTTATTTACGGTAGATGGCATATGACGAGCTTGTGCCAGGAACCTGCAACCTACCCTACCTTCTACGAGAGAGCGAAGAGAAACTTCGAGAGTTCAGTACCAGTATGCACACTGCCTGCCTCACTATGCTGTCCTGTCTCTCGGATGGTCTGAATCTACAAGGCGCAGATCGCTTTGAGTACTACCATAGACCAGGCGAGATCAGCGATAGTGGTCTAAAGCTTGTCTATGAGCCGTCCTTAGAACGGCTGGAGAATGTAAAAGAAAATAAGCACACAGACAGTGGTACGCTGACTCTGCTTTTTTACGATCTTTGGGGTCTTCATGCGGAGTTGGCAGAAGGGTGGGCTTTTGCGCCACCAAAGCCTCCATTAGCTCTTGTTAACGTTGCGGACTCTCTAAAACGTCTCTCGAGGATGAAGTTCCATTCTCCTATCCATCGGGTAACTCAGCCAACGGACGGGTTTGAAAAGAGGTATTACATATCTTACTTTCTTCGACCAGAACAGCAACTAAAGATGTCCTGGATGGAGACTGGCGAAGACGAGGCAATTGCACCCGCTAGTACTTTCTGAATTTCTAAAGCTTGAAGTGTCGTCTCTGACGGGGATAGCTTCAGCCCCTTATAGCCTAAGGATATACTGCAATCAATAGACTGTAACCAATATTGCCTTTCTGCATTGTACCTACTACTTTTTCGATTGATTGGGAACATACTCAAAAGTCACGGTCATGTTCTCTTCGTATATATTGAAAATGCAGGTCTATTAACGGTTTTCTACCACATATCATTTTTCCTGTGACTCGTTGCTCATTCGTACGTGCACCATCGTACATTCCATATTGCCGAGTTTAGCTACGAAATTATTCCACGTTTCAGTGCTAGCTTTTGCCTCCTCGCTCCTTAAGTTCCTTTTAATACAACCTTCTATATTATTCCCACCGGATCTAGACACCCCATGGCTAAGCATACCTTATTTGTGATAAAATATATGGAAAACCTTTCCGTCCGGAAGTATCTCGCATCAATCCTTAATTGCTAGCCTTTTTAGGGGAGGGTACGATGCGCAAGGAGGCAAAAGCCAATACGAATAATACTTGAAATCAAATCACGTAGAGAATTGAGTCGTACATATCAACATTTTTAGCACCTCATCAAAAATTTCTTTTTCTTCGTGCTCTCAGATCTGAAGTGCAACTAGAATATGTAATGATCGTAAAGTACTAATCAAGGTAGTAACTATAGGTAGATTGTAACCCATGACTAACAGAATATAGTTCAGGGAGAAGAACAAGCTGGGGCGTGTGGGATCACGCTGATTCAGGGTATCCGTATCTGTCTGATTTTTGCCATTCCTCATTCATTGCGTATGCCTGCCGAACATGGTCGAGTAGATTGTTTACCGCGTCGGCAACGGCAGTTGTGAAAGTCTCCGAGGCCAGTTCTTTGGCCTCAAGGTCATGCTTTATCTCGTCAATAGAGATATATTCTTTCGGGGGTCGGCCATTTGTTCCGGGCAGAACCAGCCCTTTTGACCTACACTCTCCATGATCCCCTCGGACCTCTAGAATGCCTTCTGCTTGAAGAAGTCGAATTGGAAGCAACATATCCTTTACTAGAGCAAAGACCCCGTTTTGATCAGTGCTTTTTGCTTCAGCATAAGCTTTCTCAATCTTCTCCTTAACGACCGGAGCGGGGTCTTGAAACATAATCTTCGTTTCGGGTGGATGAGAGGATGACATCTTGCCTCCACGAAGACTCGGTAACATTGAGTTCATAAGCCGAGCTCTATCAGCATACCCAATAAGAGGCATAGAAAGCTCGGCAAATTTAAAGAGGCCGCGCTATATATGCGTTAGCACCCGGTTGACCTTAGGTGACAATATCGACAGTGAAATACCTGATCCGTGCCTCCAAATTGGATATCTACGTTACAGTATTCTTCCGCAAGTGCTTGAAGTGCCGGGCAGAGCATAGGACTCAACATATTAGGTTCATAGCCTGGATTCCAAGCATCTTTGACCGCCTGCTGGGGAACAATTTTACAAAGTCTCCATAGGTCTCGGATGAACTCTGGCGTCATATGATATGTGCCTTCCTCTACGATATGTATTTTCTGTAGAGGAACTCCAATAGCCTCAAGGGCAGCAATGACAGTGTACCTGTAGCAGGCCATCCTATGGGTCACCTGTTCCATAGAGTATTCCACGTTGTCAAGATACGAGAATAATTCGTGAAGTAGAACGACAACCTACATCATTCGTGTCAGCAAAAGAGCATTGTTATATTTTCTTTAAGAGTATTGAGAATGGGGTTAAACACGTACCTCCACTCCTGCTTTAGCAAATTCTGCAAACTTAATCATGGGGATAAGGTATCCGATATGAGCTGCTACAAATTAGCTTCGCCATTATACCAATTGATGTCCCTTACGTCTGCCCGTAGGCGCTGTCGCTATTCGAGATATGCGAGTCAGCAGAGTCTCTCAGTAACTGTTATGAATATACCCACCCCACAAACATCTTGCAGGTTCATCCTTTTGCAGGGCCAGCTTAAGTAGGCCTATGGCATGGATATCCTCAGGTGCGATCCGCCGAGTAATAAGATCAACTCGTGACTGTACGTCCGAAGGGCACTCCATCATGTCCTGAATCAGTTATCGATAGACGCGGCGATGGCCAGTTGTTACGAAGGATAAGGGATGTCTAGAAATTTGTAAGGTATAACTGCCAGGTTGTCACAGCGGATATATGGCATAACGGTCAAATTCTTACACGGAGTGTTCGTTGGTCTTATAAATTAATGTCCTACCATGAATAATAGCCAACTGTTACTACTCGTGTGTAATAAGACAGTAAGAAGAATAGGTAAAGCATGAATGAAAACAGTAGAGCCAGGCACTAACCCTGAGAAATGAGGCTTAAAATGAGGCTCCAAAATGAGAACATTTGCCCAAATTGCCCAGAACCGGAAAGGTCCAATATACGAAAATTAAATCACCAATTGAAAAATTACCGCAGACTTAAGATGACTGGCTTGGATCTAATGATCGTTCATGTTGATTACTTCAAGTTTGACTGGCTTTGAATCTGCCACTGAACTTCCTCCTCGTCCAATGCATTTTTTACCAAGACCTGCAATCTGCATGTGCAGATGCATATCGCCTACCTAGGAAAAAAAGGACAAAAAGTTCGCTGCTGAAAGTGTGCCTAATATATGACAGCATTTCAGATGACCTCAGACTTGAATTCGTTAAAGTAGCAAGCCGTGCTTACTTGCACCACGAAACGCGCAACCTATATTATAATACCTGTAAATCCCTGGCTTAACTTATCTCAGGTGGCCATAAGCGAATCCGTAAAAGCAGACTACACCTGCTTGCGTTATGTTAAGAATGGCATTGTTATGTGTCAAATTGACTACCTACCTAGGTACCTATGCAACCAAAAGTTATCTACTGTATTGTTATTATTACCGTACATAACAAGCCTATGACTTACACAAGTTAAAGGGCTTAGCTTTAAACCATTTTTCATTGTTAATATTAGAAAGAAAAACCAAAAACTCTTCAAATTTAATAATAAACTTTTAAACTGGATTTTTTTATTAGATGAAATAATATGTATTATATGTCTTTAAAAGAAACCAGTATACAATTAGATTAGGTACCTAGGTAGTATTTAACAAAAGCCACAAAAAAAGGGGCTTCAACTTACGGTATCATAATTTAATACTATAAAGCCCGCGGGATTTGAATCGGAAATGGATTCGCTTGACCGTAACTACAACAAACTCCGGACTCGATCTTGTAGCTCTCTTTCATCCCGCGCTTGCAGATTCATTATGCATGTCAAAGAATCAAGGTACCTTTAATTGCTACCTTGATTGGAGAAATAATCTAGTTTCCCCAATGTCCATAACTCATTCCATCGCCTTCAAACGCCTTGGCCTCGCCGGCAATGGTTCTTGCATAAACTAAAACAGCAAGTTTTTCATGCTTGTATTACTTCTAATGCTGTTTTACTTCGCAACTTACGACTCTGTCACGATCTGCGCAATTGTGGATATCACACTCGTTTTCCGTGTCGTGCCCTATCCTGCCAAATACCGACTTTCAATCCATTCCGACTCTCCGTTGTTGGTCATGGGGAGGACACGGCATGTAATTGGCTTCGTTTTCTTCAGAATCTAGCCGCCATTTCCAGTGTAAATGAAAATATGTTGTATCTCTAAGTGAGGCTTGCTGGGTTGGGGTCATCTGACGTCCTTCAGTACTTAGGCCCTATATAGCTGGCTTATATTTCTTTACGTTAATAGACTTGACGTTTCTTGTGGATAGCTCACATACTAAATACAATTTTGTTGATCCTTATCACTTATTTCGAGATAACTTCAATTTCTTAGCCGGCCTTGATATATCACGGCTCAAATTTTAGTTACCTCGCATTAAATATATCTGAACATTTAAGCCATAGACTTATTGGTATCAATCCCTTTCCACCAATTCCATGATGCACTCACTCATCATGGGAGGGCTCTGGCTGATCTTCCTATGTGTATTTATGGGTTTGTCATGTTTCTTGGTGAGATTCTTACGCGCAAGAATATCAACCCGCCAGGTTCAGGCTTCCGGTATCGTTGAAAGAAAGGCTGCAGAGAGCATCTTTCAGAACGACAAACTCCTATATTATCGCCTTCAGAATCTAGAAGATCATCCGGGAGCTCTGGCACAAGCACAAGGACGACTCATCCAGCTGCTTGATATCACCGTCGATTCCGCCCTGAAGTCGACGACGCCTAATTTTCTGTCAGTTCCAGAATTCTGTCTACAGTCGTTGAGAGCGTACCTAGCCGACGTAGAAGCTGCTACTGCTGATGCATGGGCATCCTACCTTAAAAGACGGTCATCGGGGGGAGGCCGTGAGCTTTTCCATACAAGCGAATCTGCAAAACAGTGGTTACGACTGTCCGCGCCAGTGAGGTGTGTCGACGGAGCTTGGCTGTCCAGGATCCATCACGCCCGAACTCCCGAGAGGCTGCGGCCTTCTACCCGAATTGCTTGGCAGATATTATCAGAAGAGCTGGGCGATGGTATTCTAGAGAGAAATCATGTGTATATCTATTCAAAACTGCTACAAAGCGTAGGTCTTGCTCTCGGACCAGGAAATTCGGCACAATTTATAGAACTAGCCTCAGACCCTGATCGTGATGAGCGAGTATGGACAGCAGCAGTTGCTCAATTAGCTCTCGGATTCTTGACCGACAACTTCCTCCCGGAGATTTTAGGCTTCAATATGGCATATGAAGCTGCGACGATCGAGACGTTGATATGTGCTTACGAGCTTAAGGAGATTGGGATGGATCCCGAATATTTCAATATGCATATCACGATTGATAATGCGGATTCAGGCCACACTGCCATGGCAGTTCAGGCTGTTATGAGCTTTATTAGTGCACTTAAGCCCTCAGAAACAATTCAGTCATGGAAACGAATACAAGCTGGTTACCTCTTGGCGAAAATGTTACCGGTTACTCCCATGCCAGTCAGCAAACACAGAGAAGAGGTTTTGAGCATATTCTCTAAGAAGTGCGATCCAGCGAAAGAGTTACACCGACGCTGCACCGCGCGAATTGGAAGATCAAACGGGAAAAAACTGGGGGAGTGGTTAGACCCAGTCCTTTGGGAGACCCAAAAAGATTTATTTCTCTCGTCTTTAGCGCAATCAAAATGGATCGTTCCAGGGAACCCCAGAGACAGTAATCTTGTCAGGCAGATGGGCTGGGGTGGCAGGATGTTTGGAGCATTTACGTTGAGGGAGAAAACTAAGGTCGAAGAATGGATTCGCAACATGACTTCAAAGCACCGAGAAGTCGATGGAGAAGCAGCGAGAGGACGGTATGCAGAATTTACTGGCTACAGTCCCTCAAGCCCCGAAATAATCCCAGCTAAACTGGCCATCGCTTTTCAGAAAGGGGACTGCTCTCTAGGGATAGCTTATAACCCAGTTAAGCCTACATGTATACCGGTTCAAATCCTTCCTTCGCTTTTAATAGAAGCGGCGACCCCGTTGCAATACTGCATAGACAGCCCGGCAAACTGTGCAACAGAGCAGGGCATAGTCGCAGTGAGAATTATGCGAATCTTAAACGGGCTACCCCATCCAGAGGATGCGGTGTTGGGTATGGACGAAGTGACTTGCCCATCAGAGGGAGTTGTTGAGATAGCGTGGCGCGTTGACAAAACGGTTAAGCAACAGCGGAGATTGGAAACCTCGGAAATGAACGATTCGAGTGATCTCCTGGTAGCTCTGCAGCCATGGTTATGGCTTGATAACGTTGCTAGGTCCCCGAAACAAAATTATTGGTTTCTCATCGGCGCACAGGAAGGGTTTGTCGCCTATGTTCTTGCGAATACAGCCGGTCTGCGGAAAGGTGGATTGCCTGATGAGACTGCGTTTCAACTAGGCGCAATTTCAGAGATGATGCAAAGGGAAATGTCCGAGTTGACATGTCCACAGCCCGAGCAACGCCAGGAAGGATTTTGGGCAGTGATTCGATGTCTAGAGGAGACCATATCAAGATCCGTTTAAGCTTTGATAAGAAGAGCAAACGATCTCGAAACTTCAACTTGCGATTTCGAGAAGATCGAGGAAGGGGCTGGTCATCGTGTCACCATCTCATCATCTCACCATCATCCGGCATCCGCATCTTCAAAGGTCTCATTTGTTGCCGCGCGACCTTTTTCTTCTTCTCACAGTAAGAAGACCTTTCGGCAAAGTGATATTGAGATCATCAGGTCTTGTAAGGTGAGGGTTCGATATGGTATAAACAGGTGGTAGATCTTAGCTTTATTTGCAATAAGAAGCGCTTCGATTTAACTCTGGTGACTTTAAACTAATTCGTGAAAACGGGCTACGGTCGATTATGCTATATGATGGATGGCTTATGTTCTTATATTTAGTCTCAAAACAAGACCTTTTCTTTTCCCTACCGATATCATAAGACAGCATATTTGACGGGGATAGAAAAGTTGCCGGTAAATTCTTTTATAGCCCGAGTAGTTAGCTATATTAACGAGCCTCATAATGAGAAATAAAGATGTGATTTTGCGAACCTACAAACTACGGCTTTAAATAATTCGATTACGTACGAGAGCACAAGCGTAACTTATATTATAGCAACCCAAGTAGCCCAACATTGCCCGAAGCAAGAGACGTTTGGAATTATTGGTCGCTAATCTTATCCGGGGAGCGAATGCTGTCGTGTATTCTCTTAGGTATTTTTATGCTTGATAATCTATATAAGATGGGTGATTATCGTTTCATTTGAGAAATGAACGACCACAAAGTATTGAGATGGACAATTATCATATTCAGGGCCGGGTTGAGGTCGGAGATCGGGTATCATCGGAGGTACCGGCGATACTCGGCATAAAGTGGAGAACAATTATAGCAGACGAAGGCGTGATCGTCTCCGCGTGGAGATGTCTCTAAGAACTACGTCTTACATAGGACAATCGAAAAAGAAGCATATGGCTGTTTAATAGAATTCGAATAATTATAACCATCACCACTTTTCAAGTCACTAACTTCATCATGGCTCCATTGAAAATTGCTGTGTTAGATGACTACCAAAAATTCTCTCAGAACCCGTTCAAGGACTTACCGACCTCTGGGTATGAGGTGGCGATATTCACCGATACTCTACTTCCATTCAACCACCATGATACTCCTCAAGATGCCAAAGATGCGCTAGTTAAACGCCTTGAGCCGTTCGACATTATTTGTGAGTCTTTCTTGAAGATCAGTATGTATGAAAGATCTAATACTTATAGCCTCGATGAGAGAGCGGACGCCATTCCCGGAAGAACTTATCAATCGGCTCCCAAATCTTAAACTTCTCCTCACTACAGGTAGTCGCAATGCATCTATCAGCGTGAAGGCATGTTCCCAGCGCGGCATCCTCGTGGCTGGTACTGATGTGAAAGGGCCAAGTCCAGACTCTACGACACAGCATTGTGTCGCATTGATCCTTGCGCTTGCCAGAAACATACCGCAAGACGATGCTATCATGAAATCTGGAGGTTGGCAGACAACTTTCGCAACGGGATTGGCAGGGAAGGTGTACGGCAGTATTGGCCTTGGTAGATTAGGAGTGTCTGTCTCGAGGATCATGCACATAGCCTTTGGGATGAAGGTCGTGGCATGGAGCCCAAACTTGACTCAGGAAGCTGCCGATGAGAAAGCCAAAGCTGCTGGATTACCTGTCGAGGACGGAGACGGAGAGAAGACGTTCAAGGTAGTTGGTCGAGATGAATTGTTTTCCTCTGCAGATGTAGCTGCTGTTCAGCTGGTCCTCTCGGGCCGGTCTAGAGGTCTAATAACAGCAAACGATTTAGGAAAGATGAAGAATTCGGCGCTATTCATAAACACTTCACGAGGACCGATAGTGGTAGAAGAGGATTTACTCGAGGTAGCTAAGAAGGGATCAATACGTGGCATAGGGATTGATGTATACGAAATCGAGCCACTACCTACGGCTAGCGAGTGGAGGACGACGAAATGGGGGGAAGGAGGTAGAAGTCGGGTGGTTTTAACACCGCACATGGGCTACGTCGAGGAGGAACATATGACGGAGTGGTATCAGCAGCAGGTGCAAAACATATTACGATGGCAGAAGGGCGAAGCATTGGCCACTATTCTCAGTGATGATGGATACTATGAAGCGTTACGCTTTATGAATTAAACTAGAAGTTACAGCATTGCACTTTCCGTAAATACCTAGGTACCTTAGGTGCCTAGGGTATCTAATATGTAATGTTAAAGTGTGATTGTGGTTGATCTGTGGCCTTGGTAATAATTAGTTGAAGCCAGCAGCATGTTGCTGTTGTTACTACTGTTGTTGCTGCTGCTGCTGTCTGGTGACAGCGGGTTCAATGTTAGTTCCTGGGGAACTAACAGAGTACCTAACCTGGTAGGCACCTACCTTAGGATGTATCAAAGTACTTAACCTAGGTTAGTCAAGTACTATGCCATCGTGACTTCCTAAAACTATATAATTCACGCTGATTTTAACTCCTCCTGCCTACCGCGTCTTGCGTCATTTTTTATTAATGTTCCTTTCCAAACATTGTGCATCTTTCTCCCTCTTGGCGCACATCGCCATTTATCTTCCCACAAATTTCTATCTACTCCTTGGTTTACCATCCATCATTACCCTTTGAGTTCAAGTGAACTCGGAAGAGATTATGGATGTGTATGGACAGTCGTCCCTTAACCAAGGGACTCCAGGTGAAGGTAAGACATTCATCCAACCTGACGAATATAACCATACCTGGCAATTCTGTCAGCCTCAACTTTAGTCACTGAGCTTACCAATTATAGAATCACCCTTCAGTACCGGATTTCAGGCGTTACTCAGCGACGCGACTAAGACGACTAGCTCAGCGTCAACTTCCTATGGAGGTCCTAACTCCTCATTCGCATCCGCAGGATTCGTCATCGATCTTGGGGGTAGTGGTCCCCATGGTCGACCTGGGGTCGGTAGCGTATCTGAAGACGATTTCAAGGTCAAGCAAGAGGTTTCTGGCCCATCATTAGATAGCGATAGCACTACTGCTTTGGGGGGCACGTCTCGGAATGGTAAGCATCGCAATATTTCTCCTGCCTGCTAGTTAACATCGCTCTAACTATGATCCCAAGCTGCCTTCATCCCTCTAGTCAATACTGCATCCAGAGGCAGTACAATGTCATCTTTGAGTCTACCGGCCCGCCCCATCGACGCTGGCAATATAGCCACCCCAGAGGTTGTATTAAAGCGCCCCATCCTTTCTAGGCCAATCTTTGGTATTACTCACGGTGCTACCGTTCCTCCTCAAGGGCCATCCGACCTTGCTCAAGATCAAAGCGGTAGCCAAGGGGGTGTTGAGCCAGAGCATGCGGTAAATTGCCCTGCTATAGACGGTAAATTCGTCACTCCTGCAATGCTTCTGAGCCAAGAGTGTCAGAAAAGACGATTCAACCCGCAGTTTACAGAATGGCACGATCGCAACGGCCGTTGTAAGTGCTCTGTCAGTCTCAAGGGGTTGATAGTTACCGATATACGTGCATACGATACGGCTTCCGAGGCAAAGACGGCTATTTCCAGAAAGGCTCTAATAGAAGTTCGCAAGTTGCCGGTACGTAATATTAAGACTCTCCGTTTCTCCCGGTTTTCACCGAATTCCCCCTTTCTTGCTCGGGTCGTTGTTAATATGTAATAAAGTGCGAGGATCCGGCAGGTAAACCTGCAGCGATCCTTACGGAGGTTGTCAAGCAGGGCATATACAAAGACGTGCCCGACTTCTTCGGGTTTGGTTCGGCGCAGACGGAGAATAAACCAAACCCCCAACAGCATCGCAATAATCAGCATACCCAAGTTGCTCCTTTCATGCAGGAGCATCGTGTCAGCCGTTATCAACCCCCTGGCAATTTCTCCAATGACCGCTACGACAACTACAATCTTCACGATCAACAGAATTTTCTGATGAGTCAAGTCCAATACTTGTTCGGTCACATCAACGGACCTAGCAACAGGATCGCAGAGGATCCCTTGGCCTCTCGTGCCTTCCTAGAGGGCATAGCCTTAGGCTCACGGCTAGGTCAGTCAACTATACGCCGTCCCGACGCGTACACCTACGCCCCGCCCTCGGCTCCTCAGAGACTGAATGCTCGGCCACATGGCGATAGTGGCCGCCGCCGGGAGCGATCCCCTGTCACAGGTCCTAGGTCCCATCATAATCGAGTGAGATCGCCACTTCGTCGCCGCAACCATTAAGATATCTACCAGCTTGCTCATTGGCCTTGAATAGATATTATCTCGGTTGCAGATCGCCCTAGATCAAGTTGCCTTTGCACACAGCTTATAGTTCTTTGTCGTAGATCGGTCGAGTATTTTACGCGGAGGGTTCTAGGTGGAGAACCACATGATCCCATTTCCCGATACGTAGGAAAGGATATTGCGTTGCATTTTCGTTAGATCGTTATGGATGTTGTTTCTCTGCAGTTTCCTTCAGTCAGAAAAAAAGACACCAAAAGAAAATTTGCACCAATTCTCGCAACTTGGTTATTTGTGACAATGCTGTATTGCTCTTAGATCTTGCTTGGCATTCTTAAACCTCCGTCTAATCTGATCACTGTACCATTCAGCATGGAATTCTCGATGACGTGCCGGGCTAACTGGGCAAACTCCTCGGGCTGTCCTGCTCGTCTCGGAAATTCCATGACTGCTTCTAGGCCCTTGAATAGCTTCTTGGGCATCACAGCCGTCATTCGCGACTCGAACACTCCTGGAGCAATAGTTACGCAACGGATGCCGTAGCGTGCTAGGTCTCTCGCCATTGGCAGAGTCAAGGCTGCAACTGCACCTTTACTGGCTGCATACGACACTTGCCCTTTCTGCCCGTCAAATGCAGCAACTGAAGCCACCATGACGACTACACCCCGTTCCTTGTCGGCTCCCACGGGCTCGGTTTTGGCAATATGTACGAGACACTGCCGTACCAGGTCGATCGTGCCTCGCAAGTTGACATTGACGACGAAATCAAAACTGTCCATACTGAAGGCGTTGGCCTCCCGATCCAATATCTACTGGGCTGTTAACATCCTTTTCGTCAAGCTGTTTCGAAACTTCCGTACCGTGGCTGGGTTACCGACGCCAGCAGCAGGTATGACACCGCCTAAGGGTTTCCCTGTCTGCTGTGCCCATTCAATGGTTCCCTTGACGGCTGCTGCAATACTCTCAGTGTCGAGGACGTCGCAGACGAAGAACTTCCCCGTTCCACCAGGAAGGTTATTGACTACTATATTGCCGTTTTCTTCATTCAAATCTAGGATAGCAGCATTACCCCCATTCCTACAGATCTCCTCTACACACGCCTGCCCAAGACCCGATGCTCTATACATAAATAGTCAGCTTGGCTTGAGAGGTTTACTCTGGATGCATGAAAGACGTTAATTGCGTACCCGCCAGAGACGACAAATGTCCTTCCTTCAATCTTCATGTTGACTATGTTGATACGGATAGAATGGCAATTAGTAGTCGAATGTGAACTAATATATTTAAGAAAATGGGAGCTGACAGAGCTAGGCTTATGAGTTTTATAATAATGAATATCTAGGTGCCTTAATCTTATAAAACGAACAATCCGGATCTAGCCGTCGCGGTTGCGGTAGTGAGATAAACGGAGAATTGGCAAGCCTCGGTAAATTATCCCATCAGCACATTAGCTAAGATAAGAGGTGTTCCTGCTGACTAAGAGAGGTACAATAGGTACTGTGTACCTAGGTATTGTACAATACATACATTAAGCAAGCACTAACATACCTACATACCGGCGAATCCCTGCAGAGTACCCACACCTTACACCTAGTTTCGTCACTTGTTGATCACAAGCACTGATAAGCAGAGCTGAAACTACCGCATTTCAGGCATGGATTGAACTATTTTAAGCCTTGGTTTAGTTTATATCGTAAGGCAAACCTAACCAGCAACCTTGATTATACCCAATTCCTGCATATTCAATAACCGTTTCGACCACTTGCCCTTATTGACAATTCCACGTTTCCTACTTTTAACTGAGTTTCGGCCTGTTTGCCGATATCGCACGAGGGGCCGGACAAGATGACGCGTCCGAGACGCTCATCGGCCGCTAGCACGGAGAGTACGGGGACGGCGGGCGACCAGGTATGCGGCAACGAACTTTAGGCGGGAGATAAGCAAAGAAATCCGATGGCTAATACGGTGGTTCTAGGAGCTCGGGAGCATGTATGATTACCTCGCCAAGATTATCTTGTTGGGCCCGAGCGGAACTGGAAAGTGAGTCTCGAAATTATCCCAATTCGAGTTGAAGAAGACATCCCGAATCCCGAACACAGGTTTTTGGAACCGTGTGTAGGAAGATGGGCCTCTATTATGGGCTACTTGCTAACAGTGCGGTCCCGGCAGGTCGTGTCTTCTGCATCGTTTTGTCAAGAACGAATGGCGAGTTCTTTCCTCGCAAACGATCGGCGTTGAGTTCGCCAGCAAGATTATTAAAGTCGGTACTGGCCCGCGGAGGAAGCGGATAAAGCTACAGGTATTGAGATCTACCATGGTAACATAGAGCGGCTGTGGCTGATATTAATACTAGCTATGGGATACGGCAGGCACTGAGCGCTTTCGCTCTGTCTCGCGGTCATACTATCGAGGCGCCGCGGGCGCTATCTTATGCTACGACATCACATCGCATAACTCGTTCAGGGCGCTACAGCCATTTCTTAATGACGCGCGAGCGCTAGCTTCACCCAATTTGACGATGATCCTCGCAGGAAATAAACTGGATCTTGCCAACGATACTCTCATCGATACGAGTCTTCCTCCTCCCACACCGTCAAGCACGAGTTCGTCTCTACCGTACAGCACGTCCGTCGGTACAACTAGTGCAGGCGCTTCCCTCGGAACGCAAATGAAAGCGACGGTAGCACCCGAAGGCCGCGAGGTATCAACCACTGAGGCGTCACGATGGGCTAGTAGCGTCAACGTACCTGTTACGGTGGAAGTATCGGCTTTCTCAGGCGAGGGCGTGGACGAGACATTTGCGCGGCTGGCACGCATGATCCTGACCAAGATTGAGCTCGGAGAGATCGACCCAGACGATCCGATGAGCGGTATTCAGTATGGCGACGGAGGCATGTGGAATGCGGGGGCTAGCGATGGCGGTAGCATCAAGAGCTCCATGACGACAGATGAGGTCGGCCTCGGCGGCATGAGGCGGAGACGCAAAGGCAAGAACCGCGCACAGAATTGGGGTATGCGCGAGTGGGAAGAGGTGTTTACTCTAAACCGCGGGCGAGGCAGAGGAAATTGCTGCTAATACAAGATACAAAGGGGGTTAAGCTGTGGGCTGTAATCACGATGCAAGGGATACGGGCTAAACGGGGCTGGCCTGGCGACACTACGATGATACCTACTTCTTTTGCAAGCGCGCTCGCTTTTGGTTGTTTTCAGCTTTTATGGCGTTGGGAGTGGACGTGCCCTAGGGATAATTCCGAAGACCTGATAGAATAATGAGATTTCTTTTCGCCCAATATCACAGATTTATACGTAAAGATACCTGCCTACCTACCTACTTAGGTATATATGCGGGTGAACATTGGACTCGCAATATGTAGCTGTACTAGAGGCCGATGCTACGATGCCGAGCGCCGATAAGCGGCGTGGGAGGTTTGGCTCCGTCCTTTTCGGCGGAGGGTCTTCCACCCCTTGCACTTCGGCGGAACGACCTCCACTAGGTTACCGAGTGCTTACCTGAACATATTTGTGCATATTCTTTCTATATAATATCAGTCAATGAGATAACACTAAGCATAGAATATTGATATTAGTGACTATCAATATCCTGGAGGTCGGGGTTATAAAAATTATCGAAGAATTGTCTGATAGCCGTAGCCGTACCATAACCTATACGTACCGACCGGGGCTTTCTCCGAAGAGGATCCCGCTCCGCTGCACGAGACTAGCCAAATTGAGTAGCGGAATCGTATGCTCCGCGATATGGAACCATTAGCGTAGAATCGGCGAGTTCAGAAAGGTGGGGTCCGATGATTAACGTTTCTTGATTTCTTGCATGTGTAAAATAAGAGTTGATCTCGTCCAACTAAACTTCTACAACACAATCTCCATTATACATCTCCAACGAAACGAAACGAATCTACAATGATAGCTCTTCTCCAACTGCAGGTTCCTGCATGTAGTCATGCATATACCCCCGACGGTTAGAGCGGCTAGTGATTGCCGCGAGTGGCCGCTTCGCTTGCATTACCGAGATGAGAAACGATATGCTCAGTATAGCCCTCCTCAAGTTGTTCTTCCCAAGTACTCCGAGATCTGTGTCACATAGCAACTTTGAACCAAGTGCCCAAATCTTTGTAAATATCCCCGGCAAGTAACATCCCGCGTTCTTAGTTGCTATTGACCTTGTCTACCTCATACATTGTAAAGTCAACATCGTCGATAGTAGATCGTCTAGTTGCCCTCCAATAAGCTACGAGAATCTTGTCGACTTCCCGTCCATCTTTTTTATTAGTTTTGCCCTGTTTCTAATTGCTTCGTGTCGCTTAAGTCCACATCTGAGCGACACTGTTGCTTGTCTATTTCTATGGAGCATCGTCAGGATTCAGAATCATTGCTAGGCCAAGCCTATTCTAGAATTACTAATTTAAGCAAAGCTCGTCTTGATATAAATCTACGCTTATCCCCATCCTCTATCACTTCTTGTGCATCTCCGTCTCCTCTCCCTTTCAAGCCACAACCCCACGAGATGGCGCCCCGCACTGTGATCCCGATCGACAAGAATTGGGAGTTCAAACAGGCCGACAAGGAGGATAGCAAATATCTGCCCGTGGGCCAATTCCCTACTAACGTGCACCTCGATTTGCTCGCTCATAAGCTTATCCCCGACCCTTATATCGGTAAGAATGAGATTGATGTGCAATGGGTCGGCGAGGCTATCTGGGTCTACAGGACAAGCTTTGCGACTCCTACAATCGGGAGCTCTGCAAAAGCTATCTTGGCCTTTGACGGATTAGATACCTTTGCGACTGTGGCGCTTAACGGGAAGACTATTCTAGAGACTGAGAATATGTTCATCCCCGAACGCGTCGACGTCACAGCCGACTTGAAGGAGGACGGCGGGGAGAACGAGCTCGTTATCACATTTGATAGCGCGTACTTGAGAGGCTGGAAATTGGTCGAGAAATATCCGGATCACAAGTGGGGATGCTGGAACGGCGATAACTCGAGGTTGGCCGTGCGAAAGTCGCAATACCACTGGGTATGTTAAGAATCGGGCACTAGAGGGGAAACTTGTTATAATGAGGATAAACTGACCTATGTAGGGCTGGGATTGGGGTCCGGCATTGTTGACCTGCGGCCCCTGGAGACCGATCAATCTCGAAGTCTACGAGTCGCGTATAACCGATTTCTGGGTCGACATTAACGTTGATAAATCTCTGAAATTTGCCACCATAACTACACATGCTTCCACGGAAGGCAAAGCCTCGGGGGTTTGGTTTGACATTTCATTCAGTGGTACGCCTGTTGTAAGCGAGGCAGTAGCATCTGGTGGAAGTGCTACATTTACAATTGATAACCCAAAACTATGGTACCCGGTACGATACGGTAAGCAGCCCTTATATACAGTCACGGCGACCTTAGACGAAGACGGCAAGATCATAGATAGCGTATCAAAGAAGATCGGCCTACGGAGAGCAGAGCTCATACAGAGGCCACTTAAGGGAGAACCTGGAACGTCATTCTTCTTTGAGGTTAACGGAATTCCCATATTCTGCGGTGGCAGCGATTGGATTCCTGCGGACAACTTCATCCCGCGGATTAGCAAGGAGAGATACTACGACTGGGTTAAGTTGGTGGCGGATGGTAACCAATTTATGATCCGTGTGTGGGGAGGGGGCATCTATGAAGAACAAGCTTTCTACGACGCCTGTGACGAGCTTGGAATCCTCGTATGGCAGGACTTTATGTTTGGCTGTGGCAACTATCCCGCCTGGCCTGGACTTCTAGACTCGATCAAACGAGAGGCGGAAGAGAATATTAAGCTACTAAGACACCACCCGAGCATTGTGATCTACGCCGGAAATAACGAAGATTACCAATACGCGGAGAGCGTCAATCTCACATGGGAGCAGGATAATAAGGATGCTAAGAGTTGGCTGAAGACTGATTTCCCTGCGCGCTACATTTACGAAAAGATTCTTCCCGATGCATGCCGGGAATTAACACCATCTGTCTACTACCATCCCGGAAGCCCTTGGGGAGGGGTTGACACGCGAGATCCTACCGTGGGCGATATTCACCAATGGAACGTCTGGCATGGCACTCAGGAGAAGTACCAGAACTTTGACAAACTAGTTGGGCGTTTCGTATCTGAGTTCGGCATGGAGGCCTTCCCATCGGTAAAGACGATCGATGCTTTTCTCCCTCTCGGCAAAGACGACCCAGATCGGTATCCGCAGTCCTCGACGATAGACTTTCATAATAAGGCAGACGGACATGAGCGACGTATAGCATTGTATCTTGTTGAGAACATGCGGTACGCGCCAGACCCACTCGAGCAATTTGTTTACAGCACACAGCTAATGCAGGCCGAATGCCTGGCGTCGGCATACCGGCTTTGGAAAAGGCAGTGGAAAGGCCCAGGGCGTGAATATTGTTCCGGGGCGCTCGTTTGGCAGATCAATGATTGTTGGCCAGTCACTAGCTGGGCTATCTGTGATTACTACCTGCGTCCCAAGCACGCCTATTTTACCGTCAAGCGCGAGATGGCGCCGTTATCGGTTGGCATGACACGGCGTGAGCACAAATACCCGCGCAATAAATACACACGCGTGGACATAGAAACGAAAGTGCAGATCGAGATATGGGGTAGCAATCTTACCCTCGAGGACCTAACGGTAGATTGCGTGGTCAAGGCCTGGGATGTTGATACCGGGAGGAAAACGTACAGCGAGACGGTCAACAAAGAGCCTCTCGTTCTCCCCAAGAACCAATCTACTGAAATAGTGGCCTTCGATGTGCCAGAGCCAAAGAAAGACGAGGGTATCGATGCTTCGCGAACTGTTGTTGCCGCATACTTGGTAAGCCGTGATGACGGCACTCAGCTTGCGCGTTACGTCAACTGGCCAGAGCCCCTAAAATATTTGCATCTTGCCAAACCAACACAGCTACGTGCGGAACTAAGTAACGATCTCACCACCGTTAATGTTTCGGCCGAGGTCCCTGTTAAGGGCGTCGCGGTCGAGAGCGAGGACGATGATGTCAAGTTCGAAGATAACCTGATTGATATCGTCCCTGGAGAGGTGGTGAGTATTAAGGTACGCGGTGCAAAGGAGGCTACTGCTATTACCACTAGGTATTTAGGCATGATCTAGATATAAATCTGGGTAGTTACTCGATACATAGGTGGATATAGATTAGGATGAAGACGTGAATTGGATACGTTCGCCACTCTCAGTTAATTTAATTTCTAAATTTTTACCTTCATGAATTACACCATTGTACGGTATTTTCCCAATACTCTTTTTTCATACTACCCCCCTTACCAATAACTTCATTCATTTTCCTAGTAGATTTCCTAGTAGATTTCCTAGAGCTAGCCTAACCGAACCCTTCATTATATATGTACGACAAGGGCCCTGGTCTAAATGCCACTTTTACCACAAATTCGTCACGCGTCATGGGGTCTAGATTTGGATTTGGACACCATGTAACTACCTGCCCGGCTAAGTGTCCGATCCTATCGGAGTCGCCCCGTATCCCGTTGATGTCGTATCGGGGAGTGTAACATGGGGAATCCGGGGGGTAGATATGCTGCTAGGGGGCTTATATTAGGAGACCACTTCCCACTTAAACGAGACAGGAATTGATTTGGCTTTGGAGTATATGATGAACGCATCGTGTACTACTTATAGTATGGCCAAAATGAGCATGAGTGACACGAAATACTAGAGCGGAATAGGTGGACTTGCGGTAGACACGTATGTACTATTACTCTTGTAATTTCACTGCATACGAACATTATAGAGTCATACTGATAGTCGCATATAGTAACAAACCGTGTATTACAATCTGCAACAACCGTCGCTCTTATCAACAGCGCACGCCCAGCCAGTACTGGGAAATCATACAGATGTTTCACGACAGGTCTAAGCTTTAGAAGCAACAGCAGCGGCGCCCTTCTCGTTCGGGCCCGCGATCAAGATTTTAATAACCTCACCCTGCTTGACCTTCTTGAACGCGTCCTCGGCCTCTTTGAACGCAACAACGGCGCTGACGAGCCTCTTGACATCGACCTTGCCGCCGGCGACGAGCTCGACGGCGAGCTTGTAGTCACCACTTCCATAGCGGAAGCTGCCCTTAGCGGTGACCTCCTTGATGCACATGGCCATGATGGGGAATGTGATGTCCGACTTGCCCATGCCGCCCTGAACATACGTGCCGCCCGTGCGCACCGCGTGCAAACTCGTCTGTATACTGGGTTCCGCGCCACTTGCGTCGATCACCACGTCCGCGCCGTCAGGAAGGTCTGCCTCCTTCCGGATATTGGCTGCGTTTTGCTCCGCAGATACACGTTGGCTAATATACGTGTGTGTCGAGCTGAAGGACTTGGCAAAGGCGAGCTTTGACTCGACAATATCGACGGAGACTACCTTGGATGCACCAAAGGCACGAGCTACTGCTGCACAGAGAAGACCAACGGGACCAGCTCCCATAACGATGACTGATTGTCCTGGGGTTACGACTGCTTGTCGGACGATGTGAACGGCTACGGCGAGGGGCTCGATCAAGGCGCCTTCTTGCAGGGAGACGTTATCGGGTAGCTTGTAGCAGAAGTCGGCTGGGGCCACCCAGAAGCCCGTCAGGGTGCCGTCGTAGGGAGGCGTCGCGGCGAAACGCATCTCAGGGCAGAGATTGTACTTGCCACTCAGACAAGGTTGGCATCGCCGGCAGGGGTAGCCGGGTTCTAGAGCAATACGATCACCAGCCTTCAACGTTTTCACCTCGGAACCGACTTGGATGACGGTACCGGACGACTCGTGGCCCAAAACCATGGGATCCTTAACAACGAAGTGGCCGATAGCACCATGCTCCCAGTAGTGAACGTCCGAGCCGCAAATTCCGGTGTAGTTCACGGCGATGAGGACATCGTGGGGTGTTTGGAGGGAAGGAACGGGCTTGTCTGAAAACTCGACATCATGGGGTTTATTAAGGATAAAAGAAAGGTTCTAAGACTGTTGTTAGAGAAATATCTGGCGGTCAAGGGGGTACGTTACGTACGCTCGCCGATTTGGGATCCATTTTACCTAGTCAGTAAATATGAGGAACGTCAAGGGAGGGTATCAAATGGATAGATAGCAGAGATACAAGTATTTGACTTCAAAATACAAAATAAGATTATCGTGACTTTTGACAATGGAAACAGGGAGGACGAGATATAAAGTCAACACTCAACACATGAGAATGAAAGAAAAATAAAATAAAATCACTCGCCTCCTTTGCTCCCCCGTACTCGGAGAGCTAAGCTCTGCTAAGGCAAGACAATCTCGTGAGAGCTACAGCATAACACGATAGCGCGGGGCAAGGGTTGGCATATTGGCATCTCATAGTATCTCATAGGACATAGAATGTCGTAATGGCACCTGCAACCCGCCTGCCCACCCACCAGGTCGAGGCGTAGTGGGGAGATCATCCCCGGTCGACCCCCGGTCGACGGTTCTATGATGGAGCTTTGACATTCCAAGTTGCTAATGCTTACAAGCTTCTTCCCCTCGGGCTAGAATCACGTTGTGTTTATCCAATGATTTACCCGGGCCAATCAGCTAAGCAGCGGTGTCTGCGCTAGATCATCCATGTCGTATGTACATATGTACATAGAAGACCTGGGGCTGCGGTTCGCCTATGCTAGCCGGGGTGTGCCGCAGAGCGGGAAGCAAGGAGATCCTGAAGTCACGAAGTATGGTAGCGACAGGAGCCAATCGAAGGATAATAAATTAATTATCTTTTTGACTTATGATCTAATATCACTATCGTTAATATGTATTGGCAGCGGAAATGACGTCAATTTCCAAGTTGTCGATCACCAAGCATGACGCCAACGAAATGATGATTTATGAAGAAAAGCTGTCGTTTGGTAGTTTTCTGGATAAGAGGCATAGTAAAGAAAGAAAGAAAGAAAGAAAGAAAGAAAGTGATTGGTTGATTGATAAATCAGTTTGCGGGGCAGTGGGGCGCGGGGTGGAATATTAAGCACCGAGTTTTTTTTTGTCCGGCAGAAACTTACCGCCAAGAAATTTCTCTACACCGCCCCAACCCTACGAAATAATTTATCCAATAATTCTCACCTTCGTAAGTGGTCTGAGAGAGATAGTCGTCGCAAACGATGGATATTCTGAAGATTCTGTCCCGAGGGACAAAGAGGTCTGCCACTCAACAAGCTATCCAAAAACCTATCGCAAAACCTTCAAACCCCCAGCTCTTCAATGATCCTACTCGAGGTGTGAAGCGCAAAAGGAACGAGGAAACCATCTCGACGCTAGAAGCCGACGGTGATCTGGATGAGATCAACTTCTTTGCGCCTCGAGCAGCTAAAAAGCAGAGTCCCGAACCCGGGATTCGGGAAATACCTAAAGAGAATGTGCCAAAGCCGGTACTTGACGAGGAAGAAGTCCGACAAATCCTTCGGTCGCATCGTTTGAAGTTTACTCTCCTTTCCTCCCACGAAGAAAAAAAGAAGAAGGTGAAGAAGTCCAAAAAGAAGGAAGAAGCGAAGTCAAAATTGAAATATGTAAAGAAACAGCTTTTCCCGCAACCACTAACGTCGTTTTCCGAATTACGTTCCATATACAATATCTCGACTAGACTAGGAGAGAATCTCGCAAAGCAGGGATATCGGATACCAACTGAAATACAGTTGGGCAGCCTACCCCTTTTATTACAACCAGATAGGGCGATACCGACGTCTACTGCCAAAGAATTAAATTTCAAAACTGATAATGGTATTGATTTCTTGGCAGTCGCGCCAACCGGCAGTGGCAAGACGCTTGCGTTTTTGATCCCGGCCATCAACAACATTTTGCGCAGGAGGGCTGGCGATACGGCACAGAAAGAACATGTGTTAGAAGTGGTGGTGGTTGCGCCTACGCGAGAGCTTGCTCACCAGATTGTTAACGAAGGTAGAAAACTGGCGCAGGGCACAGGGGTCAAGATCGTGGGGATGAAGAAGGGCATGCAGGTACCCGCAGAAGGCCAGGTAGATGCCGAGGATGGGGATACCTCTGGAAGCGAGGATGAGGCCGGCAGTGCTGACGATGATTCGGAAAGCGAGCAGAAAAAGATGACAACAACTAAAACGGATATACTAGTCACAACGCCAATGCTTTTACGGAACTACCTAAAATCGAGGACGTTGCCGACGGTCAAATCATTGATCCTAGACGAAGCAGATGTTCTTCTTGATCCTCTCTTCCGCGAGCAGACTCTCGGGATCTGGTCTGCTTGCACTAACGAGTCTTTGCGACTAACGTGTTGGTCTGCGACTATGGGGTCCAGCATAGAGGGTCTTGTCTTGGAACAACTAAAGTCCCGGGAATCTTCTGCTATCCCTCTAATCCGTATTGTAGTTGGACTGAAAGACACCGCAGTCCCAAGCATTAACCACAAACTCATCTATACCGCTACCGAGCAGGGCAAATTGTTTGCGCTCCGTCAACTTCTACACCCTAAATCCTCGGACGATTCGATGCCGCAAATGCGACTTCCTTTCCTGGTATTTGCACAAACAATCGAGCGTGCTACAGCTCTGCATGATGAATTAAAGTTTGATATACCTGCGGAAGCCGGCGGCTCGTCTCGTATCGCGGCTCTCCATTCATCTCTGTCGGACTCGGCCCGTTCGAGCATTGTCGCCCGGTTCCGTGCAGGTGAAATTTGGGTCCTGATTACGACCGACCTGCTCATGCGGGGCATCGACTTTCGTGGAGTCAACGGCGTGATTAACTACGACGTCCCAACGTCCGCAGCAGCCTACGTCCACCGTGTAGGCCGAACCGGACGAGCAGGTCACGAAGGCGGTATGGCTGTAACATTTTACACTACTGAGGATGTCACATACCTTAAAAGCATTGCCAACGTCATCTCTCTGAGCGAGAAACAAGCTGGAAAGAGTAGCCAGGAGAGTATTCCCAAGTGGCTAATAGATTCACTGCCGAAGGTTGGCAAAGAAGAAAAGAAGAAGCTGAAGCAGCGGGGCGTGGAGTCTCGACGAGGTACCAAGGCTGCTAAGATAACGACGCAGAGCGCGTGGGAGAGACGAAAGGAACACAATAAGCGCGGAGCAATTGCTGGAAGTAAAAAGAGGAAGACACAGGAGACGGTTAGTGATACCCAGGGGCAAGACAACAGCGAATGGGGCGGAATAGGGGATTAAGCTTGTTAAGCTTCATTGATATCATCTACTCTTGAAAGCTTTATTTATTCATTATGGCTTAACTTCTTGACAAGCATATTTATAAGACGCTTATCTCAATATATCCCGATTTAATGGGTTTTGTTAACTACCTTTCTATCTCCTAAATTATTTCCGTAATATTCGATCAGCTATTGGTCAATTAGCCTTCACGCCATCCAGTTGTTGAATGACGATGAGTCGGGATTTAGAGCTCCGTGGGGCTCCGATACCGAAGTCCACTTCTTATAGGCGATAACGGCTATCTCAGGTTCAATCTTTCAATATTTACCCTCGGGAAACTCGCCCGGAATGCTAATTCCCCTCCCAAATACTTCCAGATTTTTTTTAAATACGAATTGGAAGTGACTGCGGACCTATAATTATTCTTTGAAGTCCTGCAGTGTAGTAAGATGACATAGCAATCGGTCTAGCTCCAAGGCGTTACTCAATTCAACATGTCGCGACTCGCATGTCGATCGACCTACACCCGGCTTCAATGCGCCGGCGTACCCAGACCCGTCCGGACGGCTTCGCCATGCGTCGCATACCTACAACGTACGCGATCATATGCCACAGAGAAGAAAGATCAGGGATCTAGTTTCCAGGGCCAGATGCTCGAGAGTATAAGCTCGCGAATCGCGCGCGAGAAGGCAGAGAGAGAAAAGTTTGCGAGACAGCGACAGGAGTCCGCGGGAACGAGGCTCTGGGCTACGACTTTCGGTAAGAATGCTCTAAGCTCATCAACATATAAATTATAAACCTAACGATTTTCAACCATTAGTCGTTCTCGGTGCCGCTGCTGGCTCTTACTTCTTAGGCACGAAAGCTCCCCGAGATATTGACCCTACCTCGACTCTTCCTCTAGCTCTTACTCGCGACCCGAAATACAATGTCGACAAGGCGAACCTCGAAGCCGCCTGGGCCGACTTTGCTAGCATCGTCGGAAATGAGAATGTCAGCACAGTGGACTCTGATCTCGAAACTCACGCGAACTCGGACTGGTCGAGTTACCGCAGCAAGAAGTCGGAGAAGTCGTTCATGATAGTCTACCCGAATTCGACAGACGAGGTTAGCCAGATTATGAAGATCTGCCATTCGCGACGGATACCAGTGGTCGGCTACAGTGGAGGTACCAGCTTAGAAGGCCACTTCACACCAACGAGAGGGGGTATCTGCGTAGATTTCCAGAGGATGAACAAGATCATTGCGCTGCACAAGGAGGATCTGGATGTCGTTGTGCAACCGGCGGTGGGTTGGGAGCTACTCAACGAGGAAATTGGCAAGGACAACTTATTCTTCCCTCCTGACCCGGGCCCGGGTGCTCAGATTGGAGGCATGATTGGTACTGGATGTAGCGGTACGAATTCGTACCGGTATGGCACTATGAGGGAATGGGTACTCTCGCTTACTGTCGTGCTGGCGGACGGTACGGTAATCAAGACCCGCCAAAGGCCGAGGAAGAGTTCTGCGGGTTACGATCTGACGAAGCTCTTTATCGGCAGCGAAGGCACTCTGGGTCTTGTCACTGAGGCAACTCTTAAGCTTACCACAAAACCCGCTAGCACGAGTGTGGCGGTTTGCGGTTTCGGTACGATTCGGCAGGCTGCCAACTGTGTCGCGAAAGTGGTTGGTCAGGGTGTCCCGGTTGCTGCCGTCGAAATTCTCGACGAAGAGCAGATGAAGTGCATCAACGAAGCTGGTATGACGTCGAAGCAATGGAAAGAAGTCCCTACACTGTTTTTTAAGTTCTCCGGCACCGAGCGTGGCGTCAAAGAGCAGATTCAGATTGTCCAGGAGATGGCTAAGTCAACGGGTAGCAAGAGCTTCGAGTTTGCCCGCTCCGAGGTCGAAAAAGCCGAGCTGTGGAGCGCACGCAAGGAGGCGTTATGGAGCACCATGTCCGTCGCCAAGCCCGGCGAGAAGGTTTGGACCGGAGATGTAGCTGTTCCTATGAGCCAGTTGCCTCTCCTCATCGAGGAGACTAAGGACGACATGAAGAAGAGCGGCATGTACGGCACTATTGTCGGACACGTTGGCGATGGAAACTTTCATAGTAAGTGGCCGGTATATAGCGGTTTGATTTTTCTAACAAGGTGCTAGTTATTCTACTTTCAAATGACGAGCAGAGACATGCTGCCGAGGAGCTAGTGCACCGCATGGTGAAGAGAGCCGTCGAATTGGAAGGAACAGTAACAGTGAGTCTTCCTAGGTAGCATCCAAATATCAGATCTAATAAGTATAGGGTGAACACGGAGTTGGTCTAGTCAAGAGGGATTATCTACCGCACGAACTAGGCGAGAGCACAGTAGACACGATGAGAAAGGTAAGTTTATAAGCGTCCTTCGGCTAATAAAATACTAACCACTCTATAGATCAAGCAAGCGCTTGACCCTCTCAGTCTGCTAAATGCCGACAAGGTTGTCCGGGTACAGAGGCCGAAGCCTGGTGAGGTTGCCGAATGGTGATGCTACTATATAATCAGCATTTGTATAGGCGACATCGTTACCCCTTATATACCTCCTATCTATATCCCGGCGTATTGCCTAAAAATACCGATTTTGTAACTTCACGTGTACTTATCCATTTCTATGCCTCATTCACTCCAGATATTGTACGAGTGCGAATATGTGGGAAGCGATTATGTCTTTGAGCCTTAATGGTGTTGCACTTTCGCGCCCTATTAAATTCGATACTATGGGGCATTTACTCCATGCGTGTTGCCCCAAGGCTCAATAACAGCTGTGAGCCACCGCTACCACTACCCCTTTACGCCAATCCCCATGTCGGCACCTTATTCAAATATACGACTTAATCACTCATACACGAAGCAAAAAGGCGAAGCCCCTACGGTGTCAAGCAATTCGCGGTACTTGAACGACCCGCCAACCGGGCTAACGTCAAGCACGTCGTCCAGCGTTCCGTTGCGACTCGCCGGCATGTTCATCATAGTGATAGTTCCAGCCATGGTCTACATACGTCTTAGTCAACGCCTAAAATCAAAATACTTGATGATGATCTCACCTGTCGGTTCTCCCAGTCAAGGTTCTGCCAGATGAAGTACATGCGGTCGATCTGTCCGTGGTGCTGATAGAAGCCAGGCTCTAGCGGTGAGAAGTAGAAGTCCCCGCCCGGGTCGCCAGCTGGATATGCATTAGCTAAGTCCGCGTACTCTAAAGCCTAAAACTTACCGATGGCGAAATGACCACCACCGTGAACGGCGAATCCCCACTTGCGGGCCTCGGGCCAGCGAAAATCACCTTGCAGATTGGCCTGGAACAGAGCGATGTCGGGGCTTTCGAGGATCGTCTCAGTGGTATTTTGGAGGGAAGCCCACTGGGCACAGATCTGAGTGTTCAAATCTCGCTTCAGACACCGCGGGTTATACGCCAGCGGGTCTTTGGCGGTGTTAGGCCCGAAGTTGACCGTGTAGTTAACAAACGGCCCCTTGGTCACGCAGCCGCCGCCTGAGCCGCCCGGGAAGAAACCCGGGTTAGTCTTGAGCTTGGCTCCGTTCGATCCCAAAGACGTCTCGGAGCCGTCGAAGAGGGGAGATTTTTCAACGCTGCCGGCGTCGAGGCCCCACTGCAACCAGAGTTAGATCTGTCGCATGAGGCTTAGCTGGAAGCTAACTTACCTCCCAGTACGGTAATGCGCCGGTGTAGCCGCACATGGTCCTCAGCTTCTCCTCGAAAGTCCAGATGTAAAGTCTGTGGAAGAGGAGGAAGTATGCCTGCGCATACTGTTAGAATCTCGCGTAGATGTGCCGATAGAGTTGACATACCGAGTTGTGGACATACGGTGTCATCTTGTAGTGCAGAACGCCGAAGCTGTCAAACATGGACCTGATCGAATAATTAGGACTGAGCGCCCCCAAGTTCATCTTGAGTTTAGAACTTACTTCGGACCAGTCACGTTCTCGTACACATTCGGCAGCTTCATCAGACACTCGACGGCCTTGATATATGTCTTTCGTTCTTCTCCGGGGATGTTTCTCCTATCCGTAGGTTAGACCTGCATAGTAAAGTCGGGAATAATACTTCGTACCATTCCTTGCGCCTCCTAACATTCTCCTTCGTACATGTCGACGAACCGTTTTCAAGACGAGCTAGAGCGTTGTCTAGAGCTGTCTGGCCTAGCTGCTGTAAAGCTTTGCCAGAACTGATATCCTCCTGAGGAAAGTCGGCGCCGACAGCGAGCCCCTGAAGGGACGCGCCCACAAGAGCGAACGACAGTAGCTTCTTGAGGAACCCCATTGCAACAGTCGCAACAGTGACTATTCCTTACTTCTCTTCTCTGAAGATGACAAGAAAAGCCCCTCCTATATCCTTCATCCTCGCCAACCCGGGGGAGCACGATTTTCTATACCCCCTATACGCCAAGACCCGCCAGGCTGCGAGTATGGCAGAATGGCAAAATGTGGGGAACCCCTGTCCGCATGGAAGCGACTCAGAGGCTGCCAACCAAGGGGATGGACACGAGAAAGTAAGGTTAAAAAGCGTTACAATATACCACGAGGCAATTTTTTTTTCCAGTCCTCGCTATCGCGCATATTAGATTCGGACGCACTCCATTGGCCGCGGGGCGCCGATCATCACCTTAGCGATGGGAAAGGGTAGTCGACAAAGTGCCGGACGCGCAGCCAGACGGCTACCCAACAGGGGATGCGCAGAGGGCTAAATAGAGTGGCAGAATGCCGCTCACCATTGGTTCCCGACACCCCTTGCCGGGTCGCTTGATTGAGCGGTCACTTGATTTCTGCCGGCGAGCGTAATTTCGATGACAGAAATAATAACAAGAAATACCCCTTTCTGTGCGAGGCCTCGCGGATTGTCTCTCGCCTCTGGAATCCCAAAGGGGACGCGGCGCAGATACACGGACCGGGACGGCATGGCACGGCAGCCATGAAGTGGTGTCTTTGCTGCCATTCGCGATATTTATCCACCCTGTTGGGACCGGGGTGCGGGTTGTATGCCTAGTGTTATGTCGTATATTTGCGCAGAGGGAGCCAACTTGGCGCCACGCTTGTATCCGCCCTTGCATAGATGCGCGCTCCGGGTCTATATAATTAGGACAAGGCCTCGCCCACGGCACTTGCGCCCTACGCGACGATGGCGAGTGCTGGATATGCCGGTTATCCGAGCTAACCCAGTGAGGAACGAGTAAGGACGGTTTCGGCCTGGTTGGATATCCTTGCCTTGCGTGCTCGAGACGATGCTCCGGAAACGTAGGTTGTATACAAGCTTTGCTCGGCGGATAATGGGCACAATTTGGCAGCGGTCAACAGGCAAGGGGGTGGTTTAGCTGCCGTGGCTGGATGTGGATTACGCATGATATTGTTGTTAGAATTACCTATGGTTCTATTGGTGAGAGTAGGTCTTCCGGGGCAACGTCGTATGAATGCTGGACTATTATCGTCATATCCGATATCCTATAATGCCACTGTCTTACTGCCAGTAAACACTCTGTCATAGATATAGATATGCCGTGTTCTTAACTCAGCCCTTAGGTCAGGAGGTGTTAATGAAGATAAACGAGGGAGTATAAATCTAAGATGATGTGGTAATTCAGGCTTCCAAATTATTTCACTATCTTTTCCTTATTCATTGTTCGTGTTACGTTCCCGGTTATTTATAGCATTAGCCATGCTCGAAGATACTATAGCGCAATAGCTTTCAACATATTCTAGCATTGAAGCATTTTTCTTAATTGGGATAAATATAGCAAGTACGGCGGTGTGTAATTATTATGAAACTTAAGCAGTCCTAATTTTGAAATACAATAAATAAGAAGTCTTTGAAGTCTTTGGATCTAACTGCCAGATCTTAAATACCCTTCACAAATGATAGTTCTATCTAAGAACCATCTGGTATTCATCGGCTAGGTCGGTTCACTAAAATATCAATACTTGTCCGTATATTGTTTCTTATCTGATCCTTGACCCTCAAGTAAGGGTAGCATTATTGGCAAGTTTATTCTAGGATCATTGATGCGCCTAGGTAAGGGGCTTACTTGTGCATAAATCGAATATTAGGAGTTCTAGCCGGTGGAGGCCACCAGGCAAAATATCAAAAGTATTGTTCCATTCGCGTGGCCTTAAACTGGGGGGAGCTACGTGATGCCGCCTTTAATGAACTCGGACGTGAACTGTTAGCTTTTATACGGGTCTACCTGTGCCGTGTGAGAGGGGACGCATTTACCCCTGGAAATCTTTTCGTGATTGAAGTAAGTCGAATATGTAGAGGATCCTATTCTGGATATGTTTAGGAAGTTGGCGCCAATGTAGTTGACGGAAACATAACAACCTTCTTTGCACCTTGAGCACTTAATTTATTAATATTAGTAATCCAGATATGAATTCATTATTATTAGGTTTTGTTCTTGTGAATTCTTTACCGTGTGCTTCGTCCCGAAAAGTATTGTAGTATTGCTCATGATTTCGAGAACACTAAGGCAAACATCAGTTATTGGGATGGACTAAGCTATAAATGTTCCTGCCGCGCCTAAGATGAGACGACCATTGAACAAGTGCAGAGCATCTAAGCCCCGTACAGGGTAGTTCACGGGCATGGAAGCAGAGTAAGGCGAGAGCACAGCTTAGAAGGGAGATCGAGGCCTTCAAGTAGGACTATCCGATAAAAGGCCAGCATCTTCAAATGCTGAAAGAGTCCCGAAAGGCTCAGTAGGCCTCATTCGTGTAAGTCTTTTGAATCATAGACCGTTTAGAAGAATTATACCCTAACAAATTTATTTCAGTCGAAACTAGAGTCTATATATTATTTCCACCCCGATGCAAATTCGCCTCTGTATGCCTTCCAGCGTATCGCGGGAGATAAGACATTTGTCGTCGTTACCATCACTCAAGTCTGAATAGTAAATTCGAACAACTGATTGCCTCAGATATTCTCTTTGCATGTCCGGCGGCCGATGGTAGAAAAGCAATCCCGTTATGCGTTGTATCATCCCTTCGCAGAGGCAGTGGCTTCCATAATCTGCGATCTTCCGACCATGGTCCTATCCGCCGTATGCTTTAATATACCCCTGTACATTATGGTCCACTCGAGGCAGGATGCCGTTTCGTTCTTCAAATTTCTCCTATTTGGGCTCACATGTACGTTCACAATGTCTATGATTCTCGGGATTATCGCACAAAGAACTCGCATCATACAGCAAGCCGTGACACCAGCTGCTATCTTCATCCGAGGTCTGGTTATATATACCGGGTTCACTCTCCCTACGAGGAGCATGCAGGGTTGGCCTCACTGGATTAATTATCTAGACCCAATCGCGTATGTTTACGAAAGCCTCGTCGCGACCGAGTTTTCAAACCGGCAATTTTCTTGCGCCTAGTTTGTGACAATGGGTCTGTCCTATGCGAACGTTACTCGGAGAGGACGTGCTCTGTCGCAGGTACCTCACCCGGCCAGGGCTTTGTTAGCGGAGACACGTTTATCAACGAAGATTTCGGGTTCTGTCAATCTCATATCTGACGGCACGTCTAGTAGAAACATATATGTTGACTCTTATTACCGACTTGATAGGTAGAAACTTTGGTATCCTCGTTGGCTACATCGTGTTCTTCGGAATCGTATACACGCTTGCGACACAATGTCTTTCACTTGACCAATCTAAGGGCGAAGTCTTGGTCTTCCGTCGGAACCGTGCTGCTGCGGATGCTAAGAGGTTGCAAGATGAAGAATATGGAACTGTAAGCATCCCGCTACCCAAAAGAGTCGGGTCCTTTGCCGAAAAGGAAAAAGGAGCAGGGAGGCAAATATCCTGCCGATGCTCTCACTGAACGGGCTTCAGCCACCCAAAGCCAGAGAGTTTTCACTGGGTTGATATATGCTACGATATTTCAATTAAGAGCCAATCTAGACGGATCCTGGATCATATTGACGGATGGATTAAGCCCGGGACCTTAACAGCTTTAATGGTATAATGCACCTTGTAGTGTCTGGAGCAGGAATAGTGACTGACTATAGAGCGCGACTGGAGCAGGGAAGACCGCTCTTATTGACGTATTAGCCGACCGCCTAACAATAGGTATAATGAACGGTGATATTCTAATCAACGGAATTCCTCGCGGAGACACTTTTCAAAGACAGACCGGCTACGTCCAACAACAGGACATTCACTTTGAGACGGCGACTATTAGGGAAGCCTTACGGTTTAGCGCGGCCCTTCGACATCCTTTTAATATTTCAGGAGAAGAGAAGTACGCTTATGCAGAGGACGTTATCAAACTCTTGGATATGGAACCATACACTGATGCAATAATTGGCGTGCTTAGCGAATGTAAATATAGACATAGTCCAAGTCCAAGAGATCGAGTCTGTTAATTAGGTATGCAGGTTTGAATGTTGAGCAGCGCAAGTGTCTGACTATAGGGGTATGAAGCCATACGAAAAGAGCTTAGAGTCATGGAACTGGGACCACCAGGGACCGAGAATGCTCGCGTAGATGAAGACAGCGACAACATGTCCACGGCGTTCTACGCGACCCCCTTTCATTACTAATTCCTGTTGTGTGTCAAGAAAGTGCTCGAACAATACTGGCGCATTCTGTATATATAATACGCCAAGTTGATACTCTGCGGCGGCAGGCCCCTTTTCGTCGGATTGTCCCTCTTTAGCTCCGAGCTGACATTATCCAGCCTTCAGAACTAGATGTTCGCGATATTTACGCTATTGGTCATCTTCGCGTTCCTCGTTCACCAGACCATGCCTCAGTTTATCCCCCAGCGGCAGCAATACGAAGCACGAGAACGATCATCCCGAGCGTACTCACAGTATACTTTTCTCTCTCACTAATATGGTTGTTGAGTTGCCTTGGAACACGCTGGCATCGTTCCTGAGTTTTGTTCCGTTCTGCTACCTCGTTGGCATGATTGAAAACGTCATTCCGACAGATTCTATTACCGAGCGCGATGGGTTTATGTTTTTTCTACTCTGGACAGTCTTAGTCTTCGAGTCCACATTCGCAGACATGGTGATTGCTGGCGTAGAAACAGCCGAGGTTGGGGCCGTTATCGGTCTCCTTTTGTTCGCCATGTCTTTTATATTTTCGGGGTAAGTAGATACCTATCTTTCGCAATTCTAAATATTCTACTGCTAACTCCATCGGCAGTGTAATAGTCCCTCGGAGCTCTCTACCTGGATTTTGGATCTTAGGTATGTACCGGGTCTCACCATTTACATATATCATCAGCGCTGTGCTCGCCGTTGGCGTTGCAAATCACGAAGTCCGCTGCAGTACCCTTGAACTCTTGCACTTCCAACCTCCCAAGGGAGAGACTTGTGGCCAATATATTGGCCCGTACAACCAGGTAGCCCTCGGCGCTGTATACAACCTAGAAGCTACTTTGAACTGCAGTTTCTGCTCTCTAGCGAATATCGATACTTTTCTTGCATCCGTCGACTCGCTCTACGTCGACAGGCGGCGCAATCTTGGCCTGATCTGGGTTTACATCGGTTTCAACGTTGCTGCCGCCTTACTCCTCTACTGGCCCGCCCGAGTCTCTAAGAAAATAGATTGGGAGCTTCTTCTGGAACTTAAGCACCGTATTATGCCAAAGCGTCGATTTCGCGCGGGTCCTCAACATTCATGAGACCGCCGACATGTTTTAGGGCTGGTTGCTATTACCTGAAACTGACGTCGTCGCACTTACTTTCTCCGTATTTTGATCCCCTTTTATGTATATTTCCTACCGTGAAACTGGAGCTTTGTGAAATGTGTATAGGGTTCTAGGTGTTGGGATAATAACTACCCGGATAATACCTTCCTTTTTTATATAGAAAACTTGCTGGGGGGGAAGACGGATAAGAAAACTATGGGGTTACCATACATAGGAAACGCGGCATGAAGCCAGGCTTAAAACGGTAAGAAGGGATCTCCGGGTACATGGCACGAACCAGGGGAACAAGGGAACTAGCCGCTTTGCGTGGAGATTCGAACGCCATGATCTCGGCTCGGCTGATGCGCCGGTTCGAGCTCGAAATTTGTCCGAATTATGTATTCGTATTGAAAATAAAGCGAGCAAAGACGCGGAGGACTTCGGTAATGCTCAGAGTTGATATTCGTCCGTTGGTAATTTCGATTCATTTGACTTCCCTAGCCGGATTCCAACAGAGCCGGTAGACATGTGAGAGGTTATGCCCAATGACCAGGTTAGAAGAGAGGCTGCAATAAATAAGATAGCCAAATATAGCCGTAGGTTAATAGGGGGCTTTCCAGCATGCGGTCGTTACTCGGTTCTTTCGCTCAGGCACCTTTGATGGTGTAGTTCGTAAAGGGTTTCTATGCTACCCTACTTTAGATCTTATTCGCGATTGATAATACCTTCAATATATTCGGGTCCGCCGTGACGCATGGAAGGCTGCAATATTGCTGGCCGGCTATTTTGTACTGCGTTAGGATTCGAGAAACTTCATACACTTGCTACGTCGTTGATTAAATCCCCCTGAGATACGTTGGTAACCTCATAGGATACCTGATTTAGCTCAATCTGTGATGTGAGGATCGATTGCGATTTCAGCAAGACTTTGTTTCTTTTTTTCTTTTTTTTCTTACTTGTCTGTTCGCCATCCCCGGCGGCTAAGATGCGGTTAAGACGGTTAAAACCCTCTAAAGAAGAAAGAGTAACTATTATGACATGACCTAATGAGGGAATTTGGAGGGTAGGCGCGTTATGGAAAGTTACCTAAGACAGTATTAGAGCTCGTTTCTACCCCCTAACCTAGTACATAGGTAGGTTTGGCTCTAGAGCACCGGTTCGCAGCTCTAGCGGCAAAACTAGTGCTTGGTAACCACTTGTAGCTTGGTAGACCCCACTTAAAAGGCCCTGGACCCCTAGACCGCCCGCTTCAATTAGCTCTTTCGAATTGGAGCAAATTCCAATTTCACTGAATAGCGGACATGGCAATAGGCATGGCATGTTACTTGGTGCATCCCTTAAGTACCCTCGTATACTAGCCTAGGCGAGTCACAACCTGCAACACCGACCTCGCTACTTTGGCGCTTGGGCTAGGGTCAGTTACCTAACCTACCTACCTAGGTAGGTAGGACCTTTTTTTGCGTTACTCTCAAGTGGAAATCTTCGTCGACAAACTTCCTCTTCCTCAGCTCGTTTTTTCTCTTTAGCAGGTTCTCCCCTACTACTTGGGTTAATAAGATGCTTCATCTCACAGCCCTTTTTCTCCCCTAGCGACGACATCTCTTAGGATATTCATCCATTAATCCCCTTTCCTTTTGTGCACCTCGATATCTTTGCAATCGTTGCTCGGCCTCCATCTCCATCCTCTCCCCCGATTTCTCACATCAGACCTCTCTCACACTCTTTCGATCGTTAACCTGGGACACCAATTAACTAGTACATCGCTATCGCACTGCGGTGTGAGGAATTGTAGTGATAATTCTTAATTCGCCGAGCCTCTTTGTTTCGCCTAGATACCCAACAATGCCAAGTCCTCGTAATCCCCTTTGACTCGGCTCGAACACTCCTTGATACCCCGCGGCGTAACATCTCGCTGACAGCTAATTCATATTCTCGACACATCTAATCGCCACGAATTCTCCGAGTCGTAACTATTCCAATTAATCTTTCGGATCCCTGCAGTACTATTGTCTTATCTTCTGTCGTCCATTGGCATCGTTTTCGGTCGTACCGACTTTCCGTAGGCGACATTTGGTTGCACAGGACCTGTCAAGTGTCGGGGTTGTCGGGGTCGTCGGGGTCGAATCTGCAGGGTCTACTATATTTTCTAGCACTTTGCCCCAGAGTTGATAAACTAGTCGTGCTACTGGACAGTCTGGTCAAGATTCGTAGAGAGGTGAGGGGGCATGGTTCTTGATCTACAAAATGGCCCTGCCGTTGTCTCTCCACCATGATGAGGATCGTTCCATTCTTCTATCTGACTCCGAGGACGACGACCTGCTCCCTGCACCTCGTAAAGTACGCGAGCCGACAAGATCCGTATCTAGGGATAGTGAGGAGGCCATGCGCCAGAAGACCAAAGATGCGGCTGCCAACATCCCAATCCACCCAATACCTGCCATGCAGCCAGCCTTCTCCGAGTCCCTAATCGAGGCTACTAATAGTCCTGCCCTATCGAAACCAAAGCTCAAATTTGCTACAGCGAGGGAACGTAGAAACTACTTGCTAGACGGGGCTAAGGGAGAAGGGCTACATAGCGAGTTATGGCGATACCGACCAGGCCAAAAATACCACGAGCTCTGGAAGCTCATGGCTCAAATATCGTTCGGTGTACACTTACTACTCAACGGGATCGCGAATAGTAATGAGCAGGTGGTTAGTATCCTCCAAGGTCACATCGACGAGGTAGACGAGTTTCTGGAGACTATATTGGAAGATGTCGAACTAGCGATACATGATATTCGAGATCGCATCGACCATCTGAAGCTGCCAATGCAGAACATCGAGACTTTTGAGCAAATGCTGGAAGATCGCAATTTTCGGTTGCAGATAGTAATTGGGAACGAGAAGATCGAGCATATAATCTCTCGGACTACAACCTCGCTCGAAGTGGTGGTGGCGGATATCGGCGAGGGACTGGGTGCCACGAAAGAGTTTGCAGCATATCTCAGCAACCAGCAGGATGGTGTGTGGCAACAGCAGCACCCAGATCTTGGGGATATTTTCGACGCTATGAGGGGGAACGCCCAAGGCTGGTACAAGGCCTTTCTCGAATTGCAACATACAACGTCGAATTTGCGCACCCTGCTCAACAAGCTTGACCGGATAGTATCGGAAATGAACTATCGCGCCGGTGAAGTGAGCCGGAGAACAAGAGTAAGAAATTATGTTACTAGGTGGTATACAAAATATGCTAACTTTTTAACAGGCAAGTGTTATCCCGTTCTCTAGCCCGACAGACCAGCCTCTGCCGAAGAGCAACTCGCGAAATTCGTCGATGCGATCGTCTGATAGATGGCCACCGAAACTCGAGCTACCTAAGACTACGTCTCAAAGATCCGCAGCGGGTTCAGCCGCAACTAGGGAGACGCTCATGGTAGTCCAGTTCAACGCCCCGATAGAACTAATGTCGCCAGTGGAGTTAGAGGCGGACACGGTTCCAAGAATGGCTATAACCATCGAAGAGGACTTGGAACCTGCCGAGGAGGAAAGGGAAGAAAAGAAGGACGAGCCGCCGGCGGATGAAGGCCTCTACATTCTGCAGCCGCGAACGTATACTCCACAACCGCCTGCACCGATACCTTCACCAAGAGTCCAAGATTCGACATTCGAAGACCTTCCCCTCCCAATAGAGGACCTTGAAATCGAAGACCTTGAAATCCAAAGCCCTCTAATAGAAGACCCTCCAATACGACATTCCCCAATCACGACGCCAGAGGAGCAACCGAAGAGAACATCTTTGCGACAGAGGTTGTCTCTAAAAGGAAGCAACCTACCCGAAGCTATCCAGGTTCCTTCTCGCAACACGCCTGAGCTCCAGAGGCCCACGTACCTGGACGCGCAATACCAGTCTCCCGGGTACTTACCCTCGCGCACCTACCAAGGCCCAGATTCTGCCTACGGCTCCGATAACGAGGCACGGCAACCGGTCCGTTCAATGACGGAATTCGGGGATATGATGCCACCGCCAGGTATTCCGGCCACGGCGTTACCTTCTCCGCGTTCGGACAGGCAGCACTACTTCCCGGTGCGAGCAAGTCCTCACTCGCCTCTGCAGCAGAGACCGTGGACGGCTGGCACGCACGTCCATGCGGGCCATCTGAGAAATCAGCCTTCGGCGATGGGAATGAGCATGCTAAGTAACGTGACAACGCTTAACCCGGAAAATCAGAAGGCGGTAAAGAAGAAGCGTAGTGCGTTCGGGTGGTTGAAGAAGGCATTCTCACTCGATGACGAAGAACGTGCAGAATTCGAGGCAAGGAGAGCACAGCAAGTTCCTAATCCATACTATGAAAATCGAAACCCTCAGTACTTAGATGGCAAGCGTGTACCGGACTATAGGCGTCGCCAATAACCCAATTGGGGGGAAACCCGACGGCACTGCAGGAACCTTGAACTATTATTCTTCGACTCGGAGATCGTCGGTGTGGGGATTTTTTCGATGGGGCTTTAAAGGCTAATAAATGGTCATCGATTGATCTACAATCTGATCGGCAGGCATCAAAGCGAGCTTAAAACAGAAATGTCCCAGTTTGTGCGGAACGACAAGTGCGACAAACATTCTGCTGGACCGCTCACCCATCGTCGATGAATCGGCGTGCTTAGATGAATCTAAGAACAAATAGCCATATATGGTCTGCTTATTCTACTCCTAGTCAATTAGCATATCTGATACCATATATTGCGTCTTCATTTACTTGGGATGAGCTCGAGCCCGACACATTTATCAGCTCAAGTTAGAGTAAAACGATGGAAGAGATTGGAGTTGGATGCGTTAGTACAGGGATACTCCCTGAACAGCGTCACCACCTCGAAGCATTATCCTTTCCGAGCACGAGGACTACCTACCTGAGGTACCCGCGTCCTATCGGAGCGGCATCTTACAGGCCTTACCATGTAATGTATATACGTACAGGTGTATGATATGGGTGTCAAGCTTTTTACTACCTAGGTGATGGCATAGCGATGCATTTCGGATGCGCGGAGTTTAAAGGGGCAGGTCATGGACGACCCAGTCATTTCAATCTTGCTATCGAAGTAATCGTAGTTATAAAGGTATTTTCACTTCATTTGCTCCAGCTTATGTTCTTAAGTCCTTTGCCTCTCGATATATGATTATGAGATATCTTCATGGGTCTACCCTAATCGCTTTTCGTTGGTCTATCTAGGTCAGGTAGATAGCTAGGTAGGTATTTAGGTATGACAAGGCGAGATTATTAAATATGTGTTATATGACTTATATTGGGTGGTATGTTGAATGTCTCCTACTATTGCACTATTGCACTTCTAAATGAAGCTATCTCCAAAGCCCTGTTTCCCCCCCGCATAATCTCGGCGCTTTGCATGCACTAGCGTGCCTTGAATCCGGACTCTCTGCCTATCTGGGAACACGGCGCCTTTCGCTTACGCGCGCCGAAAGCAGGGGCAGGCAACTGAGCCTCATTTTGTACACGTATGTTTACATTATTTAGTTTGGATATTGCTAGGGTCTATTTCAACGTCAGCACTTATAACGCAACTTGTCAGAGTCTTTCTGCATTTGTTATATTACGTATATATGTACCCATCCTGCATGCATGCTTTGGGTCATCAAGTCGTGAATAATGTCTTCGGTTGCGGTCTCTAGCGATCTGATGAGCGCCTTTAAGTTCGGCACGGGGAACTGGGATCCGGAGCACCGCTTCGAGACGTCGTGGCTGTTCCCGCCGTATGTTCTGTTCGCTCTGCGGCTGTTGATGGTAAGTCCTCTTTCTTTGTGCGCAGATATGTATATTATAATGCCCACATGTTGTATGCATGGACATTTATGTCATTTATGTCAGGGATAAGCCCGAAACATGCCGCGACAAACACCGGTGCCGCGGCGGCGGGTTGCATATTGTGACGTACGTCCGAGCGATACTCAAGACTGGCGTGCGTCTTGAACTCACTTGCTTCGACCTCTGTTCTGTTCTCTATACCGCATGCATACAGGTCAATACAAGCCGGTGCTAATCATGTACAGTCCCTCTACGCCTTCGTAACATTGCTTTTCAATATTGGATACCAATGCGCCCACACCGAGTTAGGCGGGTGCGAGGCCTCGCGTGCCGAGTTCTCATTCTTCACGGTGCTCACGTACTGGGGCCTCGCCTTCTACATGCTCGTAGCATCAGTCCACACATTCACCTACGCGCGGTACTCCAACCCCTTTCTCGCCCGCTTCCCGCGGCCATTGCAGGTCCTGCACGCTCTATTCTACAGCACCGTAACGACATTCCCCTTCCTAGTAACCATCGTGTACTGGGGCGTGCTGTACAGCTACGGATCCGCCTGGTTCCCTACCGTCTACGGCGCCTGGAGCAACATCAGCCAGCACGCGATGAACAGCCTCTTCGCGCTCTTCGAGATCTTCCTCACGCGCGTGAACCCCCAGCCCTGGATGCACGCGCTCTGGCTCATTGTCATCATGGCGCTATACCTGGCCCTGGCGTATCTGACGAAAGCGACCAAAGGCTTTTACGTGTACCCCTTTCTCGACCCGGGGAGGACCGGATCCCTGGTCGCTGCGTACATCTTCGGGATCGGCGCTGCTACGCTTGTGGTTTTCGCTATTGTGAGGAGTCTTGTTTGGATGCGTCGCTGGCTTACGGAGGAGAAGCTGGGGCGGCATGGCAAGTTTGCCGACTTCCCGCCTAGGAATATTCAGGAGGTCGAGCTGGGTGATATTCATGGGGCTGGAATTAAGTAATTCGGATACGGAAGCACTGGCTACTAGTTGATTAGCTATTATGGGATAATACGGTAGGCTAAATATGGTTTGTTTTCTATGTTTCTAAGCGAGCATCCTAGTGATTAAATATATCTACCTGGTAGGCAATGATATTCATCAATATCATCCATGTCTTAACATTTGTGATTGCGATATACTACGTTGCTTGCATCGAGTTTTACACCGAATTAAATGAGAAGAGCGTGTTTTACCGACTTGTTATTCCGCAGATGTCATGCAAGTGACCAAGGAAATGAATGTCATGCGTGAAGATACCGAGTTTAATAGTCTTCTCTACCGTACCTTGTGCGTATATGGAGACCTAATAGGCGTGATACTAATATTATATAAGTCTGTTAGAGGTTTATTACACGGCTCGTGTAATTAATATGCCAGGGCAATCAGGTAATAAGGCCACTCAACACAGAGATTGCAACATTTGGTTGAAAAAGCCCAGGTATAAAAGCTTAACAGTCATATTATATGGAAGAAGAGCTCTCCACTAATGCACTTATATACTACGAGCTAGGTCCTCGACCATCAATTATATGCAACCATGATGAAACTAGCTAATATTACAATATTTATTAATAGTCCGAAAAGTTAGTTAAGAAAGAGAAATATGCCTATATTGGCTAACTATTAGGATTTTACATGAGATATTCAAAGCAAAGGACACTTTTAATATGCATAACTATAAGCACCTATAGCTAGCTGAAAGGTCCATTGTAGAACAACGTATAAAAAATGTCTTCTATTATAATGACTCGGGGCTAATAATATGCGCAATCTAACTCTCTAGACTTTTTTGCATACCTGTACGGCATTGCATTCTTATATACTAGGCCTTAACGTTAAAAAGCACTTGAGGTGATATCACCAAAAACGCTGCAACTAATATCATAACCACAAACAACATCACGTATAAGTATAGGATAACATGCCTTTTATTTGATTATAAGCTAATAATATTGTTACCCGAGTCCTCCTGCCTTTTTTTATACCTGTACAACAAACATTATATTCTTATATATCCGGCCTTGGTTGCGACCGGTGCTGCGGCTAGTGCTATAGCCAATTGTCACACAACTGATAGGGCCTTGATATGAGGCAATATTGATGAAATTCTTGATGATTTGATTGATAGTTGTGAGATCGTGGGAACGCGTTTTTCACCGCTAATTACAATACAACTTCAATCCAACCATAACCAATCAAAGCCTACATAAGGTGCCGTATCCTCGCTTTCTAAGTTAACGTACATAAATTTGATTGGTTCGCCGGAATCGACAGAAATCTTAGCGTGAAAAAAGGAAGACGAATTACTCATATGACTAGCCAAGTTAAAGTTTTTGTTTATAAAAAAGGAAAAAAAGATTTTAGTTCTTTTTTACAATAGTTAGTTAATAAATTTTAGTCGATTTGACATATATTTTATACTTGAAATCTATGCTTAATATAATAATATGTCCTTAGGGTGAATTTTAGGGTTATACAACGTCATATAGCTTCGACACTCGAGCCGCGTAGCAAATTTGAGCGGACAGCGTGGACAAAGATAGTTTAATAGCACGGCCTGTCCTTTACTACCTCGCTTGAACTTGGCAAATGTTGAAGAGAGTTTATCGATACCGGGATGCACATTCCTCTTATGCTTCTCTAATTCTTTAAGGGAACCAAACCCGATCCACGCCGCCGGGCAGTTCTCTTCGTCACACTTAAACGGCCGCTCATGGCGGTCGTAATGCTGCTGTCTTGACGCCCGAGAATTGAACCCTTCATGGAAGTAGTAGCATGATACTTTCCTACATTTGAACCAATTGGGACCGTAGGACTTTTCGAGAGCCGTCATCTCAGCCCTGTCATCCGTAATTGACTCTACATACTCTTCAAAGACATGTCGATTTCTTCCTATACTCTTCCCTAGTGATACTAGACTAATGTCGTCTCTTCTATTGTCTATCAGTAGCCTCCGAGGCTCCGCATGCTTCCAGATCATAGTCATAGCTGGAAAGTAACCAAGAGATGAAAATAGGGAATAGTCTGGGGGTGTCTTTGAAACTGTCGACGACGCAGCTAGATCGGCGTGGAAACGGTCGGCAAATATTGTCAGTGCATTCGAGGTCTCCGTACTTTCAGCAAACCATTCCCGTGTACTTGTTTTTGACGTAGAAAGCATGGCAAGAAAATGATCAGTCTAATGGGCGGCAGCGTAATCCTGAAACGCATAACACCCTTTCCTTATTAATTGAAGCATATTATCATCTCCTATGTCCTCTTCAAAATAGTCAAAGGCCAAATAGTAAAGGCAAAGCATTGCCATGGCATGTTCTGCCTCAAATAGGGGTGAATATCCTAGGTCTACAATATACCTAACGTAGCCTGTCAATACAAATACATTCTGCGCAATCCCGTCGAGAACTCACAGAGACGCTGTAATGTGGATAAACTCCACTCTGAGAAGCCCGGGTCTGCTCGAATTCTTCTCGGATCTTAACCCGGTCTGACTCGTAGTTCCAGATATGGATTTGATTTGCATGGCTTTCTATGAGAGCTTTCAGGCGCTGGAGGTCGCTAATGATATGTTGAAACCGGCTGTTGAAATCCTTCCAAAGGGATCTAAAAAAGAGTTTTATCACTATACAATTAATTGTCAATTAAGTGAAGACGCGTTTGATATATTATCTTACTGGACTGGTCAAAGATGCGTATAGCGCGGATGTGAAAATCAAGAATATTGGTCCAAATGCATTCAAGTATTCCTTGCATTCGACTGCTCTCGCTAAACAGATCCTGGTAGATTTCGAATATAGGCAAGCTCTCCGCAATAAGCTGGTATGCATCGAGGAGCGCATCAAAAGACTCAAGCCAGGTAGTAGCAGTCTACAAATTGGATCAGTCAACTCGGCATGCCCAGTTGAAAGGAAAGGTTCAACAGGTAGGTATATACTAGAAGCAGGAATTTTATTGGGCCCCATATGAATGCAAGCATTCGAGGAGAGACTGGCGGTGTTGACACCATATTTGAAGTTCGTAGGAGATACTTTAGGTAGTTCCTATTCTCAAATACCTGCGTTCAATTTGAGCGACCGATATTGATCGCAATATAAAGGGCGAAATGCCCCGCTGATTTACAATCCAGCCTTGAATCCAATCAATAAGCAATCATGATACGTTGTACAACATAATCGATTGGTTAGGTGCCTACATGTAGCAACTCAATGCATGCATAGCCACACATTACAGCCTGCTGAAATGCCTTGTAGTCCGCCACGTAAATAACAATTCCGTACCTAGCCTATATAGCAAGTAGGGCATCTAAGATGCCAAGCACCTGGATACGATGAGGAATGATACGTGTAGCGTTATACTCTTTTAGCATCTAGTCTACGCATTAAGTACCTAACCTAATATCTTAATATTAAGCCTAAAGTCTTCGGTATGGCCCCTGACGCCTACGAGGGTGAACTTAACATTCAATATGAAGACGCAGAACACAATATCTGGCCGGAAATTTCTTGCTCGGATGACACTTGCTTCTCTGGTTCCAAAGTCTCTACTACAACTCGGGATTCGTTGTGGGAAGACTTTATCTTACCTGAACACCAACCTCCAAATAATTTGCTCGAAGAAGATCCGAATTCCAGCGTAAATGACTATGAGAAATGGTGGAGCACCATGCGGCAATGGGCAGATAAATCATTCCAGCCAAATAGACCGGGTGGCACCGTCCTTCAAGCTATTGATGCTGAGACTTTAACCGTAGGGGGGACCCGCTTCTGCTGTTATGGCATGGTGAGAATTATTTCTGTATTATTTTTCAGCATTTGGGTATCTATAATAATGCTAAAAGTGGGATCTTTTAGATACCAAATGCTGTCGTCAGACTCGTGGGAAATATGACAGAAATTGCTGCTAAGATCGACCCGAGTCAGCCTTACCAGTCATTTGACATATCGAAATATGGATATTGTTTCATGCTCAAATTTCCCGATGCTAGTGTGTTCGCCCAAGTGAGCGAGCTGATTTCTCGTGGCCTGACGGAGCTATGGGAATATCGGTCCGTGGAGATTAGAGCGTTTGTCGAGACGAGCCGAGTCTACCACGTGTGTTCTCGAGCTAAGAAGCCAAGCGAAGCAACACTGAAGTCGGAGATAAATATATACGGTCCTGCGGATGATGCTAGAAGTATTGGAAATAAACTAGGTTCCGCTAAAATATTTCTTCAGGATCCAGACCACGGCGTTCAAGACATCGAGTACTATAACCCTCATGTCATACAGCTTCCCGGCATCGAAGAGCCAGCATCTCAAAATGCAAAAGAGTGCTTTCTTACAAACCAGCCAAGTCATAAAGAAAATATGAAGAGAACGCATGATGTGATTGATCACACAATTTCAACTGTATACCACTCACTCACACGGTCTCGAAATCTGGAGAGAACTCAAAGCGTGCATGTCACGACACAACTCTTACCGTAAGTTACCTAGCAATCCTAAAGTAACTGAATTGGTCATACCATCTATTTTTATAAGTCTTATTTCTCTTTTATAGACTAATCGTTAGTGTATTTAATTTTCCGTTCTTAGACACCAAGAAATAGCACTGCATTTCATGATACAGAGGGAGATCGGTCCTATAAATCTTCAGAGTATAGTTTCTGGTCGTATGAACGTAATATCATGACGCCATTGTAAGTAATTCAGACATACTCTCACACACATAGACAAAATTTAATTCGACATTGCCAGATATCGTCACAAATTGACGCATGCAGAGTCGGCCGAGGTTCCTAATGAACTAGGAGGAGGTATTCTGGCGGATGATATGGGAATGGGAAAATCACTTAGTGCACTGGCACTTATTACTAGAACTTTTGAGCTGGCTCACTTGTGGTCTCGGGAGGTACTGTCCACTACCAGGGAACTTCGCGCCCGAGCTAGCCTTATCATTGTTCCATCTACTCGTAAGTTCTAGTCAGACAGCATAACCTTCAATATACTAAGGTCATAGTAATCATGAACTCTTGGCTAAAAGAGGTTGAAACGTAAGTGTTCTCAAGACCATAGAGGGAAATTAAACGGCTACTGACCATAGAAGGCATCTAGATAAATCCGTCACTATCGCTAAATACTATGGAAAATCCAGGGACGACGATATTACAGACTACCTAAAGTATGACATTGTATTCACAACGTACCACACCATTGCGGTGAGTATGAATCAGAAGGACAGTGTGGTATTCCAATATCTTGGTTTAGAATTGTTCTTGATGAAGGTATGTGTGTGGTTCCTGCGAGCTTCCTACTGACATTGCTAACCTATGGCTGGTACTAGCACACATGATTCGTAGGCGGGAGACGACACTTCATCAAGCAGCTAGCCAGCTTTATGCAAAGTACCGGTGGTGCCTAACTGGGACTCCGATCCAAAATCGACTCGAAGATGTCGGGTCCCTGCTTGCGTTCCTCCGCATTAAGGAACTTGGACACAGAGCAGCTTTCAGAAATAGCATTATATTGCCCTTTTCTGACGGCGTCGCATCGGCTGTCCACAATTTGGCATTCCTTCTGGATTGCGTATGCCCCAGGAGGTCTCAGGATCTACTACATTTACCGAATATCACAGAGAGATATCATTATGTGACTTTGAAGGAAGATGAAAGGAAACACTACGATGATATGCTGGAAGATATGTCTAACATAATCAAAGGAAAGGCACAAAAGGAAACAGGAAGGCGCGATCATTTTGGCATCTTTCAAGCCCAACTCCAGCTTCGCCTTCTCTGTAACCATGGCACTTTTCAAAAGCCATTCATGAGTCGTCACCCTCGCGACAGAAAGATAGAACGTGAGGAGTTCTTATATTCGCTAGGAACGAATGCCGAGTTTCCCTGCTCAATGTGCGGCATTCCCATTCCTGTCTTCGATATTAGCGGAGGTCCCAGCTCGCGTTAGCCATGCAAGCATAAAATCTGTAACGAGTGCCATTCTCAGAACCAATATAATGCAAACCCAGCTGAAGATATCAATGGTTCTTGTCCCTTATGCAGAAAATCTCTTGGACATGGGGCTGGCTCAGCCGAGAAGATATCTTCCGAGGGAAAGGACGATGACGATGATGGTTATTTCAACTGGTCCGGATTCTCATCCAAGATACAGGATCTTATGGAAGACTTGACAGAAAGCCCCAGAGACGCGAAGAGGTATATCAAACGTTATCCACCGCTTGTTACATTAGCGCTGATTTAAGGAATATAGTATCGTATTCTCCGGCTGGACAAGAACACTGGATTTGATATCTGTACATCTTAGGAAGAGACGCATGCTCTTCCAAAGGATAGATGGTGACCAATCTCTTCAGCAGCGCCAGTACAATATGGATAGGTTTATGGAAGACAAAGGCATCCCAATTCTGCTGATGAGCACGGGAGTGGGGGCATTCGGGTGAGTGTCCCTACCATATCATGAAGAAGTGGCCCTATTAACCCCACACAGTCTTAACCTTACAGTGGCGAACCATGTATACATCCTCGAGCCTCAGTGGAATCCGAGCGTGGAGAGTCAGGCTATCGGTCGGGTGTCTCGCCTAGGCCAAAGCAAGCCCGTTTCGGTGACGCGGTACATCGTTCGAGGGACAGTAGAAGTTGTAAGTGCATATATATACGAGAAGACTGAAAGAACTCTATTGTGACTGATTACTAAAACCTGGGCTAGAGCATGCAATCTCAACAGATCCGAAAGGTAGAACTTGCAAAAGTTGGGTTTCAGGACGTCAATCCAGATGACTCGTAATGCATAGTAAACACCTTTGCTTTGGAGTCCGTACACGTAGTTTCGACTTACAGCTCTACTCTGCGTTCTGGCTGTGGTTTGTATCGTAAGATAGGGAGTGTCTGGAAAGTATAAGACTTACAGAGATCAACTCCTAGGAAAAGGGGGCTCTTCAGAAGCACATTACGTGAGGTCACATTGTAGATTAATAGCTTATTTTATCAACGGCATAGTTAAGAATATATTGGTTCTTCGAACACCCGTATTAAAATGCCACCTACCATATTCGAAGCAAATGCTAGGCGATTTAATTCCGGGGGGCATATAGCTATCTTTAGTAATACCGCTCAAATAAAGTAGGTACCTAATGTAAATGAGTCTGTCAACAAATTGGTACCACTGAAACATCGTAGCTGGGTATACTACCCAGCATTTTCCCGGCCTCTCGTCGGGTTTTCTTTGGTACTGGCGTATATGCTCTATGCTCAATACGAAGACGCGTAAGCTCAGTTAGCATAAAGATCTAGTTTCATCTTTCTCCCACTTGTGCCAGCATCGTGAGTGTAGATAATAGGAAGCTTATCGGTATGCTACCTGCCTCTACGAGTAAAGTTGGCCACGCGTCAACTACTGCTGTCTAGGTTAGAGTATTCCATCTTCCTTTTCAGGTACTTAGCTACTTTAGAAACAGTTTGCATATGGATATTCCGCAACTATACGTTGGTCCAGTTGATGGGAGTTGTGCCACATAGCCGGGCTAGTTTTAATACCATCCACTACACGTAGTATTATTGATATCGGTAAACCGGACCCTTCCCGTAATATGTGGTGGTGGTCTCGCTAGAGCGAAAGCGGATAGCGAAAGCGATTTACGGTCTTTTATAAACGAAGGCGCCACACACGACTACGCACGCACTGAGTGGGGTCAGGAGTAACTTCGGCAGTGTATTAACGGCATGGTGTAATACAGTATGGTATTCATAAACTACCTACGTCAGTTTCTTAGCCAGGAGCTCTCCCAATTATTAATCTTTGTTAAACGGCAAGACTTAGGACTGAGTCCCCGAGCCATTGTCCCTCGCTTACAACATGGGCTTCAGAAACTTGGTAGTCTTAGTACTAAAGGGGGCGGTGCTAAGGATGCCAATGTATGTATGTGTTGAAAGTTGAATAAGCTAAACTTAAAGAGAATAAAGTGACTGGTTCGTAGATTGTGACTTTCTTTGTCTTGTCCAACTAACATGACAATCAACCCCACATCAAGAAATAAAGGATTGCAAATTGGACAAAATATTCGTTTTAATATTGCTAGATACATAGGAAAAAAGAAACAATACAAAAAGAAACCCGATTAAAATATCTATGCCGTGTCTAGTGACTGTAAAACATTCAACATTTTGTAAAAAATTTGATATTTAACATCAAACCGAAAACTACAATACTTGAAGCTCCTTTACGCGATTAATTGTACTGGATAGGTCAGTGGATACCCCTCTGGTAGATTATAAAGAGTCGAAGGTTCCTTACTACATATTAGATAATAGCCCGGCGCCGAGTGGGGTCATTTGGTGTCACTACCGATAAACTCTTGTCCGCATCCCGGCCGTAGGACCCACTTTATCATTCCGTAACTCAAAACAACACTCTACTACAAGTCGATATGGAGCCTCCTATTGAGGATGAACGAGATGAAGTTCTATACTTCGCATATGGCTCCAACCTCTCTTCGGTACAAATGCGCAAGCGGTGTCCTAGATCTACACCCGTTGGCCTTGCGTACCTATCCGGGTGGACATGGATTATCAATGAGCGGGGTTATGCCAATATCGTGGAAGACAGGACTAAAACAGACGGCATCTACGGTATCATCTATCGGCTACATCCAGATGACGAAGAATGGTTGGATATGAACGAAGGTGTTCCGTGGGCTTATGAACGACGATTTATCGAAGTTGAAGGTTTGGCATCTGTGTCTACAGCGAAAGACAAAGGGGAGGGGGAAGTTGAATCAACTGATCAAGAAAAAACGTCTGAGAAGATTCAGGCCCTTGCATATATCGACTTCCGCCGAATCCGACCAAGTCATCCAAGAAACGAATATATTTACCGTATGAACGATGGAATCGAGGAAGCTATGATGCAGTGGGGACTACCTGAGCAGTATGTTGATTCTGTTATAAGACCATCCATTCCTGCTGGGGGTAGGCAATAAATTTCAGAACACGATAGTTGCAACTAAGTTTTTAGCATGCCGATAGCAAACCAGTAATAATTAAACCCAACTATGATCTATCCAACATGCTCCAGTATTTCCCATTGTATGATGTTCACTTAAGCGCCTATATACATGCATTCTCTTCCCTAATAATCCCCATAGATATGAAGATTGCAAAACCCCAAATACTCCACCTTCACCCAATTCGGATTCACTGGTATATACTCCCTGTGTACACAGACAGAAAAAAATGTCTCAGGTAAAGAGAACGTAGAGTAGGCCGAAGTCCCAGCTTCAAGTTACAATCGTCCGAGTAATATACAATCCATTCTCATTTTAATTCTGGCGAGTAGATCCACGCGATTCACGCATGAGTAACTTATAGGGTGTAGAAAAAGTCTTTTATAGTATAGCTAGTTAGTTCATGTAACATATGATGGAGGTAATAGGAGATATAGTTCAACATACCTGGGTGGTAATCACCAAGCTCCTCAATACTCTGGAGTCTAAGTTCATTAGACTTCTCTGTATATTGGTTTTCTGCCTTCTTCTTGTTCAGGTAGGCTAGGTAAAATCTAAGGGATATCGTCGCGACTAGCATCATGATGGTCATCCCCAGAGCCGCCGAATTACCAACGCTGTCTTTAAGGAGTGGGTCAGTGAGATGTTATCGGAGAACATTCTATTGGATAATTGGCTTACAATATGGGGGGTCCTGGTAAGCCTGGTTTCCAGAGATAGCGAATAGATGCGGGAATACGTTGAAAAATGCCAAAACCGAACCCCTGTTTATAGGTTATTAGTTATTAGTCACTAAGAATCGACAGTGAGTAAACGGGGCTTCATACCTTCGCGTGTAACCAATAAAGGACATGGCAGCCCATGACATTTGTAGCACGGTGGTGGGGAAAATAGAGAATGCAATTAAGCATGTCGCAGCAAATCGAACTTCTTTGTTCGTAACCCAAATCAAGATTGCGTAACCCACTACTGCCGGAATGAGAGAGACTGCTTGGACAATTCCTCGGGCGTTCGTCTTATCGGCAATCCTACTGAAGAGTAGAATTCCAATGCAGCCACTCACGTACACGATGATGGTGAACAGCTGAGCGTTGACGTCGCTGTATCCGAAACCTTGGATTATATCCGGAAGGAAATTAGATAGTGACGACTGGCAGAAGGAGCCTCCACAGCTGGTGAGTATGAAGAGCCAAAAGTGACCGTCCAGTAATACTTTCCAGATCTTCTTGAACTCTAGGCTTCCCTCTTCTGTGTTGTGTGATTTGGCGCTCCTTTGGATGATGTGTTGCTTCTCCTCTTCGGTAAATCCGTATTTTAGTTGCGTCGGACTACTCGGCAAGAAAAAGAATACAACAAGAGAAAATACCATAGGCGCGATACCTTCGATAAGGAAGATCCATCGCCACGCTCTCCATCCATTGACGCCATCTAGGCCGGTATCAATAGCATAGGCGATCATGCCGTTGAAAGCGCCGGCAATAGTGGACATGGAAGCAAGAATAGCACCTCGGGTTGCGAACTCGGAGTATTGGTACCAAAAGGAGAGGTCTATAAGAGAACTTTGAGTTAGGAAACGAGCCATAGGATGAGGAGTATGCGCCTAGGCAAGTTAGGCTGCTAAAGGAATATGAACGTACAGAATATACCGCCTTGGACGAAGGACTCGGCTGCTCCAATGAGAAACCGAATAGCTAACAACTGTCCATTATTGGTGATGAAAATTGACATGACAGTCAAAAAACCCCACTGTTAAGATGCAAGACAAAAATCCCCGTTAGCCAAATCCCAGATCAGAAGGGTGAGCTGGAGTCTGCGTTGGTCCTACCACTATCATGGCTCCACTGAACTGTCTGTTCGGGTGAATCTTCTTGATCAAGAGCGTTCCCGGAAGTTGGAAAATAATCGTTGCCACCAGAAGCACGGTCGCCGCATTCGAAAAGTCCCCGGGAGAGAGGTTAAGCTCATCGCTGAGGCCAGCCACCTTGGCATTTCCGAGATCAGATTTGCCCTATACGGCAGTTAGTATAGACTGCCGAGTACAAGGGAAACCCTAGTAGCGGTTGGTATAATGTGCGACTAACCATCGTAGCGAAGAAGTAAACACTCGATAAGAGCGGCAGGATGAAGATGTCGAGTTTCCATTTTACTCTGCGAGAAAGCTTTGGATCGAACTCTTCCACTTCGCCCTCCTTAGGAACATCGTCCATACTACTCGGAGTAATCGTCTGTAACAAGATGTTCTCGCGGTATTCCGTTGGCTCTGCCAAAATCTTGTCCGTCGAGGGGTTGTCGTAAGCCATCTTTGCGAAGCTGGTATAAATGTGCTGGGTGAGGGTTGTGGTGAGATAGAGAATAGAATCCGAATGTAAATGCAGATGTTCACGAGTCGGATGTCTTATAAGTATCATTCATGCCCAGAAAAGCTATCCTATTGAGCGTAAGTCGCGTTTCGAGGCCCCAGCGCTGGGCATTACAGGGGGATGTTGTTTCTAAAGTAGGCGCAGGCTGAGTTTACGACGAAGACAGACTATCGCTATACTCGTCGATCATAACCGTTTTAGTATGATACAACACCAAAAAAAGAGTTGATGCACATCACCTACCTATCTAACCTATCTTCAACAATCAATTGCTCATGTTATGTCTCAGGGGTCGTTGGAGTGAAACCCCTCAAGCATTATCACGAGCGGCGTTTTACAGAAACACCTATTTGAGATTTGTTACCAATTGTCACACTACGTCCGCGTCATTATGCAGTAAAAAGTCGTCGTACAACTCGGAAGCCAAGTGCTCCAATCCGGCTGCGGATTTGGACTCAGCCTGCATTCCGCTATTGGTCGACTGGGGTATGTTGAATGGAGCGAATTTCGCTTTTCAGTGCCGGCTCGGCGTCTAGGATCAACAAAGATCAGGGCGAGATTCGCTCCACCTTGGTCACTTATTGAACCACGACGGAACGGAGCACATGTCAATATGCCGGTCGAGTACAAAACAGAGGCCGCGCGCCCAGAGCCGAAAGGAATATGGTAGGCCATAGGTCACTTACATACACATGCCAATCTATTTCCCGATATAAATCTTGGCTCCAATTGCCGTATAACCCAATAGGTACCTATAGCGTAACATACGTACACACACACACACAAACACACAGACCAACTATATACCACACAACATGGACAAATTATTGAGTGCTTCGGTGGTACCCCTAAAGTTCCGTAAGAATGCGCTTCTTACCGGACATATTCCCTACAAGTCACTCGCCTCAGACCCGCGCGTGTCTTACACTATCTACGTGCCCGCCGAGGCTTACAACCAACGCCACCCCGACGGGGCTGGACCGGGACCCAATAAGCTTCCTCTGTTGGTAGCCGTTCACGGAACTAGACGTGACGTTTTTAACGTTTATGATCTGGTCCCCTTCGCCGAATCTACGCCGTGTGCCGTACTTTTACCATTATTCCCCACCGGGCTAGACGGACCAAATGATATCGACTCTTATAAACTATACCGGTCTAAAACCCTTCGTCCCGACCTCGCTCTGCTGTCAATGTTAGATGAGGTGGCAACCAAATGGCCTGCTATAGAGACAGATAAAATCTTCCTCATGGGATTTAGCGGTGGTGGCCAGTTCTCCCACCGGTTTTTATACCTGTACCCCGAGAGGCTGGCTGCCGTAAGCGCTGGTGCTCCGGGCCGTGCCACGTTCCTGGACGAAGACCAAAACTGGCCGGCAGGTATCAAGGATGCGGAGAGCGTTTTCGGGAAGGCCGTCAATAAAGAACTTATCAAAAAGGTCCCCATCCATCTCGTAGTTGGAGACCAGGACGCTGACATTCACGGCGGTGACGAGTTCTGGGCCTGGGTGAAGAAATACTTGGGCCAACCGGGCGAAGAAAGCGGACCACAAATTATTAAGCAAGGAAGGTTTAAGACTATCCACGATCTCCAGGACTCGTGGAAGCACGAGGGTATCGAGTCGAAGCTCGACGTCGTCCCGGGAGTGGCTCATAATGCTCGTGGTGTTCGCAGCGTTGTATTGGATTTTATGCTACCCCAGATTCAAAAGAAGCTTGGAAATTAAATAGAGACATTAAAACTTGGCTTCAATTCTGCTTTAGCTGGCCGCGATACTTATTTTTAGCATCATTCCACGTATGTAGGTATTACGGGTGGGCCTCACTCCACCATAGGTGATATCTACCTGGTATCTAGCTGTTACGGGTGAAGCCCGAAATTACACTAGACAATCCTAGTACACACGTGTTAGTTTAAGATGGATTTTACTTATAACTAACGCTATACTATTAAGCGTTTCTTATACATTTCAGTAAACATGGGATAAACTCATTCGATAAATAGACAGTATGAGAAAATATCGAAATGGCAATAATTTAAATGTACGTACAGCATAAGTGTTAGTTTAGTATTCCGTATGAATCAGATCTTGTTTATATAACTGATTGAACATTTTGACAAGTTAAGTACCGAGGTAAATAATCTATGTAGGTTAGGTAGCCAAATCAGTCAAAGTAGCAGTGTCTTATATCATAACATACTTTGTAATCTCATTTAGTTCGGTCCTGAAGTTTTCACGAAATGCCTCTGATAGCAATTCAGACGTGCCTCTATCTCGCAAAAATCAACAAGAAAGGGGCAAGGTCTGGAACGCTCTATCGCACTACTATTGTATAAGAAAAGCTTACATTTACACCTGTTGGGAGCAGTATATAGAAGTAAATATACCCCACATTTTATGTGATGAATTATCTATTTATTCATTGGCTCACCAACTCCCCCCTCATTACTGGGAAGTAATGGAGTGAGTGTTGGAAGCATAGAGTAAAACCAAGGCTATTTTATTTCGCTTTCCTTCTTTAATATATATGTCCTAGAAAAGTCCTGCTTCAATTCTATGTGTATTGTTAAGGGTATTGTGGGTATTTTTTAGTTTCAATACATCTCCAAAAACAACTTTATCACGATGGCTTCCTCCTTCTCTCCAGACTACATCATCATCGGCGGCGGCACTTCCGGCCTCGTTGCCGCCAACCGCTTGTCCGAAAATCCTGATGTTAAAGTCTTGGTGCTCGAGGCCGGGAAGGACCTTTCTGCCGATCCTAGGGTCAACGTTCCAGCCTTTGGACATCTCTCATGGGCTCCGATGCCGACTGGCAGTACAAATCCGTACCTCAATCCGCCCTAGGAGGCCGATCTATTCGATATCCTCAGGGTAAGGCCCTCGGTGGCTCTTCAGCCATCAACGGCCAAGCTTTCATCTCTCCAGCCCAGGCTGAAATTGATGCTTGGGCAAAGTTAGGCAACCCCGGATGAGACTGGGCCAACTTAGTCCCTTCGTACAAGAAGTCATATACGCTTATACCCCCGCCAGATCAAGCTATGCTAGTCCATCTTGGAATCGATTGGATTCATGACGATTATCGTGGCACTTCGGGCCCTATTAAAGTGTCCTTCCCAGGCATCATCCAGAATCCTCTATGTAAAGCATGGATAAAGCTAGTAATACTGGTAAGTGTAGTTCGATAAACCGTATCAGTATAGAAATAAATTATGATGAGAGTATTATGTGTGAATAATGAATAACGCTTTCCCCATCACACTTCAGATCCGTTCTCGGGTAATTCAATTGGAGGTTACAGCAACACGGCAACAGTCGATCCGGAAACAAAAACTCGGAGCTACGCTAATTCAGCCTACGGTATTCCCATTGCTCAAAGACCCAACGTACAGGTTATCTCGGAGGCCAAGGTCCAGAGAATCTCACTAACCGATACGGGTGCCGGTACCGTCAAAGCTACAGGCGTACAAGTTTTGGTTGACGGTAAGGCTCAAACGTTCGCTTCCACGAAAGAAGTTATACTCGTAGCCGGTGTTTTCAATATTACACCAAAGCTCCTCGAACTCTCGGGAATCGGCGGTAAGAAGTTACTGGACCGTCACGGAATTTCGGTTCATGTGGATCTTCCCGGGGTCGGTGAGAATCTTCAGGATCATCTTATGACGGGATTGAGCTACGAGGTAGTCGATGGCATCATGACCGGGGACCCGCTCATGCGGCAGGAACCGGAGGCACTCGCTCAGGCCCAGAAGCTCTATGCCGAGCACAAAACCGGACCCTTCACCATCGGCGGCATGCAGTCTCACGCCTACATGCCTACCCCCAACATCACTGAGCTGCTCGACAAGTTTCCCCGTGCCCAGGCAGCTAAGGAAGAGGAGTATTACGACACAGTCCGTTCTATTCTCGAGAGTTCAGAGAGTAGCTCCATGGCGTGGCTCATGTTTCTATCCCAGACAAACTTGCACGAGGGCGGCAAGAGCTTTGTCGGCACACAACTGCTCCCTGAGAATTTTGCCAGCTTGGGATGCACTCAGTCGCACCCCTTTTCCCGTGGCGCGACCCATATATCATCCCCAGATATTGACGCTATTCCCAACATTGACCCACAGTACTTCTCGCATCCCGCTGACTTAGAAATCATGGCACACCACATTCAGGCACTCGACACGCAACTACGCCCCTCGAAGGCACTAGCACCCTTCTTCAAGCCCGACGGGAAGCGCAATCACCCAGATGCATTCCACGTCGGGGATTTGGGCGGAGCTAAGAAGTACGTTCTCGACACAGTCACTACGGCGTACCATGCTTGCGGCTCGGCAGCCATGTTACCAAGGGGAAAGGGAGGAGTAGTAGATCCAAATCTTATCGTGTACGGAACGGAGAATATCCGCATCGTTGATGCCAGTATCTTCCCACTTATCCCCCGCGGCAACATCTTGTCTTCAGTGTATGCTGTTGCCGAGAAGGCGGCTGATATTATTAAGGGTCATTGATGGAAAACACGTGTACTAGTCCTTGCGAACGATAGTTACATCCATAGCGCATGAATAGGTGGTAAATAGGTGGTAAATATACTAAAAGCCATCACCATGAAGAGCTTAATCCCAATCCCCTTGTCCTTCACCTTGTTCCTCTTTCGCTTTAGCCTCCTTCTTCAGCTCTTCATTATATTCCAGGACACTCTCGATTTTTGGTTGGAAGATACGTAAGAGATTTAATACAGTGTGGACATCATACCATGCCCCCTCGTTAGTATTGACGAGCCTGACCCTGGCGTCGTTGAGCTGGCGTACTGCGTACGACATCCAATCGAGAGCTGATATAAGCGTACTTTCCGCATCGTCAGACAGAATCACCCAAGGTTCAAGATCACAGACGTAGTCGGAAAGTACGAACATTTCCGCTAGGATCTCTGCTGCGTCATCTTCATCCTGGACGCTAAATTCAGGAAATCCCGGCTTCGTCATGTTGAGAAATACGTCAAGGCATAATATTTCGTTACTCGCTATTTTGAAGAATCAAACGAGTGTTGTTGGGTGTAATAGACCCATTAAGAAAAGTTTATATACCACCCATATTGTACATGATACTTGAGCTTTAGGAACTTCTGAGACAACAAGGACATTACTCAATTACAACTCATTCTGTGCGTGAATCTTTAATATTCGATAGTCAGCTGAGTATCCATATCACCCATTAGACTCGTAGTAACGTGGTGTTGAGGTTAGTGAGTTGTAATTATGAGTAGATGTGAAAAAACCCAATATGTAGTAAAGCCAATGATAAGTAAGGAAACAATGAATTTTCTAATACGAGGGATCCAAGCGGTGTCTAAGCCGATATGTTTGTCTAACATATTCAGGATTGATCCCACGTCTCTATAATGTGCCAATACTCTCGCTCACCAGTGACTTGCTAGGAGTACGTGTTAACCAGCTAGAGATGATAATTTACGAGACACTTATTATCAACCCAAAGCCTATCATGACTCTCAAGAATCCATAACTGACGGTCCTTGATCATTTAGAGTTGATTTACTCCTTGCCCAAGCGGCGGGGAATCTGCGGCTATTCTACCTGGTTGTATGGTTAAGGGGGATGCGAAAATCGGCTGGTAACACTCATGGCCACGACAGCGTCTCCGCCACAAAATCAAGAAATTAGAATGCGTCCATGTTGTTCCTTTCATAGATTACGAGTCAATAGTATCACGACGTCGTAAATGCGTCCAATGTCATTACTAAACTACTTCGACTTTGGTAACCAGTGTAACTACACCCCATAAGTGTTGGGCACGAAATCAGTTCTTAGCCCAGATCGGGACGAAATGGTGAGACGCAAACTAAGCTATACGTATCTGATGCCTGTTTGAAGTGTTCTGGAATAATAATAGAAGCTGATTCTCAACTCACGCCTCCACACCCGTTCTTTTTGGTCGTAATCATTTCCAATAGAATTCCATGCACGCTTCTACTTTTAGCACTACGGCATTTGTCCCAGTCGCGACACCACGTATATATGCAACCTAAGCAGGGGAAGCCCTTGCAATATCTCATTCGAATCTACTTAATGCCTGCTTATGTATGTACTTGGCAGGTAAACATTAAGGGTTCTGGAGTTCTACTAGGGCTGTAAAGGTACCATAGCGGCGTAGGCGGCACGGTTCTTATGTAGGTCTTATACCGCCTCTTGTGGGGCGTTTGAATATCACGCCTATTCCGCTATTAAACACGATAATACATGGAATCTATCTATTAATAAGGTTGACAAGTAAGTGCCTAAGATATGCAGGTGGTTATCTTCGCTAATATACATAACTTATACAGATGTTTATAGGTGTTTGAGCCATGTTGAGATAATTTGATATATTTACAACTGGAGACTTTGGAATATTCAAAACATGCCACTTTACAGAACATGGGTACAAAAGTCACGTCCCAACCAATCAGATGTAAATGAATGTACCGTGGCTTAAAGACATAAGATCAAGAACGAACAAGAAATATAATGTATGTAAATGAAAATCTCCTCCGATATATTGCTATACCGAGGTCTAAAGGGGCGATTTCGTGTTCCTGTGTTGATCATTCCCGTCCTGGTGAAGCTGAGCAAATATCGAGACTCTTTGACATCATATGACGTTAATCATAGCAATATCGTGACGCTATCTCAGTTTTGTAGACAAGACAACAGGAAAACTCCAAGTATAAACTTGTGAATCCAAACATAATAGATCAAGCAGACAGCCTGAAGTGTAGCTACTAAACGCCTTTGAACGAAATTTTGTAATCTCTGACTCGAGTCGAACTAGGTTAGGTATTAGCAAGAACAACGCCAGCCACTAGAATAAAAACATAATTTCCTAAAATGGCAACTCCACTACGCTCCCTCACGGCCGCTAGTCTACGCTGTGTCCGCACGGGCAGATCCACGGGCGCAAGTCTACCTAAACCTATGCCCAGCACCACTAATACCATCATCACATCCCGCCCCTTCACAGCAACAGCAGCAATTGCATCGGCATCACCGCAGCCCAAAATCCTCCTTGAGGATCGGGACTCCGGATTCCGGTTCGTGCGGCACAACCCGGCGCCGCCGAAGCCGCGGACCCGCTCCGTGACCGAAATCCGGGGCCCATACTACACCGCCGTGGGCCCGCGGTACCTGTCCGACGTGCTAGAGACGATGGGCACGCACGTCGACGGGCTCAAGTTCGCCGGCGGATCGTTCAGCCTGTTCGCGGAACCCCCGCTGCGGCAGCTGCTCGACCTGGCGCACGCGCACGGGGTATACGTGAGCACGGGCGGTTGGATCGAGCACGTCCTGGCGTCTAGCGGCGGCGACGTACCAGACGCCGTCGACAGGTACCTGGCCAAGTGCAAGGGCCTGGGGTTTGACGTGGTCGAGCTGAGCGCCGGGTTCCTGTCGCTGCCGCCGGACGACTGGCTGCGGCTAGCGGAGCGCGTGCAGAAGGCGGGTCTGAAGCCAAAGCCCGAACTGGGCATCCAGTTCGGCGCCGGCGGCGACACCTCCGCTGCGGAGCTGCAGAGTATCGGCACGAGCGATCCGAGTAAAGTGATTAACATGGCGAAGCGGTTCGTGCGGGACGCTGGCGTCGAGCGCGTCATGATTGAGAGCGAGGGTATCACGGAGAATGTGCAGACTTGGCGCACGGACGTCATACAGGCTATTCTACGAGAGTTACCGCTGGAGAATGTCATGTTTGAGGCGGCTGACCCGTCGGTTTTCAACTGGTGAGCTTTATTATCTACCTATATATTCAAGATTCTCTAGTATACATGTGGCCTAGAAAGCTGACTCTATGTTTCGTGTAGGTACATTCGAGAGTTCGGCGTCGATGTCAACCTCTTCGTTGACCACTCTCAGATCGTCCAGCTGGCTGGACTAAGAGCAGGCATCTGGGGCAAGAGTGACACCTTTGGCAAGATTACTACTTACCGACCATAGGATATCTGGTGAATTGGTCTGATGTTATAAAGAATTTCCAATATTACCCTCTTGTTTTGTTAGACAGGGCCATTTACGAAAGGGCCGCTTATTATCGGTCGGCATTGGGTTTACGGGTCAAATGAACGCAGCCGTTTTATCTTAATTTTACGTTATGGACGTCTATGAGAGTAATTGTTTACGCCACTCGGCGCTATTTGCGGGTTGGAGTAATATGTAGGCTTTATGGGTTGTGCGCCTTGTTGCTTAGAATATTATTATGTATATTGACTCAGCTGTAAACAGATATTCAAGAATCTGCAGGTATCTGCAGGTCTAAAACCAGGGTTGAGTCTACCTTCATCTGCAATACTCCTTGAATGACCCTTCATGCATAATAAGATGTGCCAGTATGGCGCTGGAATCGTTCGATACCGCATGCCACACGAGACCCTTCTCTCAACCTTACCCCATCAAAAAAAAAAGTCGGAATAGAGGCGACAATGATGCCAGGAACGTAACATTCGGCGTTAATGTATTCAGGGTGACATTGCTTAATATCAAAAAAAAAAAAAAAAACAAGAAACTTTTCGAGTTCATGAGCCCATAACTAGTAGGTAGATACACTTTCAAAATATATTCGGAGCCAATTAGTGTTCATCCCTTGGACCTCACGGTTCGGGGAGGTCAACCATGCATCTACTCTCTATCGCACTTATCCACCGACCTAAAGTAGCAGCATGCGAATGTTTCAGGTGCTGGCGGAAGTGATCCGCTCGATAAAATTGCTTCGCCGAGTTGCATTCTCCAAACTTGTGAACCTCTTTCACATGATTGAGGCGGTCCTCCCAGTCTTGCTCATTAGCGTACATTGGCACGCCCTCTCCGTTCCGAGGGAAGTCTTCTCCGCAATACCCGCACGTATCAGATATGCCTAACTGGCTGGCACTCTCCTGGAAGACATTCATATAGCCAACGCTTAACATGTTTGAGCAGACCCAAGCGTGCCTTCGAACGTGGAGGCTGTTCTCGTGCCGTTCAGCTTCGTTCTTTGACTTAAAGCGAGCACCACAGAAGCTGCACTGGTGCCGTTTCTCTGCTTTATGGGCACTGTTGGATAGTTAGCATATCATAAAGAGCTTATAATTGATAGTCTAGATTCATATAAGCCCTAAATAGAATTACACCTCTTACCTTAATTCTTCCATAGTTTCGAACTTCTTGGGCTTCTTTGGGCAACACTCGCAGAGGAAGAAACCCGGAAGGCTATCTTTGGGAGAAGCGGGGATATTTATTGGCCGTCGTTTGTTTAATGTCCTTGGGAGTTCAAGGAAGCTCTCGTTGCTGCTCTTGTGGTGCAATGAAGATCTATGACCCGTCGATGGACTTAAATAGTCGGGTTGATCGCGAGGGTTAGGTGGGCTAGTTCCATAGAGTTTCGCCATCTCCGCCAAGCTATCCCCACTTCCATTCCATTTGGTCGAACTACTGGTACCATAAGCAAATGAATAGGCGGAAGACATTGGAGAGCCTGGACTGGCTATCGAAAAAGCTCGATTCCGTACGTCTCTGCTGTCTAACATGCTTGAAGAACTTCCATTTCGCCGGATGAAGCTCACATCTTGTAAGGGGGATCCAGCCCGACGCTTCGCACTAGATCGGGTTCTTAATGGGACTGAAAATCGACCTTGAGGCTGCGTTAATTTGTGAGATTGGAAGCTTGGAGGTCTCGCATTAAATGGTCCATGGTATTCGGAATCATCATTCCCTATATACGATGAAGGAGACAATAGTGTCTCTTCCCTGGACTGTGTGGTTGAAGGTACGTCACCGTCATAATAAAGTCGCCTTAGATAATCGACAGAACTAACGGTATCGTATGCCCATTCTTCGCTGAGAAGAGCTTTCTGTGCTAGCCGATAGTACTTCATAAGTCTTACATCCATATTTTGAGGTTCTTCCTCGAGCGACCAGGTCAGCGTTAGAGGATCAAATGAAGCCGATGTCGCGTCGAAGAGTTCTACTGCAAGCAGGAGATAAGCCGAGTAGATTTGTTTCGTCTCCGACGTAAATTGAAATTCCGGTTGGTTTTCTAGAAATCTGATGGTTCGGCGGACATAGGATTGAATCCAGAGGCTATAGAAAGCCGATAGCCACCATCGTTTTTCATGAAGTCGGTTCTCTTTTCTAAATATTATTTTCGAGAGCTCGTCCGTAAAGGATTTTATGTTAGAACTCAGTTCCTGGAAGGGTCGAACACAGCATACACCGGGTCCACAATCATCGTGCAGCTCGTACGTCAAGTGGCCGCCATCCTGAAGCCGTAATATATCGATACAATTCCTAAGACACTTGATAGCTAGTGGAACGGCCTGTGACTAAAGGTAGAAGTTAGTGTTGGAGGAGAACGTAAATGAGAGAATGGATACGTAAACTCTCAACCTACTTGACCATACTCCGTTTCATAGGTAATAGCAGCTTTGATGACGTCGAGAATGTGTTCCACAGATTTGATGAGCAGGATTTCTTTCGCTGATGTGATATCTATGAGACCCCAAGCTATATGGATAGCATTTGCTTCAACGTCATGTCTAAGTGATAGAGAGTTATTCGCCATGATAGCCATAGGCGAACATAAAATCTCAAGCACAACTTTTATGTACGTATCACCCTCGGAGACAAAAACATTGTCGAGGCGGTCGGAGGCGTCTTGAAGACATGAACCAACACCCATATCTTCTAGAATATCCGGTCTTCCTTTCGTTTGATTAAATATAGGACTGGTATCGTTCATGCCATGCGCATTGGACTTGGGGCATAAAGAGATGCGTGGCATATGATCCAGTAGGGTACCGCGTTTGCAACCTATAGCCTGCCATCGTGAGTTAACGGTTCCGGACTTAGGGCACGCCTTGCATTGTTGATCAGGGTCGCACTTGGCATATATCAGCATGTATATTGCTCATTAAGTTACAACAATTGACATACCTTCTTACGAAGAAATTTGCATCTCCAACAAGCCCCGACCTCCTTTAATGTGCGAGACAATCTATTCCAGGAGCCACGTCTCAATGAAGAGGGTACTGGTCGTGAAGCTATCCGGCTCCAGTCTTGCTCGTCCTCTGAAAGATCATAATATTGCGAGTTTGCCAGAGAGTTATTCCTTACACCTCTTAACGAGCCAGTACTCCCTATCCAACGATGAGTATTGGATCATGTCTCACCGAAAGGTATTTCTGTTAGTTACTAACCTAAGTTTAAGTCACTAGATGACATATCCATATCTATGGTTACATCAGTATGAAGGAAACAAGATAAGCTGCTTATATCAGGAAAGTTTCTGAGTCGTCTTCCTGTGGTGTTACTTGGTTTCCAATGAGGCGAAGGCGAAGAGACCTGATGTGTGAATGGCGCTATGGAATCCTGAGTCGTCGTCCCTGGCTGTCGCGAGTATTGCTCAAGGTCCTTTCCGAAGCTCTTCTTTTGGAGCCGAATTTTCCGGAGAGAATCATCGTAGGAATATTGAAGGTCGAGTTTAGCTGCAAGAGCTTGGATGGTATTCTGCTTAGACGAGTCGCAGTTCTCGATGTCATGATGGTGAGCTGATGGGTTATTCGCAAACAGCACCAGGGATGCATAATCGTTTAAAATGATTGGATTATTCATATCTTGAAAACTTAAGCCCGAGGTAGGGTAGACGGATCATATCGGGTCTAGACTTACCCAATACTTCTTTGCTACCGGACCGCCTCCGCTCAATACCACCGTTGACTGTACTACCATGACCCGGCGTATTTTCACACACAGTGTCGATTGTAGCGGAAAGGATATCAAATTGGTGAGAATTTGGGTCTCCAACTAGCATGTCGATTTCAGCGGAATCCTCTTCTATGAGATCCATGTCAAAGAGAGCCCAAGGTGTATCTTGGAGGTCTTCCAGATGGAATCCTTCTAAAGGTATAAGATTATTCGCCATATTTGGTAAATTGAAGCTCTAAGAGGACTTCGATGGGGTCCATCTAAGAGATTGCCTATTAACGATGACATTAACAAGATACACAAGACACTTTACACGGTTTCGAGTAGGCAATGGCTATCCGGAGAGACGGCCTAGAGATGTGAAGACGGTGAAGAGCGGTCGGCTCATAGGGCATTAGGGTAGGTAGGGCTTACCGTAGGGCTGACAGGGCTGACAGGGCGGTCCGCTCCATTAAGGGGTTAGCGTCGGTCGGCAACATCGTAGGGTCGCAACTCTTCATCCAATCCAACATTGCCATTATCCGATATATGTACCCACTGCAGCCCGTTTGTAGAGGCGGTCCACCCGTAGGCATGTAGCGGTCTTGAAGTACACGATATGAAGTACGGTATACCTGTTTATACTGGTCATTTGGTCAATTATTTCAGGATCCTTCACCGTCAATCACCGACTGTCCACCTTACCCAGCCCAGGTAAACACCAGAGGTGAGGAGGCTCTTGTAGCATTACGAAGGCATGGCATGGCATGTAAAATGAAAATGGCCGAAATATAAGGAAGCAACTCTGCTATAATGAGGCCAGTTTCAATCCTCATAGCAATTCTCATCTCCTCCAATTCACCCAATTCACCCCTACTATTCATTATTATGGCGTCGTACGTAAAAGATCCAAGCGCGTTGCGGGGTATTGGAGCATGGGTCCAGTTCGTTGACGCGCCGCAGACGAACACCTCTCTAAAGGAACTGGATACCGAGTACACAGAGGTTCCCAAGATAGATAGGGACAACAGTAATTCAAAGATCAGAGCATGGGTGTCAAACTTTGACCTGAACTTTTGGCATGGACCTGATAAAATTCTGGACGATAGATTAGATCGTTCGCATTTTCAAGATCAGACCTCAAGTGGTGTTATAGCCCGAGCATCACCTCCCTCAGAGAATGATACGCAGTCGACCATCTTGGCTCTAAGCTCAGACTACAATGGTAGCGCGCAATGAAGACTGGGTCGAATTTTCTTCGAATTAAGTCTTGTATCACTGCCAACAGTCAATAGGAAACTCGAGGAATAAGGCATTTGGTTGGTTAATGCATTTGGCGGGATTATGTATAAATGTCTATTCAATTAGACATAACGGCTCTATTATCGAATATAGGCCGTTCAGGTGATCGTTCATGCAAGACGAAGCAGCTGACATGAGGAGTCGGTGTAGATGGAAGTTTGGGGAGGGGAGAGGGGAGGACATTTGGATTGTTTAGGAGCAAGCAAACCCTTGCTTATCCTTGATGCGGAGGGTCTGGGCAGTAGGTATCTATGTACCTAATGACGCAGGGCGGGCCGACAAAAATTGCGGTACGCATGGATGTAAGCACTTCACATAGTACGAAGTACCGATGTACCTTGTACAATACATATAGGGAGTAACAATACATATAGGGAGTAACTGTGCATGGTTATTCATAGGTAGGTAATTATATGTATCATTAAACTACCTCCTATGTAGGCACCTAATCTAAGGTTGTATATCCCAATCATTAACTGCGATGCTATAAGTTAACAGTAGGATATATTTGTAGAATAATGATCAGTTCTAGGTATAGGTCACATACTATAGGTGTCTCTCTTTATAGTTATGCATTAAGTAGCTTATAGTTATCATTTTGAAAGTGAATCTGGAGGTGTAGACGAATCGTTAAGTACATAGCTAGGTTAGGTAGGTAGGTATACAAAAGCATTCCAAGAAGCAAGGTATAAGAGGCGTAAGCCAATCCTGCAGGCTTAAAGTCCTATGCTACTATTTTTCTCATAGTAGAAAACACATGATGCGCGGCACTGTTACACGCGGGCACGACTTCGGCCTCTGTGGTGGTGAACAGCTACACAAAATCTAGGCAAGTCTTATGCTGTACTCGAGAACGGAAGATCGCTCTTAAATATATGATCGGATACCGAAATACCGATCGCAACTGTACGTTATGACAGACTACACCCGCCCACTTGGTAGCAAGTATACCTAGGTATATACAACTTCTTACCTTTTCCCGCCTTTTCTCTTTAATTTTCTTCTACCAAAACTCAATTAAATCATCAACTTCCTTTTTTTGTACCGTAACTCTTATTGAACATCATGGCTCTACCCGTCTCTGGCACTAACGGCTCAGGTCTAATCAACACCCAGTAAGATACTGCCCAGATTAAAAGAAACCGTGTCAGCTAAAAAATATTCAACAGTATTCATGTCACCACCCCGAGCTATTTAAAGGCTGTAAGTGATACTGGGGGTGATCCGAGTGGCCGGTCAAATCCTGCTTGGACATTAGAAGATTGTGTACGCTTCTGCGACACCATTGGGGAAGGCTTCTCTGTCCTTTCCCTTCCTACGCCAGGTCCCAGCATTCTTGGTCCTACCGAAGCAGGTAGAAAGCTGACGCGGACAGTCAATAATGAAGTATGGGAAGTCTGCTCTAGGGCAAAAGGTCGATTTGGCTTTTTTGCTTCTTTACCGGATTTCAACGATGTTGAGGGAACTCTTAAGGAAATCAAACACATCTTCGAGGCAGAGAAAAAGGCGAACGGGGTTATTGTTTTGACCTCGTACGGAGAGCGACTGTTAGGAGATGAGCACTTCAGACCCATCTGGGAGTCGTTGGAGAATTACAAGGCACTTGTTTTTGTCCATCCCACTACCCTGAACATCACGCCAGAAAAGGTAGGAGGGTATCTTCCCGCACCGGTTATTGACTTTCCTCATGCTACAACAAGAGCCGTTGTGTCACTTCTTGTTTCTGGAATAGCGACCGCTTGTCCTAATGTTGACATAATACTGAGTCATGCCGGCGGGACGATCCCTTTTATTGCGCAGCGAGCTATTGGGTTCCTTGCCGAGCCGACCCTCCAAAGCCAGTCCCATACAAATGTCACTGAGTCGTAAGTATTTAGATCCTTTTTCCGACTACACATGATTACGATTTAATATCGAACTTTAGCAAACATGCTCTCGGGCGCTTCTACTACGATATTGCCCTTTCCACGAGTAATCCACAACTCAAGGCGCTCTTAGCGTTTTCCTCGCCATCAAACGTTCTCTTCGGCACCGACTACCCATACGCGCCTAAACGTATTATCTACGAAGATCTACTACTGTATAGCAATTTTGTGGCCAGCGAAGAGGGTAAGGGCATTAGACCGGCCTGCTTGAGTAAAAACGCAATAGCCCTTCTCCAGAAGCACGAAGCTGAAAACACCTTTCTGCCCATGTCTCAGGAGATTAGGGGCTCAAAAGAGCCAGAATTTGGATTAGAGAGTAACCAGGTCGCTGAGCAGGCAAGACATCAACTAGCCAAGCTTGACAGCTAAATATTTGGACTTCTTCGTCCCGGGTAAGTATTATACAGAATGACAATCAAAATTATTTAATCAAAGTAAACGAACAATAACCTATAACTCGCAACAGTACGCTGGGCCCATAAAAACAACACCGAAAGCTATGAAGACGCAGCAAAATGGCGGTGGGACCTCCGATACCACCCTATAGGCCCCAGTTATCGCGCCTTTCCATTGACAACTACCACTCAATCATTCATAGAACTTCTCTTATGAATCTGCCCAGATGTATCCTTCCTTAGCGATAAGACTACTTCGATCTACGTATATAAAAATGCGCAACCTTATACTATATAGTCGCTATCGTTATTGTTCATCTCTTAATCCGCTATAGTTTTTTCTTCCTAGGTAGATGTAAATTTGTATTCATCTAGCCTCCATTATCAAATATTCCCATTTCTATTACTAGAAGCTTTCTCCTATTAGAATTTCCGTGACACGCATTAGCCAATTTATTACCAATTTCGTTTTCGGATTTCAAATAATGAGGCTTCATACTCGTATCTTAGGATTCCTCTTCCATCCGATGATCGAAGATGATCCAGGCCCGCCCCCTGATGGTGGCTCTCGAGCCTGGCTTCAGATCCTTGCCGGTCACTTGATCAACGCTCTTACGTGGGGATATTCCGCTTCATTCGGTGTCTACCAGCTCTATTACACAACCACATTATCACTACCCGAGTCGCAGGTATCCTGGATAGGCTCCCTCCAGGTCTTCCTCACATTCTTCGTGGGGACACTCTCGGGACGCTCTGCCGATGCCGGATACGCACAGCACACAGCTCTGCTCGGATCGATCCTGATTGTGCTCGGAACATTCATGACAAGCCTAGCAACGACGTATTGGCAAATCTTCCTCGCGCAGGGGTTGTGTACAGGACTCGGCATGGGCATCTTGTATATGCCGGCTATAGCTGTCATCAGCTCATATTGGAAGAAAAACAAAGCAATGGCCTTAGGACTAGCTTCCTCCGGGAGCGGGACTGGGAGCGTCATATTTCCTCTTATTGTACAGAATCTTCAATCTACTATTGGTTTTTCTCGAGCTGTTCAGGTTCAAGGCTACGTTGCTCTTGCATTTGCAATCATCATTAACCTCCTACTTCGTCCACGGCTCCCACCTCGTAAGTCTGGTCCATTGGTTGAGTGGTCAGCGTTCCAAGAGCCGGTTTATATTTTGTTCACTGTTGGTGTGTTCTTAATGTTCTGGGCTCTGTACTTTTGTTTCTTCTATATCAACACCTACGCTACGTCGATTATTGGCCAGACTCCTGAAGCAGCCGTGAATTTACTCGTAGTCATTACCGGCGTCGGCATCCCAGTACGACCTATTCTAGGTTTCGCTGCTGATCGATACTTCGGCTCCCTCTCCACTCTGATCATTTCTACTACCCTTTTAGGCGTACTACTATATTCTTGGATTGCTGTCCATACCGTTGCCGGCTTATACGTTTGGTCCGTGTTCTATGGGCTCGCCACTGGGGCAGCTCAGGGGAGTAAGTGTTTAAGTTTCCCCTTTGAATTGCGTCTCCCATCGCGAAAAGCCGCTAATACTCTGGATTCCAATAGTATTCGTCGCAGGGCTCGTATCGTTAACTGCGGACCCCAGTAAGTTGGGAACACGATTTGGGATGGTGTTTTCCGTATTGGCGTTTGCATCACTAGCGGGTCCTCCAACAGCAGGTGCATTGATTCAAAGCGAGAATGGAGGCTTCACGAAAGCGCAAATCTGGGCTGGAACTGTGACCCTTGCTGCAGCACTCTTTATATTCGCTGCTAAATGGAGACAAAGGGTGATGTCCCGTCAAATCCAGGGCTCTAGCAAGCCTTGTAAAATGGATCAAGGATATCCTGAAGAAGTTGTAGTCCAGATAAACAACAACGAGCAGACTAAGGCCTAAATCCTTCCCATCTTCCAAGGATATCAATTTATAGGGACCAGAGGCAACCCTTGTAAATACATGGTAGAAAGCTTTCATGCGGATTATATAGGATATAAATCCGGCTATTTTGCCAAATATTGTGGAGGAAAGAAGAAGTATCATTTATCCGCAGTTACTTCAGCTATAGGAAATTTGATACACTCTCATTCTACCCTAAGCCCCTTTTTAACCTACTCTTCGCATCCTGGATCAGGGGTTCCATAGCCATATACTTTCAGAGGGAAAGAAAGGTCCGGCGTAGTGCAGCCAGTATACGAATTTGTATCTGTGGTGCAGTCGGAATTTAACGTTGTCGATCCAGAGAGCCGACAGGAAATTCTAGAAAGGGGAGATATTAGCACCATCGAACATTTCTCTTCATACAACTGGGTGCATCACAATAAAGATTAGTTCAACTCACTCGCATGCACCCCCTGGACTCGTACAAGGCATGTTGAAGTAGTACAGTTAAAAAGGGGTTGGACTCGGCCGGTGTAAACCTTCAACTACATACCCTCTCTTAGTTTTACGCTAGCTACACAATCCTGCCATCTCAAGGTCTTCATATAGAGCCCCTCAATAATCGCGATCAACACCATACCGCTACCAAGCCCGATCCAGACACCATTCAACTCCAACCCCGGAGACCCTAACTCTAACCATATCGTCACGGGAACGGTAATTATATAGTTTACGACTAGTACCACCCAAGCAGCGACGGACTGTCGGCCGAGCCCGCGAAGTACGCCATTCGTGCAGCAGATTATGGCATCTATAATCTGGAACACGCCAACGGCAAGCATGGTTTTGGAGACGAGATCGCCGACGATACGGTCCTCTGAGAAGAATGCCGGAAGCTGGTTTCGCAGAGAAAAAATAACTAAGCCGTCGGCACTGCCTATGAGCGCACATACTACGGCGTACAACACAGCAGCGCGCCGAGCTCTCGCAACATGGCCGGCTCCAATGAGATGGCCAATACGCGTACTTATCGCGACCGATATAGAAAAGGGGATATGCCAGGAGACGACCGAGATAGTCATCAAGACAGACTGTGCTGCTAAGTGATTTGTGCTGAGGTACGACGTGCTGAAAGTCAAAAACTCACAAGCGGCCCATTCTCCTAAGTTGACCGCAGTGCCTGCGACGGAGAGCCGCACCATAGGTCCCCATTTAGAGAAAGCATCCCGTGAGAAGCCGCCCCAGCACTGGTGTGACCACTTCCCAGTCGGTAAAAGTATATAAGCAAGAAGTAGGATAGGACGAAGGTTATTAGTGAGAGCAGCTCCCAATGCAGCACCGTCGAGGCCCATCTCAAGTTTAAAAGCGAAAAGCCAGCTCAGGAACGCATTGACGGGCGTGCATATAAGAATAGCAATCATAGCGCCTCTAAAATCCCCTTGAGCTTGGAGGAATCGCTTGCCCGCTTCGAACGACGCATATCCAGGCAGGCCAACCAAGCTAACCCGCATAAACGTCCCAGCCATGACAGCCAAATGATGCTGTCGCACAAAGATGGACAGCACCCACGGAGAAAACACCCAGAAAGCACCAATGGGTATGACGGCCAAGATCATGAGGAACCACATGCGCTGGACGTGCAGCCCAACATTTAAAAGATTGCCAGAGCCATACGCTTGGGCGCACAGTGTATCGAGGGCAGTAGCCATGCCCTCAATTGTAGCGAACCCAACGATGTTCATCGTGGTCATAGCAAGGCTTGCAGCAGCGAGGGCGTCTGCATTAATATGGCCCGCAACAAAGGTCGTGATGACACTGTATGAATATTGGAGAAGGTAAGTTGCTATAAGCGGAATAGAGTACTGCGCGAGAAGCCATAACTCCGACCCCCAGTTATCGCTGGTAGCAGATTTCAATGGTTGCGAATCAGATAACAGTGGTGTACATTCCGTTTGGCCATCGTGAGCCGCCTCGTCGTCTCGTAAGTCTGAATCCATGGGTTATGCGCGTTTGACTAGGTATGGAAGTGAGTGATAGTCAGAATAGTAACATAAATCCAGCGAAGAGTAGGTAATTATTTACTTAAGCTAAAAGCATAACCTAGACATATCCTAAAGCTACTTGGATAAAAGAAAAAAAAAAAGGAGAAATCATTGTCAAGGTGGAGTATGAGATACTAGGTCAGACAGCTATTGGTTGTTAGCCAAACCATGCATGATAGCTATCTCCCGGTATACCAGGAGTCTAACACCAGTATGTCGTGCTATTTACTAATTCCAATAGGATACCTATAGAATAATAGATACATTCATGTAAGTCGAATGCTATATTGTTTGCCAGAACTAGCCGTGTAACAGTTGCACAAAGAGAAATTGCAATTATTCGATTCGCCAATCCCTTACAACGCTAAGAACAACCCCTGCTAGAAAGGGGATGATGCTCTCCAGACGAGCTGACGAGCTGACGAGCCAACGAGCCAAGAATGCTCGGGATTATATTAGACCGCTCCGGCAGGGCCTCTTGAACTTCACCGCCAATCTCCGGGATCTACATAGTAGTAAACTCTTTTAAGTGATAACTAGGTAGTAGTTTGGTTTCTCATCTGCGTAATACACCACGCATGTCAGATCTACTTACATATATCATGCGAGAATCCTTGTAATCCCTACTTTTAAAAGGTGTGGAGGGCGGAGATAAGGAAAAGAATACTTGGCGGGTAGTAAATCATAGGGTGTGTTGCTCATCTCGATGTGAACTATTGCAGACGAGATGAGCTCAGATTGGCCATCGTATCTGACTCTTGGCCAGTAACTTCTACACACGTCGTGGTTTGAAATGCTGTACGACAGAAATATACGCAAAAGGTAAACAATTACAATTACCAAGCTATGCGTTAAGTAGAACTCCTTCTCGCCGTGGATCGTATTCATCGCATGTCTCAAAGGAGACGTCACCAAAGACAGGTAAATACGTCATTCCGCTCAAGCAATTATTACAGTCTTAGGGAAGGACGGGGAGTTGCTTCTCAACTAACGGGCTATCATATACATATATGACGTCTTTGGCTATAGGCTTTGATGGGACAGTAGCTATTATAATATTTGCATGTCTAAATTTTAGGTGACACGGATGTATTACAGACCTAGGTTACGTAGGTACCTTAGGTGTCCAGGTGAAATTATGATATTAGACCTAATCCTCACCAAAAGAAAAAAAAGTGTAAGCTTGGCGAGAAACCATTGTATTCTGTAAATTCATCTCTATTGTTCCTATATCCTTTATATCATTCTACCGTACTGTCTCCTTCCTTGATGACCTCTTGGCACTCCGGATTATCAGGGTCGATACGAATGACCTTAACGTCAGGGGCAAAGTTCGGCCACTCTATCCTATCCCATGTACTGCCCTTCGTCCACTCTGTGCCATTTCCCTTTGGAAGCATCACATAAGCAGTGCCTTTTGTGGTCAGTGCCAGCGCCTGCGAGCACACATTCCAAAACCTGTTTTGTTCCATCACCTCCGGGTGGAACTGCCAGGCGTCGGGCCAACTCGGATCCCTCCACGATTTTGACAATAATCGATACCCCTTCAGATAGCTACGACCCTCTATGGCCTCCGCTACCTTTAAATAGTATCCGGCCCCTGAGTAGAAGATTGACGTGTTTGGGAGAACGTTAAGTTCACCCAAACACTCATTCAGGGTAGGAAGACTTCGACTAGCGTAGCCTGATGGGTTGGTTGCATTTGTGTTGGAAGCATTCCCGCTGTCAGTGATAGTCACAGAGGATGAACCGGGTGTAATATCCACCGGATCTATCACAGCAACCGTGAGAGGTTCCTTTGATTTATCCATTTGAATAGCTTGGAATAGTAATTACCTTGTAGGGTGATATATCTCTTCTATCCAAGCCTAACTATATGTCATCAAACAGGTATGTGATGGTTTGTAGCAGGAAAATGGCTTATATGTGCCATCCATTAGATTAATGAACAGAGGCACTATTATTGACTATCGTTTTAGTAATGCTTTGAAGCGGTGATAAAGCAATTGTCTTTTGGAACAAGGAACTATCAATATAACTAAGTTAGGACAACTCTACGAGTTAGAATGCATACTGGGTACCTGTAGTTGCTTTGTTCAAGTAACTCAGAGGGCAGATTTTACGTGAATAATAACATATAATTAGGTCGAATCTTTCAAAAGCTAATAGGTATACTTGTTTGTACTTTAATAACAATAGTGGTCAAAGATTCTTGATCTCGACATTATTTTACAGCATTATCAAAGTCACTTTTCACCTAAATAAAGTTAATTTTCTTGTTGTTCCTTCAAATCTGCTTAATCTGTGACTTAAAATGAAATAGAAAGTAGTGAAACCTATAAAAGTGCACATAGTTGGATAGCTTAGATATTGAGTGACTGGAATTCGACTTCTTTAGCCTGTCGAAATCTCAAGCTACATGTCATCTCTAAGAGATGACATGTAATATAACATGCCCAGATGGGTATTAACTGGGCAACTTACCTCGTCTGTCCCGTTTGTCCCGTTTGTTCAGAGCATCTCCTCGAGGAATTATTTATACGTGACATGACCAAAGCTTTCAAATCGGAATATTTCAAACAGCACCGTATCAATCTGGGGATTCCTTTCTCGTCTTGTTCAACCCTATCACGTCTAGCTTATTAGCATTTCATATCATAATTGGTGAACTACCTATATATGGAACAATGGGCGTGATCGCTGCCTGTCAAGTATGCAATAGCGAGACGCAGTAGGATGTAAGCGTTATCGACGAGATAATCCAACATGGTTACGATATCAACCAGAGCCTTGGCATAGGAGGTGTCTTAGGGTAAAACTCTTCTTCCATTATTTGCTGACGCTATATACTGATACTTAAGTTTTCATTTCCGAAGTTTTGCTGTGAGATGCGACAAGCTTCCTCTAGTCGAGTTTCTCCTTAACCGCGGCGCTGACCCTAACGCCAACCTCTGTGAAGATTTCTATTCGACACTCGAGTCCGCCATAGTCTCTAACGCAAGCCTGTCTATTATTTCTCTTCTGATCGATCGTGGAGCTGTTGTAAAACAACGCAGCGCTGCTCTCCTTGCCGCCCGGGGCGGGCGTCTAGATGTCTTAAAGCACCTCATTTCTTCTGGTGCTGGAGTCGATTCCATCCCCGACAATGAGGATGTGTACGACGACGCGCGCGAGCAAGACGATTGGGGCACGCCGCTCCATGGAGCTTCAGGAAATGGCAAGGCTGATTGTGTCGCGTGGTTACTTCAAGCAGGAGCATCTCGTGACATCAAAAACCACAACGGCTTAACTCCTAGGGAGGCGGCGGAAAAGAGAGGGCATGCACGGTGCGTGACATTGATAGACCGGAATGGAAACGAAGGTGGCTGTGTAGTTTCGTGAAGATGTTAGCTTTGACGATCAGAATAGGCTATGAAATGCACACCAGATCGGCTGTCAACTCAAACTTCATCTAACATTAAATATAATAGCTGCCGAAAGGGGTTCTGTTCGAGCCAATCCCCTTTCAATTGTAGCGGGTAGAGTACAATGGTTTACTTGAGCCACTATAACTGTCAAGCTGATAGATTTATCCTGCCGCTGAGCCCCTTTCGTGTTATATACAATTTATATGATGCTCTTGTTCGACATGCAGTAATACTTGACATCTTACTGGAGCACACCTCCTATTTCACATCACCTAGGTAGGTACACTATATCCATAACTAGGTCACGACAGGCTTTACATTCCAAATACACATTCCGGGGGCTCCTTGCCTATGGTTCGCTACATACATGGCACGAGAAAAGAAAATCTCACTACGAATAACACCACCTCCTAGTCATACGATGCTTTCTATGTAGGAGTTGCAAGTTTTGTCAAGCGCTCCCGTTCTACGGCTTAAGATAAAGAGCTTATTAAGCACAATCAATGTAAGTCCGGATCGAAGCTCTTCTAGAAGAAACGAGTTAATTGGCAAAATACGAGGGGGAGGCGCCGAATCCATGCCGGTGTAACACTCCTTAAAATCGTATTTCTAAAGAGGGTGGGCCAAGCTGCGACATGCCAAGTTACATACCTGCCAGATGTCCACGCGATAGGAGCCCGACACACAGGTCTGAAATCCTAAGCGCTCGCAGTATGTCCACCTCATTGAGCCTACAGATCGTCGATGTCATCAGAGATACTAGCAACTGAGTTTTCTAAGATTGTTCGTGGTAAATGTTATGATTTCATGATCGTAAATGAATAACTGTCTATAGTTTCAATATCGGGGTTGAGAATTCACCGTTTTGACTGGATAACATGCATCATGTATCTAGAGAAGACTTCACGTAGAGTATAACAGGTGATTAGGTAGTTAAAAGGGAATGAATTTGGACAGCCATGTAGCAAATAGGTATATAATAAAACTCCTTCGTTGGATATCATCTTCCCCATCTAATATTCACTACCTCATACTAATTCGGAAACTCTGTCACGGATTGACTGTGTATCAGCTAGGGACCAAAGGAAGTCCCCGTCCACTAACTCCTCCATCTACCACCACCCGAATCTGTAGCGAGATCACTCATACTGGATTTCCTGCCCTCACGAGTTATAAGATCAAAGTATGGGCGGTGCATGTAAATTAAACGGCGAATATGTACACTTAAAAATGTTCCTTCCAGAACCGGAAGCGAACTTCTTTAGATGTTGCCTTCTTGGTCGCCTTGTGGATATCACGGGCTAGAAAATAAATCAGTGATAATTCGTGAGTAAAAAGGATTTAGGACTTACCGGCTACAGCAGGACCGCAGAAGTATACACCGACTGTTGTCTGCATGCTACCCTCTAGACCAGTGATGTATGTTCGATCCACAATTCCATCCCGCATTGCTTCAAACATCCTTAGGAAGTTGGGTCGACCAAAGTTTGTGCGCGCCTTAAGTTCCGTTAAGGGATCATAATCGGCACCGACACTGTTTAGCACGATATTTTGCGTCGTGTCCATATCGAGCTTCTGGGTTAAGTAGGTGTGAATCTTCAAAAACTCTACGCCGCTGCTACCGGGAATTTGAGCCGCCTCGTTACTTTGAGATTCGAGGGATGATAGGAGAGTCTGGAACCACTCGAAAGAGCCAGTGTCCTTGCATACCCAGATAAATTCGACACGGCGGAGACGTCTGGGTGGGTTCGGGCTGTTGCGTAAGTGCCAGATGTTCTTCAGGATAGAGGCCCATGGCGTCACACCGATACCCGTACCAATGAGCACGGCAATTTCGTTCTCGAACACATCCTCGGCGGGCGCACCGTACGGCCCGTCGATTCGAAGCAAGGGCATTTGCTGTCCATTCTGTAAAGCGACTTCGTACATTCCCATAGGGTCGACACCTTCGTACAGTTTGGCTTGTGCGCTACCAGCACCAACTGCATCACCTAATGCCTTGGTGAAATCTCCAACCTGTCGAACGTGGACCGAGACGTAGGGATCGTATGGGCAAGATGTGATAGTAAACGGATGCCATTGGTAGCCGGAGACTGAGGGGACCTGTAGGAAGAGCCACTGGCCAGCCTTGTACTTGAAAGAAGGCTTCTCGAACTGGATTTCCACAACGTCTATAAATAGTGTTAGCAATACAAAGCTGTTGTACTAATCGAATTCTCTTACCATATGGATGGCGAACCACCCGAGTAATCTTAGTGGTACGCTTAGCCCGAACTTCTCGGTAAAGACGCTCGCATAGGTAAAAGGCTCCTGCGAACAATTCCCATCGCCACCCCTGATAACCAATGCAGTGTTCCCAGAAGATATCACCAGCAAATGGAGAGAAGGGCAGAGCGGTGTCGCGAACGAAGCAACCAACGGCATGAGTATAAAGTCCAAGGAAGAACGGAATGAAAAGATGATGCGTGTACCAGAAACTCTCGAATGATTGTTGGCGGATGCGATGATGAGCAGTGGTATACATCAATAACATACAGAGGAGCATTACATGACCAGTAATGCCACCAGGTTGAGCATAGTGAATCTCAACTGCGGTAACTGGTCGAATCTGCGTCTTCTCCACGTTATAGAAGCTGTAAAATGTTAGATTTAGATCACTCCGGACTCAAAGGGCTTAAGGGACATACTTGACATAGTGAGCAGAAACGTGGATGACGGTGAAAAGCAGCATGGAATAGGCAACCTGACGATGGAACCAAATGTTCTCATCTAGGGGCAGGAACCTGATCTTAGGTCGTATCCATCGTACAAATGTTCGGCACACGGGTAGTAAAATCAACGTCCCATCAATCGCCAAAACTAAACCGGCACCTCGAGATAGCCACACAGACCATGATAGTGTGTTCAGACCAGCTAACTTGGGGTCTTGAGCCTGTTTCCACCTATAGTCACGTTAGTGGTAATTATATGCAATGCAATGCCAAGAAAACGTACCATCCGTAACCAAAGAAGAACCAGTGAACCCCCCAAAATAAGATATGGAATATGAGTTTAGTCGCAGTAAACTGCTTCTTCACCAGTTCGCCGACAGCCATTATGCTAACCAATGTCTCTTTCTCCTACCCGGGATATAAATTTAAATTAAAAGTGTGTCGACCTGCGACGCGATTCTGTGCCTTTTCCAGACGGCGACTATTGGCGAGGGCGTTCGAAGTGAATGGACGGACTGATCGATATCGATTTCCAACGCTGTTCTATGTAGTAGTCGCCCTCCGTAGTTGTTCCTCTTCAAAAATTTCCGACTATTAAAAAGGGCGTATTATCCAACGTCGCGCACCTAGAAGTAAACAAAACCGAACCAAAAAAAGAGCGATCTGAGCCAGCAGGAGACGAAGGAAAGGATGGCGAAGTAGGGAAAGTCTCGAGTGAGAGGCGGAGTCTTTCTACGTCCTGATTGCCGCGCGAAGGACCAAGAGAAAGAATTAAACGTAGATATTGGCGGGCGGGGAGTAAGTCATAAAGGACGACAGAACTAGGACGAGGTGGGCAATGCGATCAGGCGAGATCCACCGTCCACGGTCAAAAAATGAAAAGAGCAAGGGTAGTATGGATGTACGAAGATCCGGAGCTTGTTTGGTAGTCTACCGTTAAGCTTCTTGCAGGGGACGAAGGGGTTTCTCGATATCTCGGATGTCAATAGCCCATGAAACCTTAAGTTAATCGTGAAGATGCTAATCCGTTTTCTGTTTAAGTCGTAAAGTGGGAATATCGAAAGTCGAGAAGTAGAGGGTTTATCTCCGCGGCTAAACTACTTTCACGTAAAGAAGAGTCCTCATCAAAGCCCTTCAAGGTAGACAAACCTATAGGACTTCTCGGCAAGTAATCAGGGATTCGACTGCAATAGCTGGAGTAGATCAAACGGAAGGGAAGCGTTTCGCGAGCCGTCGATGCGGTGTCAGATTTGCATCCGATGAACACAGAAATTGATCGGACGGTATGTCAGGCACGGATGATATCCAGAACCAGACCCTTGTAGTTGTGGTGGTGTGGGGGCAGAGTTGAGACAGGCGGCGTTTGGAAGCGCTGCTCTTTGGCGTTTCGACAGGGGGGGAGTTGACCCTTAAGCCTGCTATGTACCTAAGGTATGTACCTAGGTACCTAGGTAGGTATGTAGAATGTAAATGTAAGTGCACGTACCTTTCTTATAACAGAGGTACGAACATTCAACAGCGTATATGAATTGAAATCATGTAATGTAAAAAATATAAATATAATAGGAACCATATTGTCGGAATTGGATGGGTGATCGGGGTTTATTAGGTAGAAATATGCAAGATGTTTTCAACCTGTAAATTAAGCGCCGTTGGTCAAGACGTTTTGTGAAAGCCAATTAATTGAGGTTAATTGCAAAATAGCTATCGAGGCTTGTCCAGACGGGCGGTTGCTGAACAGCGCGGATTCGTCCAGGTCAAGGGCGGGATGTAGTATGTGACCAATAGAATGATGCGAGGCCGTGACAAAGTGACAAAGTGACAAAGTGACAATATGTAGGTACATAAGGTATGTAGAACAGGTTTAACCTATCCCGTTGCAGAGAATGGTGCTTTTCCCCTTATCCCACTTATACTACTACATGTATGTATGTACCCTAACCTAGCTTCCATATGTATTCCCCCCTCTTTAAACCCCCTGCCCCTGGAATACATAGGTAGGTACCTACATACTTATGTCCAAGTTACCTAGACGAGATCCCGTCAGATATGCATGTACTAAAATCACCGCATGGAACACTCGCTAGGCTCTTTCGATACAATGGCCTCCTAATAGCGCATAGCAATTTTGGACCCTTTTTAGTTGTATCTTCGATGTACGCTTGGCGCTGCCGATACCCGAGAGGCTACATTTTGTAGCACAAGGGTGACTCCCACGTTGCTAGCCCTGCCGGCCTTGGTCTTAGATCGCCATGCTCTCCTCCATATTAGCTATCCTCGAGAAAAAGTCGTACGATTGTTTAAAAAGTCAGACCACTTTTGAATAGCATTCTTAGGAGTTGAATATATAAATCCGTAGTAGCCGTCATGCCATTTGAAAAGAAAATCGTCGTATGATCCTTCCATGTCTATTCACGCAGTTGCTACCTTTGAACCCATGGGATTCGCCTTGGTATTGAGAATGCAACTCACGTCTCTTCTCTAGCAAGGTCTATTATACCCGACATCCACTATTTTCTACCGGGTATCGGATCAACGAAGATACTCATCTACGTGTAAGATGTTGGAAACAAGGACTTCAGCATCTCACTGCCTCGACTTCCCATGGCGGCTCAGAAGCCCTGAGCTAACAGCTACCTAAGGTAATGACGGTATGACGGTATGACGGTATGACGGTATACCTTTGGAAGGTAAGGTTCGAGGAGATATCGCGACGGCTTTCTCATGGTCAAACGAACCCATCATTTACCACTCGTCTCACTAGAAGGCTTAGGGTAATGATCGCACAAAGACCGACACTAATCGTGAATGTTGGAGTTTGAGGCGAAGCCAAAGATCCTCAGGAGTGCTGCCCGTGTCGCTCGTTTAACATCGTGCGGAGCGGTCAGCCTCAGAACACGGCGTTGACGTCGTTTCTGGAACAGTCCGTGAACGCAACCCTTGGTATTCTGAAACGGTTAGCAGAGCCTCAAGAAAGTGTAGTGTATGTATGTATGTAAGTGTGTATAACCCTTCAAACGTTAGCGTACGGATCTAGATTTCGATGCTACCCTATGTACGGAATATCCCTATGAAGATAGGCCAATAGTATTATAGAAATATACGGGTCATCCTACTAAAGGCTACATACCTAATGCTTAGCCTTAGACCCTTGTCCATTCTTTGTTCGACTTCGTATCGGAACTTCCCATAGATCATCCCTAATCATCTAAACTGACCTTGTTCCAAAGCTCTCCCGCTTCATAGATGAATTCAAAGCTATATGTCAGTTAGGCAAACAAGCCCGAGGATGCCAAATTGAAATGTGTTTATGTCAATGTGTCAATGTGTGATTCATTTGGGTATTAACTTGATTCCTCGTTATGAGGGTCACATACTGGCTTTCCCGGCTCCCGTATCCTGTTTTTTTTTTTTTTTTTGGCATATCCCTTCCAGAGTCGATCTGTATGAAGTGGAAATGTACTTTACTCATCCAGTAGATGTATCATCAAGTCATAGTCAATAGTCACCTAAGCAGATTAGTGTCCGCCATATCAATATTGTATTATTCCACCAGACAACCAGACTAGGCCACTCGTAATGCCGCCGAATTTTATATGAGAAGCATTCGGGGATACTAACCTACAAGTATATGGGTACGTGTCTCACTGGCCACAGATGTTACAGGTATTCTTCAAAACCTATGAGATAGATTCGGTGCTCAACTTTTCTATGTGAGAACAATGTCGACGACGTGACGATGTCCGATCATCAATACGAGATGATGAGCTTACATCTTTAGCTATGGTCCAAACAGACCTTATTAAGTCGACAGTTGCGTCTAGTCCATGAGGCGCATATGATATCATTAGAATTGGTAGATGATGCAAACAACGAGTGTAGTGACGTCTCTTTCAAACCTTCACTTTAGTAATCTACTCGACTTATCTGTACTTGAAGTGCTCGAATCACTTGATAGTAAGTGACTGCAAGAATTCCCCTCCAACTTCATTATTCGGTAACTTGTTTGCTATCGGTCCAAACTTTGACTCGAAATTTCCAATATGGCACCTAGGTATAAGAAAGGCCAAATGGTCACATACAAGCCTGTCGGAGGTGAGTAACCTAGACTTTATACTGTTATTTAGTAGCGACTTATTAATCTTGAGAAGGACCTGGTTCGAACACACCGGAAAGCACCGGAAAAATTAATGGTGTTCTTACCGAACCAGGTGTGCAAGCGGATAGGAACGTTCAGGCCAGCGCTGACAACCCTCGATACGAGGCGAGTTTTCCCCAAGAGCCATACACAGGCTTTGGTAATGGTATACTAACAACTGGTGTGTTAGATCGTCAACGATAATACCGGGAAGACATCCACAATCTACGAAAGCAACATTCTCGGCTCGGCCTAGTAAGTGAGTGGTAACCAAGTTGCCGTTACATGTGAAGGCACCGTCTCTTACAACGTACCGATGGTGTATATGTAAACGGCGGTCGGCATGTTGTACTCTTCGGCGGTCGAATAAACTGGCTTATTGCAATATACTCATTTCAACGACGGGAATTAAATTACACGTAACACTTAGCTCCGCCGGACGTGACATGTTTGGATATGTAAATGCCTTATAATCTTATTGCTGCCTAAACTAATCTCTCGCTTGTTAGCTGTCTTTGACCTATTGAAGGAGTTATGAAGAGACCCAATTATAGCTTAGGTGTGACTAAGTCGTAAGGCTATTTGAAGTTATGGAAGTTAGAAGTCAGAAGTTAGAAATTAGGAATTATCGTTAATAATAAGAGGTGAATGATGTCGAGTGAAATGTTTAAAGACAGTATTTAAGGCTTAGGTAACCTCTTAGGTACCTATGTAGGTAGAATCCGCATATTTGCAGGTTCCGATAGCGTGAATGGCTGCCCAACCTCCATAAATTCCAGTGCTATGGAATAATTCCGGCTTGGCATCTGTCCTCAGCCACACCTGCCACGTTACCCAGCCCCATTGAATTACGTCGCAGGTGATACAGATGTACGGTACCTATTGGCGCTAAACGATGGAATAATGGTGCCTTCTTCAAGGCACCCGAACACTGGAAATACAAAGTCCATCTTCACACATGTAAATCCAAACTTGCGCGAGCGCACAATTCTACCGCACACTTACTCCTCAGGTCGCTACTCACTTGGGATAAGCCTAGAATCATATTGCAAACCGAACAAAACCCGACGCTGCAATCCCCCCCTTTTTATCTTGATCGAAGCCCCTGTCTTACTAAATACGACCCTAGCGATACAGATACCGTCCATGCGAGCCCAATATGGTGAGATATATTCATATATGCTTGACGAAAGCAACGCTTCTATACTAACCGCCGTGTGCTATAACTATAGGGTATAAGTAGACGACCGAAGGACAAATCAGGCGGAGCGTCCCGCGCTGGTGGCGCAAGAGCGCAAGATGGCGGTGCCAAACCTAAGAAGGCCACCTTCGAAACGACCAAGAAGAAAGAGATAGGGGTTTCTGATTTGACCCTACTTAGCAAAGTGTCGAATGAAGCAATAAACGAGAACCTAAAAAAGCGATTCGAAGGCCGCGAGATTTATACCTATATTGGCCATGTGTTGGTTTCCGTTAACCCCTTTAGGGACCTCGGTATCTACACCGACCAAGTCCTCGAATCGTACAAGGGAAAGAACCGTTTGGAGATGCCGCCGCACGTCTTTGCGATCGCCGAATCGTCATACTATAACATGAAGGCCTACCACGAGAACCAATGTGTTATTATTTCTGGAGAGTCGGGAGCTGGTAAGACTGAAGCCGCCAAACGGATCATGCAGTACATCGCAAATGTGTCTGGCGGTGAGAGCGGCGAGATCAAACAGATAAAGGATATGGTGCTGGCAACAAATCCGCTGCTGGAGTCTTTCGGAAATGCAAAGACATTAAGAAATAACAATTCCTCCCGGTTCGGAAAGTACCTGCAAATACATTTCAACGCCAACGGAGAACCTGTGGGCGCTGACATCACAAATTACCTGCTCGAAAAATCACGGGTGGTAGGCCAAATTACCAACGAGCGAAACTTCCACATATTCTACCAATTCTCCAAGGGGGCCTCTGAAAACTACCGGACAATGTTCGGTATTCAAAAGCCGGAGACGTATACTTACCTTAGCCGGTCAAAATGTTTCGACGTCGACGGCATAGACGATTTGGCCGACTTCAAAGAAACCTTAGACGCCATGAAGATTATTGGTCTTTCTCAGGGTGAGCAGGACGAAGTGTTCCGCATGTTAGCCGCCATTCTCTGGACTGGAAACATCCATTTTGTGGAAGGCGATGACATGAATGCTGCTGTGGCTGATCAGTCCGTCGTGGATTTCCTTGCATACTTGCTTGAAGTTTCGCCTGCTGCACTAGTCAAGGGTATAACAATCCGAGTCTTGACTCCAAGGAGTGGCGAGGTAATCGAGTCCCCAGCGAACCCAGCCCAAGCAAATGCTACCAAAGATGCACTTGCCATGGCTATCTATTACAACCTCTTCGACTGGATTGTTGGAAGAATAAACCAGTCACTACAAGCTCGACAGCAGACAAGTAACAATATTGGAATTCTCGATATTTATGGATTTGAAATCTTCGAGAAGAACAGTTTTGAGCAGCTCTGCATCAACTACGTGAACGAGAAGCTACAGCAGATTTTCATTCAACTTACTCTCAAGGCTGAACAAGAAGAATACGCCCGGGAACAGATCCAATGGACCCCCATCAAGTACTTCGATAATAAGGTCGTATGTGATCTCATTGAGCAGATCAGACCTGCCGGTATCTTCGCCGTCTTAAAGGACGCCACTAAGACAGCCCACGCCGATCCCGCTGCGTGTGATCGTACCTTCATGCAGAGCATTAACGGGATGTCTAACGCCCACCTTACTCCTCGCTCGGGAAGTTTCATTATCAAGCATTACGCCGGCGAGGTTAGTTACACCGTCGAAGGAATCACCGATAAAAATAAGGACCAGCTCCTCAAGGGGGTTCAAAATCTGTTCCAGCAGAGCTCGAACCAATTTGTCCATACGTTATTCCCTAATTCAGTAGATCAAGATAACCGCAAGCAACCCCCAACCGCCGGTGATAGAATCAGAACTTCAGCCAATGCTCTCGTAGAGACTTTAATGAAGTGCCAACCCTCGTATATCCGGACAATTAAACCAAACGAAAACAAATCGCCAACCGAGTACAACGTACCAAATGTCCTGCATCAAATCAAATATCTAGGTCTACAAGAGAACGTCAGGATTCGACGTGCCGGTTTTGCCTACCGTCAGTCATTTGAGAAGTTTGTTGAGCGTTTCTTCCTACTGTCTCCTGCTACGTCCTACGCGGGCGAGTATACTTGGCAAGGAACCGAAGAGGCAGCGGTGAAGCAAATCTTGAAGGATACGAGCATTCCAAAGGAAGAATGGCAATTAGGTGTTACAAAGGCTTTTATCAAGTCTCCCGAGACGTTGTTTGCTCTAGAAACCATGCGAGATCGATACTGGCATAACATGGCGACCCGCATTCAAAGAATGTGGAGGGCGTATCTAGCTTACCGCGCGGAGTCAGCCACCCGAATCCAACGATTCTGGCGGAAGAAGAGAGTTGGTGCCGAATATCTACAACTTCGAGACCAAGGACATAAAGTTTTGCAAGGGCGTAAGGAACGGAGACGTTTCAGTCTACTGGGTTCTCGACGTTTCTTGGGAGATTATCTGGGAACTAACGCGTCAACTGGGCCAGGATCCCATATACGAAGCGCTATAGAACTATCGAGCAACGAAAAGTCTATCTTCTCGTGCCGTGGTGAGGTTCTGGAGGCCAAATTCGGGCGATCAAGTAAACCCAGCCCTCGCATTCTCATTGTGACTAATAGCAAGTTCTACATCGTGGCGCAGTCCTTGGTCAATCATGAAGTGCAAATAATTGTTGAACGTCAAATTCCTTTAGGGGCTATTAAGTTCATCGGAGCTTCATCATCTCGCGACGACTGGTTCTCGTTGGGGGTTGGGTCACCTCAGGAGCCCGATCCGTTATTAAACTGTGTTCTAAAAACAGAGCTATTCACGCAAATGCAACGGGCGATGGCTGGCGGTTTCAACTTAAAGATCGGCGACTCGATAGAATACGCCAAGAAGCCAGGAAAGATGCAAATCGTAAAGGTTCTAAAAGACTCGCAACAGGCCGTCGACTTCTACAAGAGCGGGGCAATCCATACACAACCCGGGGAACCTCCATCGTCAGTATCCAAGCCGACGCCAAAAGGCAAACCCGTGCCACCCCGTCCGATTACTCGGGGCAAGCTTATCAAGCCAGGCGGTCCCGGTGGCAGACCTTCTCGAGTCACCAACTCTCGTCCTAGCACTACCAAGCGTGGTCCAGCAGCGCTCCAGACTCCACGACCAGTCCCAGTTCCAACTCCCACTGCCTCCGTCACAAGCAGCGTCACAAGCCATACTCGTAACCAAAGCTCGACATCGTCTGCGCGCGCGCCACCTCCACCGCCGCCGCCACCTGCCGCTGCTCCAGCAGCGAGGGGCAAGATGACCGCAAAAGTTCTGTACGACTTTGCTGGTCATAAAGAGAATGAACTCTCGGTGAAAGCTGGCGAAATCATCGAGATCGTTCAAAAAGAGAACAATGGTATGTGGTTAATTCCTATAGATAAATCATTTATTCAAGCTGGCAGAGCCCACTAACACACCTCAGGCTGGTGGTTGGCAAAGAACGCTCAAGGACAGGCTTGGGTACCTGCAGCATACGTCGAGGAACAAGCAGCAGCACCTCCACCAGCACCGGCTCTAGCTCCGCGGGCACCGCCGCCCCCTCCAAGCCAGAACGGCACGGCAACGGCAGCACGGAATAAACCTACGCCTCCACAGCCTCCAGCAAAGCGACCTACTGCTGGGAAGAAGCCTGCGCCACCTCCACAACCCCGAGACTCGGGTATGAGTCTCAACGCCAACGGCGGCTCGGATAACAGTCGTAGTAGCACGCCGACGCCCAGTGTTAAGGGCTCCCTAGCTGATGCCTTACTGGCGAGAAAGAACGCCATGCAGATTAAGAAGGATGATGATGACGATTGGTGAAGTAAAGCATCAGAACAGAGTTGCGTTTTGGTGCAGGCGTCGGCTTTGAAATATTTAGTCTATACATAAGAATAGGCGCACGCCAGAATTATAGCGCGACAGGACAGGACGCGACGGCCTTCCTGCGAGGCTGCAATTAACGGACCTCGAGTCTTGCGCAGGGGGAGAAAGCGAAAGCAGGGCAGGTTAGATATCGGAATGGGTTCTACCATCACAACGAAGCGTGTAAGGTATTGTACGGAGCGAGCACGATATGGCATGACAGCCTTGCATAGTAGAACAACAACGTGCTTAGAAAGATGGGTCGATAAGAGAAGAGCAGAACTTGAAAGAGTTGGCAAATTAACTATATTGAAATGTATTTTATCTTTTATTCTATTGTGACATATCCAATAGTAATCGTAAACTACCTCCTAGACATACATCATCATCATCATCATCATCATCACGTATCTGCATCATCTTTCGTGCGCACTTTCCTCCTGCGCATCAGCTCCGCGAGAGGCACGTCCTCATCTTCCACACGGACGTATTCCTCCCGTATCCGCCGCGGCCGCTCCACCGCCGGCTCGTCGAACTCGGCGTCTTCGTCCACGCCGTAGTCGCCCAGGTGCTCGCCATCAGCGTTCACCCAGCCGGACTTGCCCTCGGCCACGACAACCACAGCAGTAGCGCGTCCCGGTCCTACTCTGCGAGCGTACGCCTCGTCGACGAAGTCGTAATCGCGGTCGTTGTTGTCGTTGTTATCGTCGTCGTCGTCGTAGTACTCGGGAGGCATCTCCTCCAACTCCCCTAGGATGCGCGACCGCGACGCTTCCCACCGCCGCAAGTCCCGCTCCTGCCGTCGCCGGAACGCTTCCCGCTCGTCGTCGGGGTTGGCGGGGCCGTCGAAGCGCGCCCTCTCTAGCGCGCGGTCGGCTTCGCGCTTGCGTGCGCGCCAGGCCTTGGCGTGCCGGATCTTGTCGGGGTCGGGGGGCGGCCACATGCCCTCGCGGTCGTTGAGGCCGTTTTCTTCGTAGGACCAGCCGGTGCCGCTCATTGTTGTTGTTGTTGTTGTTGTTGTTATATCACTACCGCCACCACCACTGCCGCTCTCGTCTCTGTTCGGGGCTGCGATTCTTGGCTCGCCGGCGAAGGGGAGGAACCATAGTAGAGGGACGCGCGTGCCCATGGCGGCGGCCATGTTTGCGAAGATGCCGATGTCGTAGGGGAACTCGACGGGGTCGAGAGATTCGCGGTCGCCGCCGGGAGCGTGTTCGCCCGAGCCCCACCACGAGGAGTAGGCGTCGCCGCGGGAGGATTCGTAGCGGCGCTCGAGCGCGGATTCGTGGCGTTCGATTTCCCAGCTTTCGATCATGGTGGTGTTGAAGAGCCAGCCCTTGAGCGTGGTGATTAGCAGCAGGCCGAGGGCTAGGCTCGTGATGCCGGTGGCGAAGGTGAGGACGGTGAGGAGCGCGAGCTGCGATAGCGTGGGCCCGAGATACGCGGGTAGGTGGCGGGTCTCCCAGAGGGCGAAGAAGCGGCGGAAGAGGAAAGCGAGGAGGGTCCAGAGGGAGAGGTTGGTGTACACGAGGAACCGCAGGAAGTGCGGGAAGGTCTGCAGGGAGACGCAGTTGGAAGTCCAGGGACAGTGATGGTCCATCTTGGGGATGCAGCGGCGGCATGTCTTGCAGTGATGCGCGCGAGGCGGCTTGGGTGCTGCGCATTTCTTACACCAACGCTGTATCTGTTGCGGATCCAACTCTTCCTCGCTCGAGTCGTGGGTGCTCCTCCTCTTGTTCTTCTTGATATAACCCGGCGGGAAGACATATCGGCCCGGGTCAACCGTGCATGCTTTATAGTATGTGTACCATAGACATAACACAAGTCCGTTGAAAATGTAGATCTCGGCGGTCGTGAGCGGGCCCGGAGCAAGGTCCGGTGCGTTAGCGAATAGCCATTGCGAGGTGTAGGCTAGGAAAGCGATTAGGAGGCAGACGGCGGGGACGGCGAGGCGCTGGAGTACTGGCTCCGTGCTGCCGACGAGGAAGGCCATATCGTGGATATTAGGCCATCTAGGTGGAAGCTCGATCCAAAAAATAGGTTATGTGCCAGGGTACGGTGGACGGTGGACGGTGGACGGTGGACGGTTAGGTTAGGAAGTAAAAAGAATATCGCAATAGGTCAAGTTCAATAGGCCAAGTTGGATGCCGAATAACGCGGTGCCGTGGCTTCAGGCGCGACGTCATTTATGCAGGAACAGACAGGGATCAATACTTTGTTACGTAAACAAATAGTTATAAGCTTATGTAAAGATGGTAGTGGTGGTATGGCTTTGTTGAATATCTAGCAAAGCAATATACCGTTTATGTCAGATATTGAGAGACACCCCTTTTATTAGACACCCCTTTTATTAGACTCTCCTTTATTACTTTCTCGCCTCATCCTCTTTTTAGGCAGTGCTGGCTGTCCACCAGCCAAAAATTAACTAAGTACCTATGCAGTCCTAACTCATGATAGGTACTTCCTTAGCCATACGAATAACACCTCCTTTTGCTCGGCTAGTACTTCTTCATCTCCGCCTTCCCCTTGATTCTTTCCTCATCAATACCCACAAACTCCAAGATTTCGGGAGCAGAAGCGGGAAGAGGCTCGGGCTCAGATATCGTGATAACGTCCCGGCTAACCAACATCCGGAAATAATTCTCCCCGATGAACTGAATCCCTACTTTATGCCCCCCTTCCCACTCGTCAGACCAGTGTCTCTTCAAGCTTGGGTATTCCAGGGCGCGGGACAGTGAAAACTGAAACTGGTAGTCGCAGTTCACATAAGGCCTCTCTAGCATCTTTTGAATGTGTATTTACCAAAGCTCTTGCTCATCTTCCTCCTCCCCAAGTTCGGATATGTCCTCATCAAAAATAGTTTCTGGCAAGTAGGGGTATCCATCTTCGTCATCCCATTCAGAGCTCCTGATACGGCGGTACCATGCTGGCAAATCGGCGAGTGTCTTGGTACCCTTTTTGGCCTTCTCCATCTTGTGTTTGGGTCTTTTGTTTTCTATAGGTTTTCATTTACCCTTGTGCGGAAGGTGATTAACGAGTTTTCAATTATCTTTGTGTTAAAATTGTGAGGAGTTTCCGGTCGGTTGCTCTCGCGATGGACCGTGTTGTGGTGTTCCAGTGGCGTTGCTATGAGTCTTTTGGGGCGCCCTTTTCAGCCTAGCAACCATGTACCTAGGGAGTTGCAAATTTTCTGAGATATGTAGTGTTATGTAGCTTGAAGCAAAGTACGTTAGTAACTAAAAACGACCAGTCTACAATCTTAACGTAGCAGCTTTCCTCAGGTATCATGCCAACCACAACCTAACCAGCCGAACTGTAAATAATAGGTAGGTAGTCTAGACAACAGCTCAGAAGGGGAATATACCATGCGCTAAAACTAGGATATCAAATTTAAAAATAAGTTCTAATGCAGGTATCGGCAGAAAATACTACAACTACACAATTTATGTAAATATGCTACTATAGAGATTCCCTAGCCTAAGTTTTAATACATGCCTGATCTAAAATTAGCTAACTAAGCATATCAAACACAATTTAATAGATATATTCTTTCTATAGAGCAATTACAACGGCTGTCTAGGTAAGTAGTATCTAAATACTCATATAACTAGGTAGTCAACAAATACATCAAGATAGGTTTGCTCCTGATCAGCCCCTGAAGTAAATCCTGAAGTTTAACCAGCAAAATATGAAGTCTAATAAGCCTTGGTACGAATGTCTATAACCTTACAGATCTTGGTATCTACGTTGGGGGATATACTCAGTAGTAAGCCGCATAGTTAAAATCATGTTAACACTCAGACACTATAAGCAACCTTCTATGGCCAAAGCCAAAGCCAAAACCAAAGCCAAAGCAATATAAATACCTATATATAGCGTAGCAGTTCCCCATCAACTTAGTCATTTTGCATAGTTATAGCAAATATAATCTCACACCCAAACATCACCACCCACTTTCAAGACAAGACTCCAACCAAGCACACAAGATGCAACTCAAGCTCCTCGCCCTCCTCGGGGCCATAGTCCCCATCACCAGCGCACAGAACAACACCGTCGCGCAGAACTACACCATCACAATCACAGACAACCTCGTCGAAATCATCCACCTCTTCCCCAGATGCTCGCTGCCGTACCTCTCCGACCTCATCTACCTCCAAAGATGCCGCGTCAAGGAGTTCGATTGCATCTGCAACCGGGTGATAGACATAACCGATAACTTGAAGCACTGCATGCATGGAGGGTGCAACGGAACCCATAACGGTAAGTGTCTTCCCTCCCCTCGTGTGTTCCCCGCCGGTGCCTGTCTGTAGCTGGTTAGTCGTGCGTGATAGGTACTAACATGCGAATAGACGTTAGAGCTCGGATGTGGGATTTCTGCCATAGATTGGAAGAGAATCCCCCTGCCGCCGAGATGGAGGCTGCCCGAATTTTGATGAGGAAGCGAGTTAGGGACCAGTTCGACTGGTTGGATCGTCCCATAGGCGAGGGTAGAACCGTAGCAGAGCCTGACATAACTGTCATGGGCGTTGCGGTGGCGGCAGCAGCAGCATTGATGATTTAGATGGACTATTCCGATCTTTGGCATAGCCACGGAAATAACAGGGTTTATGGTATATTGATGGTTCGATAAGGGTTTGGCAGGCTGCTCACGGACATTGGATCGAGCTACGGCATGTATAGATCATAGCATTGGGGTTAGAAGATACCCTAGCTAAGCTTAGATGTAGCGAAACTCATTGCTTCGGATGCAATAACACACCAAAACCTTGGGGGGCAGCTCTTATGCCTGTGCCATATTATAGCAAAATAGAATATAGAATATGCGGTTTACTACCAACCTAGAGAACAATTTTAAAATTTAGTGCATGAAGACCACTGCCTCTGTTTTCATCCAAAAGGGGGATAATCTGACTGTCTCGAAAGGGGAGGTTTATTGTCTTAATTATTAAGAGTCTGTTTAAGTAGCAGACGGCTTGCAACTATAGTTTTAGCAAGTAGAGAAAATTCTCAATGATCCAACGTCAAGCGTAGACGGTGACAATATTGATGTCAGACGACTGGATGATATGTTAGTGAGGATAGGTTAAAGAAGAGTCAAGATATATCTATACCTATACTCAGGGTTTTCTCATGCCGACATGTCTTTTTATTCTGGTGACATGTCGGCTAAGACCAGTGTGATGCCCAATACTAATCCGGATGCTTTTCCTCCTAAGGCAATCAAGTATCGTCGAAGTACTTATAGTGGTTCTCTCTCATCATTCTGCAGCATCATCCTTGTGTCCTTCCGGGCTACGACTTCGGCTCCGTCCCCTGCCACGATGGGACTGTCGAGGCCCCCTATTATTACCCTTACCCGGAGGTGGTCTAACGAACGCAAAGTCAACGTTGATGACTTGGTCTAGCAGCCTCGTCTGGTGTGCGCCATCGATAGCAGCACGGGCCTCGTCAAGGGTGGCGTACTCGATGAGAGCATAACCCTATTTCCAATAGAAAGATTAGAATTCGTCCTTTGTTAAATGCAGCGTGTACAATGGGTCGGGGATTTGTTGGCTTTACCTTGACGTAACCGCTACGACGATCTAGATTTAAGTGTAGGTTCTTGATTTCCCCAAAATCGGCAAATTTGTCGTGAATTGTCTCCTCGTCGGCCTCTTCGTGTACATTGGTAACCATGATGATCCAACCCTCGATCGATCGCACGGCCGTGGCCTTGGTGTGCGTTTGCATGTCGCCAACCTTAGCTTGGGTAGCTTGGGGGGAGCCAGGCTCATCGATTTCCATTTCGACGTCCGCCATGATGACGAACTTGGAACTTTACGTAGGGTTAAATATTTTGGTGGTATTTTTGCGGTAAGCTCGAGTAAAAGTAAATCGCTTTGTTGTTGTGTTGCATGTAAATGCACTTGAGCCTCAAGAGTTTGCGACGTGAACCTTGGAGAATTGGCGGGACGAAGGATGTACTTGGTATAGTTATGGAAAGAATTGAAGAATTAAATTTTGATTGGTCAAAGCTAGGTAGGTACCTTTGTATTAGTGACTGGACCTAATGACGGTCTGTTACCTGGGTAGGCGGGACGTGCCACCTACCTAGGTATTGTACCTATGTATCTCCTCTGTCCCTGAATAACAATACCTATTTGCATTAAATATAATGATGCATAATGCACAACTATGAACTACATATGAACAATCACGCCCTTCTCATGCACATGCAGTTAACCAACCAGAAAATATACATACCTATGCTCCTCTATATCTGCCGGTTCAACATCACGAGATCAATTACTCTATTTATCTACATACCAAATCCCACCCTTAAGATAAACTCCAAAACCAATGGGAACCGCGATGTCGGAGAGCAACCCCGACGCGATTGGCTCCTTGGGCTGATCTACGGCATCATCCCCGGAGACATAGGGCGCAATCCTTGACTATCCAACCGGAATCATCATACTCACTCCGGTATCCATTACGACCCTCCTTTTGTAGACGTATAGAGCTAGAAATTACCTAGATATATAGGTAGGTAGTTATAGCTATAGGCTTAAAGAAGTAGGTATAAGTGAAGTTCAAATGCCGCCTCGTAGATATCATCTTAGCTATTATTTACACAGAAACATACGTGATATGACTCCCTAAACAATGACTACCTCACAAGACACTCAGCTACAGGACCTCTCGGTATCCGAGGCAGGCCACCTTTCTGCCCCTAGGTCGGAAGAAGATGGCAGTGGCAGTAGCAGTAGACCGGCAGAACCTCTCCCAACCCAGACCTCACCCTCCACCCAGCCGGCGGACCGCAGCAAGGCCGCCTACCTTGTGCTATCCGGTTGCGTGCTGATCCAGGCGCCTATATGGGGGTACTCGCTCGCCTTCGGTATCTTCCAAGAGTACTATACCACCCACGGGACCACCGTGCTCCCCGACGGTCCCGGCACTCCCGGCACAATCGCCAGCATTGGCACCGCTCAGACGGGCATCTTGTACTTGATGATGCCAGCGACTTTCATACTTCTAACACGGTACCCGTACCTACGGCGCTGGTGCGGACCCCTCGGGCTTCTCATCACCACCGCCTGCCTTATCGCGTCATCCTTCGCAACCTCAGCGCGCCAACTAATCGCCACCCAGGGGATCTTGCACGCCATCGGATGCGGTCTGCTGTTCAGTCCTACGTCGCTGTGTCTCGACGAGTGGTTCTCAGAGCGCAAGGGGCTTGCGTACGGCGCCATGTGGGCGAGCAAGAGCACCGTCGGGGCCGGTATGCCGTTTCTAACGAGCGCGTTGCTTAATCGGTTTGGCGTCAGCACTACCCTGCGTGCCTATGCCGTCTCGTCGGCTCTCCTCACGATCCCGCCGTTGTTCCTCATGCGCGACTACCCTGCCGCGAACAGTCGTGTCAATACCACCGCTTCGTCAGAAGAGCACGGCCGACAAGGACGCCAAAGACAAGGCCATGTTTCCTTTGCTTTTGCCCGACACTCCATCTTCTGGATCCTGCAGTGCGGCAACATCCTACAGTCGCTCGGCTACCTCATGCCCTCTACATACCTTGCCTCATACGCATATGCGCTAGGCTTCCCCTCTATAACAGGCCCCATCTTCCTTGCGCTGATCTCTTTGGCCTCTGTACCGGGTTCGCTCCTAATCGGGCTTCTAAACGATACCGGACTTGCACCCACGACCGTGATCCTGATTTCGTCCCTCGGCAGCGCGCTGGCCGTCTTCATGCTCTGGGGTTTGGGCGGGCACCAAGTTGCGGTCCTAGTTGTTTTCACCATAATGTACGGTTTCTTCGCCGGCGGTTTTAGTTCCACCTGGTCTGGCATCCTGCAAGAGATGAAGCGCCGCGACGGCGCCATCAACACGGGTTTGATTTTTGGGATGCTGCTTGGCGGCCGCGGTCTCGGCTTCGTTCTCAGTGGTCCTATAGGCGGAGCTTTGCTCGAGGCGAACCGGTTGAAGACCGAGGATTTCTCAGGGTACACCACGCAGTATGGTCCTATGATCATCTATACAGGGCTAACCGCAACCCTCGGTGCTTGGGGCTGGCTCTGGACGATGGGGAAACAAGCTATGAGAGCTCTATAATAAGACTGGATAAATCATACCTAGGTACCTACCTACCTATTATCTAGATTTATACTTACAAATGACGGTCAGTCATACATACCTAGTTACAATATGTCACCGAGAATAGTTACTGCTTGTCGATAGAAAGGTTTCATAATTTATTCCCTTATGCAATGTAGCGGCGCCCTTCCGTGGATGCGTGTGACCTAGGTATGGCCTTTTACAATAGGCTCCTAATTATACAATGAATACATTTTATGCAGACTCCTTTTTGTAACCCTAACAATGCATGAGCCTCGTAACTCAATCAAACCACAAAACCACAAAACTCCAATGCCAAGGACCCCTAAGTCCTTCCAATAATCCACCACCGAGGTGGTTTAACCAAGACAAACTCCGAATGCTCGCCACACCTCCTTCAGATACCAAGGACGCCGTTCCATGAATGATCCTTGCTCATCGCACCGTGTATGGTGTACTCGACGAACTCTGCCGTCATCTCCTGGCCGCTCGCCTTCTGCCCTTCGAGGGCATCGTAGAGATAGTAAATCTGATCTCTCTTCAGGTCTCTTACTTTTCTTATCTTGTCGATCTCAAAACCCAATCGCTTCCACGTCTTACGGTTGATCGACGGGTCGCATTTATCGAATTCTACAGCCCTCTTGTGGAAAGCTTCTTTGAGATGTTGTTCCTCGTCCTCTAAAGACCTTATGACCTTGGCTAAGGCCATTGCCGGGTCTTGTGATGGGCGCATTGTACGCTGGTCTTCGCACTCTTGCATCTCTGCAACTCGGTCTGTGACGGGAATCGGCTTCTTTGCACGGATAGGCCTCTGACCGGAACCGCGAGAATTGATTCGTGAGCATACGATGCAGTTACCGCAGTCATGATCGTGACAGAGGTTATCGAGAACACGCTTGGCATCCTTGGAAAGCTCGTTCTTGGTAGTATTCGCATTCTGCTTCTCGGCCATCTTCCTCTGTCCGAGCGTGATATCATCTATAAATAAAGCTGAGGTCATATTATCTTCATGATCTGTATCGATATCGAATCGTGCACTGTCGGAGTTGCGACGGTGAAACTTATCCATCTCCGATATCTGACTGGGAATGCCCATACCCGACTTAACACTAAATCGGCCCGTAAGGTCTGGTTCTGGTACTGACTGAGATTCCTTTGTGGCATGCTCTGGATGGGTTTTCATCAAGCCATCCTGCAGGGCTGGTTGGCCAAATGAGACTTTTCGAGGGTTAGTGTCGTCCGGCTTCGACTTCCGCACTCCAGTAACGGAATCGGTTGTCTTATTTCGCTTATGCGTATCCTCGAATCCTGTTTCGGTTGCAATGCGATTTGTCTTCTGTTTCTGAGAGTTCAAACGAGAAGGTTGAGACTCCTTTAAGATTCCAACAGGCTGGGATTTGCCTGTCTCTGCCCGTCCCTTAGACGTCCCAGAAACAACCTTTTGTGAACTTATAGATCGAGTTC